TTAGCTATAAATAAGACTTTTTTATATTAATAAGCCTAATATATATTACTTAGTTATTAAGAAATGTAATTCTTTATATTACTTAGTATTATGCCATACTTTAATTATTAATATATACCTAGAATGGATTTATTTATTTTTTAGAAATTATAAGTATTATACTAAGCTATATATATTTTCTCCTAGCCTACGTTAATAAAAATAAGGTTTATATATTATTATAATAAAGCTAATTTATAAAATTTATAAAATCTACTTTATTATTATATTCTTAAGCTATATATTTTATAATAAAAAAGTAATTAATATTTAAAATATTATAAAAAAGTATATTATTAATAAATTATTAAGTTTATATCTAGTTATTACTTAATAATAAGTATAAAAAGCTAAATAAGTATTATAATAAATTTAAAAAATCTCTTTTACTTATAATAATTATTATTCTTTATTTAAGATTTAGAATTAGCTAATTAAAAGCTAATTAAATCTCTAAGAAATAACTTACCTATATTAATAATATTAAAGGTAAAATTAAAAATTACTTTACTTATTAATATAATATAAATTAGAAAATATATAAAGAAACAATAAAGTATAATATAATATTAAGGATAATAAGCTAAAAGGATAATTAATATACTTAATAAATTAATAATAAAATAAAAAAAGTATTTATAATAAGTAATATATTAATAAGCTTAAAATGTATTTTTATTTTAAGCTATAAGATATATAAAATACTATTTAATAATATAAAAACTATAAGGCTTTATTTTCTTTATTAAATAGTTTTATTTTAAATATCTTTATTATTTTAAAAATATTAAGTAATTATAAGAGGAAATTTAGCCTAATAAAGCTAATATTAATATCTTAAAGGCTTTCAATAAGCTTAGATATATTAGAACGCGTTTAATGCCTAAAGAACTAGGTTAGTTAGGGCAGAGTAAAGTTAGGTAGCTAGGTAGGTAGCTGACTTTTAGTATATATAAGGGGGATAACTTTATATAGGGGTCTCTACCTATAGAATTAATATAGAATATTAATTAAATGAAATAAATTAACTTTAAGGTTAAAGTTGATTTAATTGACATATGATGAGTGCTGCTTAAATGGGTTTTTACCTACAAACTAGATAATACAGGTTACCTCGTTTACTATAAATCCCACATCTGCGTTAGAGGTAATCTCTAATACTACTCTGGTAAAGATATCTATGTAGTAACTAGTGTTATTAATGCTTCCAGATTCTAATAGCTCTTGTCTGGGCATTTAGGCTAATATATTACTATGTTGACTTTAAGAATGCCTTTGTTAATGCTGAAATAGACGAGGAGGTCTATATTATATGCCTACCAAGATATAGTTAATTAGGAAAGGTCTAGAAACTACTTAAAGTGCTTTACAGTCTGCATAAGTTACTAAAGCTCTAGTTTAGTAAGCTTATATTATTTCTTAAAGATTTAGGATTTTAATATTACCTAAATAAACTTTATATCCTTATTAATAATATGTCTTTACTTATTCGTTTTCTATATATAAATAATATTCTTATTATTATATAACTTAAATACCTTTTATAATTTTATAAATTTATAGTAAAAATATATATTAAATATAAAATTAAGGATTTAAGTAAAGTATTCTCTTTTCTTAATATTAAAATCTTTTAAGATATAAAAGCTAGGAAGATTTAAATTTACTAAGATAAATATAATAATATACTCTATATTTAATTTAAGACTAATTAGGTATTAAAACTAGTAATGCCTCTTACTTTATTATATTATCTCTAACCTTTTAAAGGGCAGGCTATTATATAATAAATTATAAAGATATAAGAAAAGATAGGATTGATTCTTTATATAGTAATAGTATTAAGACTAGATATCTCTTATATAGCTAGCTGGTTGGGCTAATATGCTATAAACCTTTTACTTAAATACCTCCTATATATAAACCAAGTTCTTTTATATCTCTAGACTATATAGCACTATGTTATTAAGTTATTAGGCTTTATAAATAAGGCTATAAAGGTAGAGCTAGAAAATAATAAAGTATTATAGTAGTTAAGTAATATATTATTTATAGATAATTTATAGACTTGAAAATCGACTTAGGGCTATTTAATAAAGTTATTTAATAAAGTTATTTAATAACGTTATTATATAGTAGTTAGTTAAATAAAAAATTATAACGTACACGATAAGCGAGCGAGACAGACAAGCGAGCGAGACAGTATACTGTACAGCAAAAAGTAGCTTACCCTATAGCTTCTTAATACTTAAATAAAATAGCTAAAAATCTAAGAAAATTATTTCTTATAATAGTATAGGTTATTATATAATAAAGTATTTTTTAAAGACTTTTAATTATTTTATTTTATATAGAAAACCTTAAAATACAGTATAAATTACAGTATAAATATATTTTAAAGTTTATAGCTATATAGGATTTTTTTTAAAATCTAAGAAATTTTATATAGCTTATTTTAGGACTTATATATATGTTATTAGGATCTTAGCTATTTTAAGTTTAATTTGAAACTTTAAGAATTATTTAAAAATCTGCCTTTAAGGTGAAAAGTAGGGTGTCTCGCTCGCTTGTCTGTCTCGCTCGCTTATCGTATACGTTAAATATATTAATAATTAAAGCAGAACTATTATTACTTTTTTATATAATAAGGGAGAATATAGCTTTATATAAATTATTTAAATAAATATAGTTTAATTTATATTATTAACTATATATCTATTATAATAATTAATAAATAATATAACTAGTTTAAAAAAAAGTAATTATAACTAAGATTAAAGTTAAGATGTATTAATGCTTATATTTTTTAGCTAAAATATATCTATAAAGAGAGTAAAATTATAGTTTAATAGGTTTTAATAATAGATATACTTATAAATAGTTTTATAAAACGTATTTTAGCAGAAAAGCATACTTACTTTATAAAATAATTAGGTCTAGTTAATATCTTATCTTAAATTAATTTAACACATGTTTTATAAGAGGATATTAATTATAATAATATATAGATCTTATTTAATATAAAATGAAATCTAGGGGTATATATTATAAGATAGGTATAATCTTTATAACCTTAAGAAATAACTATATTAATAATCTAGCTATATGCTTTAAGTAACTCTGCAGGATAGAATATCCTATATACGAAATAACTAAATAATTAATTAATATATTTTTACTATTACTTATTAAATTTTACTTTAACCCTTTAAGCACGCTAAGTGCGACATCAGACCATGCTTTCGCCTTAACAACAAGTTAGATACTTTCCTTTATAGATTCCTTAGCTAATAATAAGAAAATAACAATTTTATAGGTATAGATTAACTAATTGCTTTCTTCTCTATTATTTTATATATATATTACTAGATGCACTGCTATGGTTGAAGTTTAATATAATAAAATGCCTCTGTCGACTGCCTGCGCGAATTCCACTAAGACCCCCAAGGACCCAAGCCTGGGGGGAGCCCGATTCGCATGTCCTATGTCATCCGGAGTTGCGTCCGATAACTTAGAGTCTCGAGCAAACGATCCTCTACCTTCGGAGCACGGCAAGTAGCTAATGCGTGACGATAACTTGCTGGTAAGTGCTGGACCTGGCCGACATCATAGACTCGACGGATAGCCGGATAGAAGATATCATCAAACCACCGCGAGAACTGCTCGTCAGTCAAACGATTGAAGGTGTGGGAGTATGGTAAATATAGAAAGAACAGGTGTAAGGTGATAAAATCAGCTCCTTCGACCTTCGCGAATGAGAAATGTGGCATGTCTCTTAGTCGTGACGGAATCGGTCGGGGTCGCTCTGGATCTGCGTTCATGCGATCTAAAGTCAGGTGGATATCCGTAGAAATATTCTAACAATATTGAAGCGCAGAATACAACCTGATAACGTGAGTGGCTACTGCAGGAGATGTCACGAAGCCCAGCAAGCTATCGATATCAAAGGAGAGGGTTGGAGGAGTATGGTTCGTGTGATGAGTGTGTAGGCGAGCCTGCTTGGGGATCATAGGTGGCCTGGATGCTTCGGTTCGCTTTTGTACGCCGCCGGTAGTTCCGTGTGCGGTTTGCTTGCAAGCGGCGTCGATGCAACACAGCCGGGTCTCATTCTGGATCGTCTACAAATCAAACGTTCATTATTATTTCCATGCTAGTAATATTTAATGACTCTCTAAGTAATAGAAGTCTAGACCTCTGAGAGCCACTAACTTGATTGGGAAGATATAATGCAGTACTATTTTAAAAGAGGAAAGTGTAATGCTAGACCGTGCTCTGCTACTGATTTACTATGAAGCCTTTAAGTTTAATTATGAGCTGCATAAGGAAAAAAGACTTGATTGAAAGAAAAAGAATGTACTCCTATATTATAAGTATCTAAGGACCTGATAAAGCTATAAAAGTCAAGATATGTTGGTTGTGGCCCTGAAAACTTAAGCTGCAATCGCCTACTAGACCTGGCAAGGCAGAGATTAACCGCTTGGAATTAAGTTAGCAGATAGTCCAGCCTAGGAACTGGTTTGAGCATATCTGGTTCTGGATTGCTTAAGATGTGTGTTGATAGGATGCCCAGCTAGACTGGCTACTGAGCTGAGTATACAATGTTGCTAGTACATGATAGTAGGCATGTAGCGATGAGACAAACTTATAGTTTTCTCTTATCCAGGCGTAATACGTAACTATATGAGTATTATTCTGCTAATACACGTGATTGAGATACTGCAGCGTTATTGTTCTTATCGGCCAAAAATCCGATGTCTAATTAAAACAATGACAATTGACTGACTCTTAAGATTTGCGTATGCTGATGCCGTTGGACAAGAACGAGGTGGACTCAAAGCAATGGACTTGAGTTTGAAGTCTCTGCGCTGATATCGAGCAGTACTTGAATAGAGTTGGATCCCAAGTGGCATAATGAATCTCTTGAAACAGCATGAGTTCTTTCTTTATTTTACACTCGCTATCTAATCAAACAATATGCCAAATCTTCCTGCTGCCTTGCCAGACTTTAGCAGATCAATCACCTTGTTGATCTCATATAGATCCTTGAATGATGTCATGTGAGCTTTGATGTCATGTTTGTAGCTAAACTCGATAGCCTGGGGCATATTCTTGGGGATTCCACTACTACGGCCAGCAATACGGTATTTTCCAAGGAGAATATCGAGAGCGCTGATGGACAACGGCTTCTTAGGGATTCCCGCAACCATCAAGAGACCGTTAATTCTGTGACGGATGGGTTAGCAAGCAGGTACTCCTGATCTTCTAGCCTCGACTCACCTCAAGGTCTTGGGAGCGCTTTCATAAGCCACATTAGAAGCGCTGAATACAGCGGCAGCATGACAACCGCCCTTTGTGACTTCCTTGATCTTAGCTTCATAGTCGGGATCTTCCATCGTGTTAATCACAAAGTCTGCGCCCAGATTCTTTGCATCTTCTAGTTGAGATTTAGAGATGTCAATGCCGACGACTTTGTACTTCATTGCTTTGGCATATTGAACGGCTGTTTTAATGTTAATGCATGAACCTGTTGTCAAATTATTGGCGACGCACCTAGGTGACCAAGACCACCGCAGCCAATGATGGCAATCCACTGTCCTTCAAGAAGATGGCAACCCTTGACGGCATGATACGCTGCAACATTCTTAGCATCGGGCCTCGCATGATAGAATCCTGTACTCACCTGTAACTCCTGCGCAAAACAGGGGTGCTGACGTATCAGGGTCCATCCCTTGTGGCAATACCATAGCATTGCGAGCATCAGAGACGGAATACTCGGAAAAGTGACCTGGGCATGTGAAACCATGCATTCTTCCTGTTCCTTTTTCGCAAAATAAGTTGTGGACTTGGCATCCTTCGCAGTCATCTGGGGGTGTTAGTAAACAGGAACTTCAGAAGGGCTTTTACATACAGCATGCATAACTGCAACCAAGACATCCGACAAGATCGCCTATCTTGAACCCTTGAACATCCTTGCCAATACTAACAACGTATCCAGTATTCTCATGGCCGATGGTGGTTTTATCAGTCAGTGGTTCTTCGCCTGTGTGCCCCCAGAAAAGCATCTAAACCACACGATTAGTACAAGATGGTTGATGCATTGGTTGGATGGAGTACCAAGTCTGAATGACATAGGGTTGCACTTCTTGTCTTGATAAGAATCTCATTGTCTGCAATCATAGGGATATCGATGCGATTGACTTCAACTGAGTTGCTCAACTGTCGATGGTATAAGCCAGTGCCTCATGGCGTTACAAGGATGTAAGGAATCTTGCCTTGTTATATTGCGCAGCAAGCATAGTACCCGACTCTTTGGAACCCATGATGAAGAACAAGGATATGTTTGGGAGACTCAATAAGCTGGAAATATCGAGAGTTGCCTTGTTTCTAGGATACAGACTTTGAAGATAGAGAAACCTAAGGTGCTAGTTTGGGAAGGGTATATAACTAGATACAGTAGGGCTCGGCATAAACGTGGGGTTCATGCTTAGCATGCAAGGGCTTCAGTGGTCAATTATGGTGAGAGAAGAATGAGTCAGTACAAGGGGAAAGATTTTTACAATTGATTGACTGTCACATCGCAAATGGGGTAGACTGACAGGTTGAGCCAAGAGGATCGCCGTGCGGAGAAACTGGGATATCTTGCACGGGATTAGTTTCCGAGACAGGAAACCCTGGGTCTAGAATGCGGGGTTGCGATGGATGTTGAGCTAATGACGAAGACATGAGACCTTCGATCTCCTTTGTCAGTTACTTGGAGGATCAGTTGGAGCCAGATGGGCACTAGCGAAACTCAACTGGCATGAGTCAGTCCCAGACAAGTCAGCCGATTGAGCTGATCGCGCTATGAAGATACGTACCAAGTAACCGAGGTGGTGGTTCTAGTCCCACAATCTGGGGATTTCGATTCCGGGGTCTAGGGATGCGGAGTTCTGGGACATGCCATGTCCAAGCTCAGACAAAGGGGGGAATTGAGTATAAGATCTTACCTACTCCACAGCAAAGAGTTAGCTATTACAAACAGACACTCTCCGACTAAGCCTTAAGATTTTTTGAAGAATTCGAGGATTGTTAGAATACAACATATGTTTCACCTCTGAACTACGATCTCCGAGTGCCGATGTTCAGCAACTTGCGTGGCAAGTACCTGCAAGGTGCCATCACTGTCAGCGCTGGAAGTGCCTACTTGCTCTTCGGATATGATCAGGTCGGTATACCCGTGATTTATTTGCCTGCTCCGTCAAGTACTGACAGCATATAGGGAGTTCTTGGTGGTCTCGTCACACAACCAAGCTTTCTCGATGCCATCGGCAACCCCAGCCCCAGCTTCCTCGGTCTTATCGTCGCCCTATACAACATCGGTTGCTTGATTGGATGTATCGTTACATCATTGGTAGGCAACAAATGGGGGCGACGCCAAATTATCATCTGGGGCTGTGTCATTATGATCGTTGGCGGTATCATTCAGTCTGCAACTTACGGAGCAGCGCAGCTGATTGCGGGAAGACTCATATCTGGTGTTGGTAACGGTGTGTCCTTGATACGACTGCGACTCTGTATTCTGTTGCTAACATTATCAGGGATGAACACGAGTATTGTGCCGGTCTATGTTTCCGAATGCTCACATGCAAAGCATCGCGGACGAGCGGTTGCAGTACAGCTTTCCATCGTCATTGTAACTAGTCGGCCTTGTATCTATACAACTAAAGCTAACTTTCTATCCTAGTTCGGAACTGTTGTAGCTTACTGGCTAGACTATGGAACTATCAAGAACCTCACTGGTGAAGTTGTTTGGAGATTCCCAATTGCCTTCCAGAACGTCTTTGCCATAGTCACAGTCATGACTCTTCCTTTCCTCCCAGAAACCCCAAGGTTAGTACCCATGGTCATGCTTCACCACATGGAGCTTGTCACTAACTTGTACTATTTAGATGGCTCTATTCGCACGAGTACCAAGCTGAAGCGATCAACGTCCTCTCTCGGTTATATGACTGTCCAGAAGACGACCCCCTTATCCTTCAGGTTACTCAAGAGATCGAAACCGCTTTAAGACTTGAACACCAATCAACCAAGTTCTCTCTCAAGGACATCATCAATGACAAGACGCCAGTCAAGAAGACACGACGACTCGTTCTTTGTTTCATGATCCAATTCTGGCAGCAGTTCACTGGAATCAACGTGATTGCTTTCTACGTTACAATTGTTCTGGAGACCAACGTTGGATTGTCAAAGGAGACGAGCAGTCTTGTTGCTGGCTGCATTCAGATCGCTTTTTGGCTTGCCACATTTCCTCCCATGTTCTTGCTCGACAGAGTTGGTCGCCGGCCGATGCTCCTGTTGGGATCTGTGGCCCTGTTCACGGCCATGGCTGTATTTACTGCTGGAATTGCAGTCAACACATCAGCGACTTCGGCTATGGCTTTGGCATTTCTCTTCATCTATGAGATCTCCTTCGGCATGTCATGGAATGCTATTCCTTGGCTGTATGCACCAGAGATTACCCCCTTGGAGTTGCGCCACGTGGGTTCCTCTATTGCTGCATTCTCCGAATGGCTATGGACCTTTGTGAGTATCGATCCCTCCAGTCTCCCAAAACTTCGAAACTAATGATATCGAAGGTCATTGCCCTGATAACGCCTTATGCCATTGATGCAGCAGGATGGAAGTTCTATCTCCTCTTCTGCGTCATGATACTTCTGAACATTCCATTTACTTATTTCTTCCTCCCAGAGGTGAGTCTGGCGCAGTACAATCTTAGGCCCCAGCAGCTAATACAACACAGACAAACGGAAAGACTCTTGAAGAGCTTGATTACGTCTTTACGGATGAGGCATTCATTCCTGGCCAGAAATCCACCCCCATGCAGACACTGCAGCGAGGTAGCAAGGAGGATGTATCGGGAGATTGCTTCCAAGTCGAGAAGTAGGTTTGATGCAAAACTGCGGAAGGAATCAGGCTTGAATAGGATTGAGTGCTTGGGTTGAAAGAAACTTGCGTCATAGAGGCACTACTCGTATTTTTTGACTTTGAACGCTTGCTTGTGTAATGATCCTTCCGTAGGTGATGATGTCTTTGTGTTCACATCGCGCAATAAAATAAAACTCATCTATATTCCTTGTTCGTATCATAGAGCAGTACAAGGACGAAGAACAACGTCAACTTGACGTATGGTTCCTTACGGACAACCCATCTTGTCCAGGGCTTCATGCCGACCATTCGGAGAGCACAATTACAGAGACATTCAACTTATTTCATTGGCTAGTAACGTGAGTAGATAGCGGTAACCATGGAAGGAAATCGATCTTGAAACGCTTGAGTTACAGTCCAGTTCTTAAGGTTCCGAATATGCTTCTCGAATATCGAGTGCAATACCGCCTCACCCTCCGAATCCGATATGGCATCTAAACCATCAAACTTCCAATTCACAGTGACATTCTGAGAGTAGTAATCTGAAAAAAGTTGGAATGGATATTCGGCCGGGTTTTCGATGAGGATGTCACGGACACCAGGCCTATTGAGTTAGCCTGAATACAGTGGTTATGACTTGGCGAATGGGTATAATCACCATGGAATATTGTCAATCCATGCGGCGTGTGGAATGGCTATCTGTGTGACTGTCGGTCTTAGCCATGAGGGCATATCTGTATAGTGTTGCTTCGTTGGGTGAATTTGCCACTACAGTTGTCAATACCGGTTATCAGACGAATGAAAAGGTTTTCAAACCTTCATAGTATGGCACATGAGATAGAAGAAAGCCAATTTCTCAGCCATTTGTACAGAAGAGAATGTCGACAGAACGCGTGACATTATACCGCTTAGTGGATGCACCGTGTCAACCTGCTCAAGGTTGATGATGGCACGTGTTGATGGCTTTCGTGGGCCCAAAACGGACTCAGGGTCCATGCTATTTAAAAGCATTTCTTTTCTTGATTTAAGAAACTTGAGGAGTATCAAATCCAATGGGCAAGAGGATGGCCCATGGGATGGGAGGATGGTGTATACAGCGTTGGGCTCAGTGTAATGACCGAGTGCAGCTGTCATGTCTCCAGAAGCTGAGTAGTCGCTTGCCATGCTCGGCTGTGTAACGTGGGATTCAGCTACGCTTAGTTGTGATGGGGCGCCGTATGGAATGTTGGTGCTTGTTGTAGCTTGATAGCTACCGGGGGATGACAAGAGTCCTACGTTTGCGGATGGAGAGACATGACAGGTTGAATCGTCATTGACCATATGGTTTGGGATAGTTGGAGCGTGGTCGCCTGGAAGGACCGATTGGTCGGTGTATGAGCTTACCACCGGATTGTCAAACGGTTCTTCTGAGGTGGTTTGCATGACATGCTCAGTATCAGAGGCATCTGCATGTGTTACGGACAGTGAGTCAGCCTCTTGCTCTTGCTCTTGCTCTTGTTCCTGATCTTGTAGTGGAGGAGGCGTCCGTGCATGGGATTGAGCCCGGCTGGCTTGACCTGACTGACTCTGGGCTGCCAAATTTAGCCGGATTCGGTGAGTTGACGCCCCTCTATGTGCTTACCAGACTGACCCTGCGATTGGTTTTGGTCATGAATCCTGTCAGCTTGGCCCAAAGCGGTGTTGATAAGTTCAGCGACGGCACGCAGGCAGTCTTGCAAGGATGCGTTCTCCTCACGCATGCGGTCGATCTGCACGTCTTTCTGGCTGCAACTTACACGTAATTCAGCGCACGTGCCCTGGAGCTGGGAGAATTGTTGCTCAAGGCTGGAAATGCAGTCTTTGTTCCGTTGACGAAAGGCCCGCTGAGCTTTGCGATCCACATTACGCTTGTGCTGAATCTGTTCCTTGGTGAGATTCGAGACGGCTCTAGATCGCTTCCGAGACGGAGCTGTTCTAGTTGTGGTTTCTGGCTGTGTCTGGCTCATGATGTTACAGGGTCTGCAGGCAAATTGGAGGGCAAGGGTAGACCAGCAAAGCAAAATACTGCTGGAGATTCTCGAGAGCAAGGCTCGGACCGAGACGCGGAGCCGAGAGTATACCGCGGTAGCAGATGAGGGGATCCCCACGGGGTAGAGAGTGCGGGACACGAGGAATGACCGGATAGATCTGGCCAGGATCAAGATAGTGATGCCTTGTGCCGTGTGGTGATTCGTATTGCCGGGGTTATCGACAGAGTAGAGGAGATGAGGAGAAAGAGCGGGAATGAGGTTGACATGAGTAATGCACCTTAGCTACACTAACTATCCCTGTCCTGGCTCTAACCACTTTACGCTGAGTGCTGACTAATCTTCTGTAACTCAACCCAAGGCAAGGCCTAAACTTGAGTTTCTAACACGATCTAGCCTTCGTGACGCCATGTACCAAAGGACCAGTCCTATCGATGTTTTCACCCCCTTGTTGAGTACAAAATGAAGCAACCACAAGTTTGACATTATTGAGTTCATCTACTCAATAGCCCTGACTTGCCATATTAATGAGAATTGTCTTGGGCTCAGTGTATGCCCTCAACGCCTGCTCTCCGTTCTCTCGGCCAAGTCCGCTCTCCTTGGTCCCACCAAACGGACATGAAAAAGAGATGGTGCTGATGCAATTGATCCCCACAACACCAGAATCAATGAGTGAGCTGAGACGGAGCGCCCTAGTGATGTCTTGAGTGAAAACTCCAGCCATAAGTCCGTATTTGCTGTTATTGGCCTCTTCGAGAACTTCTTCCTCTGTGTCAAACTTGTTGATGACGGCCACTGGTCCAAAGATCTCTTCATTATAAATGAATGAAGTTTTGTTTGTATCGGCGAAAACTGTCGGCTCGATAAAGTAACCCTGGTTTCGTCAGTTTCATGCCCTGGTCAAATTAACTGCCAATGAACACTCACCTTTTCGCCAATTTTTTGTCCGCCGACCAAGACCTTTCCGTCATTGTTTTCTTTTGCAGAAGAGATAATTCCCATGATTCGATCATGCTGAGTCTTGTCCACAACAGGTCCTATCTCAATACCCGACGCTTCAGGGTCACCAAGAACCTTGTTTTTCGATTTGACACGAGCCACATAAGCTTCGACAAACTTGTCGTATATCTTTGATTGCACGCAGACTCTTGTTGCTGCAAAGCAGATCTGACCCGAATTGGTAACAAGTGCATTAACAGCCCTAGTTTCATTCCATTAGCACGTCAAAATACTACCGCACAGAGTTTCCTTACCACTTGACCGCATTCTCAAGATTTGCATCGTCAAAGACTACAGCAGGGCTTTTTCCACCAAGTTCCAGAGTCACTCTCTTCAGGTTGCTCTTGGCGGCCAAAACTTGCACCGTCTTTCCTGTGGGAATACTTCCTGTAAAACTTACCTTTGCAACTCGCATATGTGATGCTAAAGCTGCTCCCGTTGAGCCATCTCCGGTCAAAACCTGGAAGACGCCAGGAGGAAAACCGGCCTCGAGCACGAGCTTTCCAAGCTCTGCAGCCATCAGTGGTGTCTTTTCACTAGGCTTTAGGATGAAGACGTTTCCCGTCGCAAGCGCTGGGGCGGCTTTGAGTCCAACGGAGGCCAATGGACCATTCCATGGGATAATGCTACCGAGAGGTTAGATCGCGGAGCATATATATCCAGAAAGAGTTCGGGTCTCACCCTGCAACAACACCAAGTGGTTCGTTTCGAACAATCTTGTAAAAGCCATCATCCGCGGGAAAACTTTGGCCAGCATGCTTGTCAACCCACCCAGCATAATCTCAAAGCCGTTAGTCTGCGAATGAGTCGTCTTCAGAATGCGAGAAGACTTACAGCGGAAACAGCCAATGGCTGTGCCAATTTCGGATTTGCCAAAAGGAAGATAAGGGGCTCCCAGAGTCAATCGCGTAAGATAAGCGAGGCGCTCTTGGTTGGCCTCAAGGAGATCTGCAAACTTGAGCAAAATTGCCCTTCTCTCGTCATGGCTCATCTGACGCCAGGGAGAGGTTGGTTTGAAAGCTTCATTGGCATGGCAGACGGCTTCGTCAACGTCCTCATCTCCGGCAACAGGGATCTTGTTGCTGATTAGAGCACCTGTGGCGGGATTGTATACAGACACGCTTGTAAGTTTGGTTAGTGATATGCCAACTTGGAAGGTCGGAGGTATTTACCGTTTCTGGCCACGGCTGTCAACATACTTTGAGCTGTCAGCTTCTAATATGAATGATCAAGTTTATGCATGCACATACTTTATTGTTGATAAATAGTTGCGTTAAATGAGGATCGAGCTCCATGGTGAAAAAAATAGTATCATGTGAGAGGGAGTAAAGGTTGCCAAGATCTACTATTGACTCCAATATCAGTCTTCAAGATCAGGGATCTTCATTTTCAAAGGACTAAGTATCCGTCGAGACTTATTACTCTCATGGTATACGGATATATATGCTCAACTGGTCGTACACGTCAGTACTCAGCGTCTGCTGGAGACATCGTGGATACTCATTTGAACTGAGTAATGAACGCTGTCCCCACTAGCAAGGGCCGCCCTTGACCGTATTAGGCTTCACTTTTACATGAGTAATGGGAGATCATTAGTCCTGCAATACAATTTCTCTAACCCTAAACAGTAAAGCGTATCAATCAAACTTTGGAGCGCGGGGTAAGATACGGGCGGGATCTGAGGGATTCCGAGTCAGGGCAAAGTGGCAGAGCATGCATGTGATCAAGACTTTTTGTTGCGAGTATCACCACGGTCACAAGAAGCCTTGTACATGAGTTGGGAGTGATTGACAGCAATAAAGATCAGTCCAGACCACAAAAGTATCAGAGCAGGCAAATAATTCACCTACAATGACGACCAACGACGAAAGCGTCCCCAATACCAATACCAACAGAATCAAGGGACCCAAGGTTTGGCTCGTGACCGGCTGCTCAACTGGTCTTGGAAAATGTCTAGTCTCGGCGATTCTAGCGAGAGGTGACAAGGTCATTGCCACAGCTCGAAAACTCTCCGCCCTAGAGGAATTGAATGGCCTCGACCACGTGAAAATACTTTCACTGGACGTCACATCACCACAGAGCGTGCTTGACTCAAAAGTCCGAGAAGCCTGTTCGCTCTTTGGAAGAGTTGACGTTCTGGTAAACAACGCAGGTTATGTCGAGTCCGGTGTTTGGGAAGAACTCGAGTGCGCCCATCTTTGATAAACGAAGCCTTTGTTTTATATCTAATGATGACTAGTCACGAAAATACCGTACGCGGGTTCGAGACCAACTTCTTTGGAGCCATGAAAGTCACTCGAGCTATTCTCCCCTTTATGCGATCTCAAAGGTTCGGTACCATAATGTTTATGGGAAGCATTGCAGGATGGTATAGCGCAGCAGCAGGTGGACTCTATGCTTCATCGAAATGTGCGCTAGAAGGTGAGTAAACTGCAATCCTTGAGTCTTAGAGGCGCAAATACCAGGAAAGATGTACAGCCAGTACTGACTGAGTGAAACAGGGGCTGCTGAATCGTTATCGAGAGAGGTTCAAAACCTCGGCATCCGAACGCATATCTTTATAATTGGCCGCTTTCGCACAGGCATTCTCGGTGAAAAGAGCAAGAACGACAAGTTGAGTACCCAGCAAGGCATAGCAGACTATATAGACGCAAAGAACTCCCTGGCGCAAAGTCTAGCTGCTTCGCACGGCAATCAGCCAGGCGATCCTGTGAGAGCCGCGGAGAAGATTGTCGATATTGGAAGAATGGAGAACCTTACTTCGAGCCAGGCAGAAAGCTTGCCATTACGTATTCCTCTAGGGGCGGAGGCAGCGGAGGTGATGAGACAGAAATCTTTGGACACTCTTGCCCTTCTTGATACGTGGTCTCAGTTTAGCGCAGAGGCAGATTTTGAAAATGCTGAAAGATTGCCTGCGTTCTATTCATAACGAAATAAGGCGAACCTGAATATATCTCATTATCTGTTATATTTAACCTCCAACTCTTAGAGTGTGCATCTAATTATCAAGGCTTCGTTATAGCTTTCTTCCTAAGCCCTGAATCCACACCTGGTGAACAGTTTAAATATTTCACGCATCCAGGCCGCCCTTAAGAATAAAGGGTCAAGATGAAATAATTATTGTAAGACACCTACCGGTATCATTATGAACTATTGCAATAGATGCCCTTTTAATGATCGGTGTAAGTACATGGCAGAAGAATGAACTTGCGTATTCGATCGATGAATCATGTATCGCTAAGTGCTGGACTAGGTGCCAAGTTGGTACTATTTCGTACATGAATTATCGATCTGGTACAAGTGAAGTACATGAGAGAAATGATCCTTGTTATTCATTGAGCCTCTCCTCATGCCCTCAAGTAACAGAAGAGATTTTCAACCGGGCTAGGAATTGTCAATAGCCCCTGCGACATAGCGAACCCAGTTACAGCAGTTACAGCCAACCAGCTAAGTGGCGAGGTATTCCTCAAGTTTCTCCAGGTTTTGCGAACCATCCATAATGGAGAGCCTCCAGACATGAGAAAGTGGCTCCATTTGGGAAAGAAAGTAGCCTTCCAGAATGTCGATGCCATACCTGGCCAAGCGGCTGAGTTTCGTCCAGCCTTGTTGATATACCAGTTACTGCATCCTGCAGAGAATACGGTCTCGCCGAGTACACGGTCGAGATTCTCTATAAAGCCCTCTTCAGCATCTTGCTTGACCTCAATGACATCGGTGTACCCATCGATGACTGGCTTGACTAGCACGGAAGTGATGTAGGCGACCTGCACTTCGATCGCGTAGATGACTGAGTTGAACGCTGGGAATGTGTTTGGTCCAAATCTACATTTATTAGTTGATGCCCCATGGCCAAAACAAATAAGCAATAGCAGAGTTCAACTTACAATATGGCAAAGTTTGGGTTGTTGTGCACGAAGGTTCCCATATACGCTTGAGCACCTCGTCGGTTAGACCACTGGTTCTGAAGCTCTTCTCCAGTCTTGCCCGTGATCTTCATAGGAGCAAGGAATGACTGAACGTCGAAGCCCGTGGCCAGAATGACAGCATCAAAGTCTTCAGACTTCCCCGTCTCGCTAAGAAGGCCAGTTTCTGTAAACTCCTGAATACCTTCGGGGAGCAACTCGACGTTATCGCGATGCAGACAAGCCAGGTAGCCAGGATCGTAAATGCGTCGCTTGCATCCCAGAGGAAAGTCGGGAACGATAAAGTGGTGGTACTTCTTCGGTGCCTCTGAGAGAATGTAACTTCTTGCTTCTGCCTCTGTTGCTAGACGCTTCTCGACCTGTTTATCCTCGGAACCGTACACAGAAGCGAGTTCGTCGGTTTGGAGGAAGAGATCAAGTCTATGATAGCGCTGATAAAGTGGCAGATAGCGAAAGCAGAACTTATCAAAAGTAGTGAACACCTTGTTGGGCCGAGGATGGTACCATTGCGGGCTGCGAGCATACTGGACCAGCTTCTTTGCTCCTGGTGCAATAGAGGGCACAACTTGGGCGGCACTGCAACCGTTCCCAATGACTGCAACGTTCGTATTTCTCCAGTCGAATGTATGGTCCCAGTCAGCTGTATGGAATATCTTGCCCATGTACTTCTCCATTCCGGCGAATTTGGCTGGCCGGGGAATAGAAAACCCTCCCACGGCCGATAGAAGGATAGTGCATTCTTTAGTGAATTTTTTTCCAGTGTATGTATCAAGGAAATAAACACGCCATGTCCCATCTACCCACTCAGCTCCAATACACTCTATCTTGAAGCGAAAGTGGCGACGGAGATTGAACTTATCCACTGTATTCTCAATGTCTATAAGTGGGTTAGCTATCTCTCAATTGAGGCACCAAGGTCAAAGGTCGTGTGATATTTGACGGCATGGGGCCTGTTTAGGTGTCTTACATCGAAGAATCTCTTCTTGATCGGCTAGTGCCTGGGTCCAATCCGGATTAAGATTGAAGCTGAAAGAGTACAAATGAATGGGAACATCAGAGCCACTGAAGGTGTTGTTAGTTTGTGATCCTGTGAGAGACAGGGATTGACAAGGGAAACGTACCATCCTGGATAGGTGTTGATCCTCCAAGTACCTCCAAGTCCTTCGCGCTTCTCAAAGATCTAGTTGCATTGTTAGTGTCATTCCATAATGGAAATGTGGAAACATATGCCTCAAAGTTATTGAAACCAAGTTTGTGCTTCAGGGTGTGCGCCATGGCAATGGCAGCAGCACCTCCGCCAACGATGATCACGTTAGGCGTCGACATGTTCGTTACTTCGATAAAGAAAGCTTCATTGAGTTGGCGGAGCTAATTAAATAAAGGCCAGATAAATCGATTGTTGTATGAAGCCGAAAGAGAAGTGTAAATACATAGATAAATAGCTTGATCTTTTCACTCATCACTACCCGGTCAAGATCGCATCGCAGTCTCAGAAGCGCAGTTGGCACGGAATGCGATGAAACCACCGTGATCCGACGGATGCAGTACTGAGCGGCTGCAAAGAAGAATTCCGCGGAACTAGATTCCGGGGTCATTGCCACAATGCAAGGGTAGAACATACTTGTGGAAGTGGGTGTATACTCTTGGCCCCATGAATTCATTAATTTGATGAGAATTGGTAATGATTTCTACAGGTTGGTCTTTTCTAAGTTGAACTTAACCTGTCAGTCTTTTTGTCTCATCCAACATCCATTCTCATGGAAACCGTTGGTCTTCAGCCTGAAAGGATTGGAAACACCTGTTTTGCTGGACGTGATGGGGTTTGTGCAACACGAGGATCGGGTCTGGAACCCCTCATGTTTCTTAGTCTGGAAAGAGACCAATTCAGAGCCTGAATGTAGAGGCAAATAGTTCTGCGCGCCTTTTTACTCTGGTCGTGAGCATGCTCCCTTCTCATAACTTGGTCACGAGAGAGCCTCTCAATTTACTTGTTTCTTCCTAATTTCTCAAGCTCCAGCTTGCCCAACTTTGTGTTTGGAGAGGCGAAGGAAATTGCATTTGTCATGTTTATCTGAACTGGATGTTCAGGCCAGCGAGTGGCACATGTCATGTCCACCCCCGCACGTAATCGCTGTGTGGACTGTGGAGCGGCTAACTACATCAAAACCGACCTAGAATCTGGCGACATGGGGTAAGTTAAGTAAGCGGTGGGTTCACCAACTGGGTCCACAGATCGAAGAGGTTCCCCAAACTCTTGGAAGTCCCTGTGTAGCATCACTACCATCATCTCCTCACCTTCAGAAGCATATCCATACGCCAGCATGATGGGACACAAATACGTCAAGAGCGCATGTCTCAACTGCAGGAGACGGAAAGTTAAGGTAATAGAGATCCTTGCTTTTATGGATCAAGTTGTGATCCTAGCTTACGGTATTGCAGTGCGATGGCAATGATGCTTGTTCCAACTGCATAAACTCCAAGCTGGACTGCTCCTACAATGCTGATGGCGACATGCGAAGGTACGTCAATTAGAATCTCAACACCTGTTCAAAGGCCTGGTATACGACGGAGAAAGTCCAGAAACGCTGACATGTTGTGTCAATCCATAGACAATCAGCCAAAAAGGCAATTGTCAATCTTGAAGCGCGAATCGCTCAGCTTGAGGGTGTTCTTCGAGAGCACAACATTGACCGGCCTCAGTCAAACCCCGACACGCCGAATAGATCAGCACCCTTCTCCAAAGCTCAATCGACCGTCTCGGAAACGCAGTCATTGACTGATACAGACCGGAACCAAGACGATGAAGAAGAGTCTGATCAAGAGCCTTCCCCTTCACAGCCCGAAACGCAACCTAACCCAGTTCCGAGTATACAAAACCCAGAAGATAACTTCGTCATGATCGGAACGCCAAGCTTTCAAAGTCCACAATCCACGAACCCTCCACCAAGCGGTATCCACGAGTCTGAAGACGGAGACAACAGCATAACCGATATCCTCTCAGCACGAATGGGCGCGCTGAGACTCGTCGAAGATGGACAGTTGCGGTACTACGGGCCAACGTCGAATTTACACATGTATGCGGATGGACTTCAGTCATTATCAAGCCCATCATTTCGCTCCGTGACCACTGAAGGCATAGAAGTTCTTCGACGGTTGGGCCTGGAACAAGAAGTTCCTTTAGCACTCGAGGCTCATCTTGCAGGGCTCTACTTTGCTTGGGAAGACCCAGCGATCCACGTGGTTGATGAAGATATCTTCTTTGCTGAGAAGAAGCGTTGCCTCCTTCAGGAGACGACCAGTCCCTACTACTCAGAAACTCTCAACAATGCCATGTAAGAGCCCACAACAACATTTCAGTAAAGAACCCACAATAACTAGTCAAGCTGCGCTATTGGGGCCAGTCTAGCGAGCGGCGAACAACTCAACGTCCCTGAACCTGCCGCGGAATTCTTCTCTTCTCGAGCGAAGGCACTTTTGGATGTTGAAATGGATAGTCCTACCGTGGCCACAGTCCAAGCTCTTGTCATCATGAGTGCTACAGAAGCTGCCTTTACCCGAGACGCTCGTGGCTGGCTTTATAGCGGTTAGCTTAGCCGTCCTCTCTCCTAGCTGTTGACTAACAATCTGCGCCTTTAGGAATGGCAACTCGATTGAGCGCCGATCTGGGACTTCACTTGGATATCAGCAGCCATATAAACAATGGGCTCCTTACGGAGCGCGACATGAAGATTCGGCAAACAGCTTTCTGGGGAGTGTTTATCCACGAACAGTATGTTTCCAACATGCCCATGAGGAATTTGTCTAACGATTCGACCCATAGTATGTGGAATCTCTATGCTGGCCGTCCGTGGGGATTAGGGGTCCAAAACATCACAATTCCAATGCCAGAACCGGAAACGAATGACAGCGATTGCAGAATATGGAAATCCTATCCTTCATCTGTCTGGCAGCCTCAGGAGCCCAAGAACAATATCCCCTTCCCTACCAATGCCTGTACATCGGCCAACATTGCACTTTGCGATTACATGCGACAGATCAACACTACACTGTAAGGATTTGGGGGTCTGGAGATCCCAATACAAGGAAATGCTAACTAAGTGGCCAGATACGCTGGTCAAATGATTGACCTGAGCGCTTTGGTTCAATTCCTCATCAGAATCAAGCAGGAGATGATCTCTTGGCATAAAACCTTGATTTCATCTCTTGAAGTAGACAGAACAAGCTCCGGCAAAATATATCATCCTGCTATCCTTCAACTTCAGTGAGCCACCCACTGCATCTCATGCACCCTCCTGGTTCTGTGCTAACACTTCCCAGTATGCAATATTATGCGACCCTCATCTTTCTTTATCGGCCGTATTTGTCATGCCAACTAGTCTCTCAGATACCAACACTGGATACCCAAGAAAGCCAAACAGCGATGCAGAATGTTGCAAGCGATTGCGTCGAAGCAGCCCATCAAGTCACCGAGCTACTCCGATGTTACCAACAGCAACACTCATTTCGACGAGCAAACGTACAGATCGTCCACATCATCCTCACTGCGTCTCTGATCTTCATCCACGATGTCTGCACGCGTAGTTATAGAGAGTCCCGCCACTCTCTGAACGACCTGCAGCTTTGCTGTTACTCACTAGGCGAGATTGGCCGGTGCTTTGGTAATGCAACAAGAGCTCTGGAAGTCGTCATCCTCGTCAAGAGTGAATGGCAGAGAATTGCCATGTCTCGCCGAGGTCTAGGGGCTGGGACCAAGCGACCAAGTTTTAGCATATCCAATAATCCTGCCGAGCCAGATGAAGAGAATGAGGGAAACCGGCCCAGGCAAAGGCACCGGTTCTCAAGTACCGCGAGTGATGTGTTCAAGACACCGAGTGTAGCGACATACTCTCAGTCTACCACCAGCAGCTACCCGGTTATGCCTCAGCAACGACCTTTGGATCTCGACGGGATGAACCTTGACGAATTTAACCTGGACAATCAATACCAGGATATGTGGTCTTTTTCTGGAGGGCATGAGTTCGACTTGCATGAGACGGTGCCGCCAATCGACTGGTTCAATAGCCAACTGCTTGAAGGGTCTCATATACCGACGGCGAATTTTCTAGGTCAAATGGCAAGCAACCTGCAAGACCCTCAGAATGAATCAGTTATAGGGCATTCGAGTGGTTTATAAAGGATATGATGAGGGAAAATAGCAACCACGTCTATCATTGGTGGTATTTGGGTATAGTATGTAGCATTGACATTTTGACTCCATGCCGGTGGCGTACTACAGTGGTACCGGAAATGTTTCCCGGGTACGGCGAATCATGAGCCATCACATTTACAATTATTACAAACCCAGCACGTCTTGTTCCCCCGTTGAGAAGAGCAGACTGGCTGAACATTGACTTCTAAACTTCAACAAAAGTCTTGCAAAGTTGGGGAATCTGCTGTGGAAATAAGAAATAGTTTGTCGCAGATTTGCCTGGGAGTTTGATGGGAGCCTGTAGAGGTTAGAATGCACGGAGATAGCTTCCTCAATAAATGTTCAGTCTAGTTTAGCATAAACTTACCTAGCATTTAACAGGCTTAGAACAGATTTTAGATTCACAATTGCTACTTTTTATTCAGATCAAGGCATGTTGGAAGAGACTCTGCCACGATTTAGAACATGATGCTGGCTATTTTAGCGCCTAATGCACTGAACTGGTCTGAGTCAGTCCAGCAACACCCCACACCATGTTTAGCAGCGGAATTAAATGCCGCGATCCCAAGGTTCCGGGGAATGGAGTAAACACCCTTTGAGCAATTGATGGATAGGAAATCCGGGGTTGGAGGGACGTGATATATGTGAATAACCAGCCGACAATGCTTACCTCGGGCCAAATTCCCTTTCACCGAGTTCCCGCAATCTCAGAGCCTACAGCCACAATGAAGAGAGTATACCGACGAAGGGCGACCAGGGCCTGTCTGAATTGCCGAAAACGAAAGGTCCGCTGTGATGTCACTCGGACTTCTCAGCCATGCAGTAATTGTCGCTTCATTTCAGCTCAATGCATTGTGGTGCCAAGAGTGCCCAAGCTGTACGACATTTCCACCTGGTAGTAAGGTTCTCTGCTGATAAGATTATACAGAGCAGATAGGAGTCCCTCGTCAAAAGAATCTTCACCTGAACTGAGCGAAACTACGGATGGCTACGCATCTTTTCAGCTGTTGCAAGATGCAGTGAGATCTCCTGAACCGTTGCCTGGTTCATTTTCTCGGCAACAAATTGACTCTCAAGCATCTTTCGCTATAGACGAATTTCACCCGCAACGTTTAGAAAGTGTCCATACTTCTGATCGTAGCTCATTCCACCCAAAAGAATCCTCAACGCAGTTTTTGGATGCTCATTCATATCCTGGAGACAAGATGCCGGTTGCAATCGACACGGCCGAATTCGACGATACTAGCAGTATTAATTATGAAGCAACATCAACTCACCTTGCAAGTACTGAAGACTGGGACACAGTTGACCATAGAGACAGTATAGTACATGGTGTCGACAATCTTGACTCCGAAGGCTGTTTCAGAATTCCGGCGGAACCAGTCCTCAAGACGTTCTTACAGCATTACTTTCTTTCTGTTCATCCATTTCTGCCATTGACTGATGAGGGTGACTTCTGGGATCTTTATATGGGCTCTGACAAAAGAGATCGCTGCAATAGGCTACCTAACATTCTCCTTCTTCAGGCCATACTGTTTGCTGCCTGTCCGGTGAGTCCTCCAACCACCCGCGCAACAATCGATGATAGGCCAATTTTAACCTTGATCAGTTTGTTTCTGAAAAGGATGTGAAGGCTTTGGGTTTCCAAAATCTGCGTCAGGCCAAAACCTGCTTCTACAAGCGAGCAAAGGTATATTCGCCGCCTGCAAAGCCTTTTTCCAATCTTTGACCTATTGCTAACGAATCTCTACAGCTTCTTTACAGTGCACAGGTCCAAGCAGACCGAGTTCTGATGGCTCAGACCGCACTACTTTTAACTTATTGGAGTTCTTCACTTGGCACCAACGAGAGGAATGCGAACAGCATTTGGCTCAGCCATGCTATCGGCCATGCAAAGGCACTGAAAGCAGACAAGTGCGAAAATGTCAACGCATCCACCTTTGCTTCATTTCAACAGCGAAAGCACGACAACACGCTCAGAAGAGTTTGGTGGTGTTGTATCATCCGAGATAGGGTTCTGTCGCTCTGCGTCCGTCGAAAGATACAAATCTCTCGGGGCTATCTTGAGAACCACACAGCAACGACAATGTCTTATGACGACCTGGCAAGTGAAACCGAGCGCTCACTTGTTTACGACGCAAGTACGAAGCACTATCTCATTAAACTCTTGCTCATCATGATAGACTTATGTCTTTGCCTTTCCGATGTGTTGACGGTGGCACACGCAGCCAACCACCCGACGGCATCTGAGCGTGAGTCAGCCAGAAAGACATTGCAAGTATATGAGTGCAACAGAAATCTAGAGAGTTGGCGCGTTAGGGCCACTGCATCTTCATCAGTGATGTCCAATGCTCAGCATGGAATTTATGAAGACAGCATTCCAGAGGGCTCTGTCCTGTTGTTTGCAAATATGATCTGGATCTACTATCAGTAAGACTGCCAGTACCACCACTTGCTTCCATGGCTAACAGATATGAAGCTCGGCCCGAGTCACGCTCTGCAATTTCGAACTGTTATTAGGCATCACGACCGATTCCTCCACTTCATATTGGAATACGAAACTCCAACGGGTGACAGTGGAAAGAGTGCGTACAAATCTCTGGGACGCAGCCGCTCAAATCACTCAGAAGCTTGAACAACTTCTTGACCTTGGACTGGCAAATTGCCTACCAAGTAGCGCAGTTGCTTGTACGGCCCTGCCATTGGCACTTCACATACTAGACGTCAAGCTATTGCCGAACTTGGCCCCCCACGGGTCAACGGAAGAACAATCTAGGAGGCTCAGCAGGCAAAATCGATTAAACATTCTCACTGCTGCAATGAGGGTCTATCAACCAAAATATGAAGGAGTTGATTGGGTGACAAGAGCCATCCGATATTTTATGGAATGCACTTGCTTAGAATCAACACCAGCCTGTGATGCGACCAACAATTGCTATCAAGAATCGATGGACGTAATCGCACAGAATTCAACGCACTACCTCAGGCTGTCATTAACTCTTGATCTGAGCTTGAGCCAAGATCGACTGCCTGTCGAAAGAGACTTTCCCAGTAAATTACAGGCTCTGATAAGCAAGACCGGATGCTTTATACCATTCTTGTTCTCACAGCCGGATGAAGATGATAGGGTAACCCTGACGGTTGGTGTTAATACTGCACATCATCCGCCCTCGGAACTTGCAGAGGTAACGGCACGATGCGCATCGCCAAAGTTTCAGGACTTTACGGGCTGGGTTGAGAATGATCGCTCGTTGTTTTTTATGCAAGAGATGGGCTTGGGTCTATAAGAGGTTGAATTATATAGCTACCTAGCTACATACAAAAAAAGTGATTATTTACACCCATATCATCTGATCCTTGGACTTCGGCTTCTTTTCATACTCAAACAGTGATATTGGGTTAGGATTCATTGTGGTTTCAAGCCAGTGTCGTGGTGCCTCCATCAACCCCTCATTCATGACTGGGCCTTCGGAAACTAAATCCGTTATAGTCGTGATGAAAGTCCTTAAGTATACCGCCAACAGCTCCATTAGTCCCCATCGAATGCTGTGTGTTATCTCTAACTCGATAGTACTTCACCTCGTATTCTCATTGCCTAAGTTCACTTGCTTTACCAAACTTTGCCTTTCTCTTAGCCATGTCCACACAAAATGTCGACTTGCCGGGAGATGGGGCCACTTGCTCCCTTTCGATCATTGATACGACTTGTTACTTGACAGTTCCGGCTGATACTCTAGTCGAGCCAACTATACCAGGACATGAGCTCATGAACTTCCCTACCTTCTCATTTCTCATCCAGCATGAAACTTCGGGAAACCAGTTCCTATTCGATCTGGGATGTCGAAAAGACTTTTGGAACCTACCAGAGCCAATCGCCAAGGTAATCGATCAGAGAGTTCCGGGTATCAGAGTCGACAAAAGCCTCGCCGATATCCTACAAGGCGGTGGTATTGATCTTTCCATGATTGAGGCGGCTATCATCAGTCACCACCACTATGATCACTTGGGAGATCCGTGCACGTTTCCAGAAAGCATGGATCTTATCGTCGGGCCTGGGTTCTCCAAGCACTTTCTTCCAGGTTATCCAGAGAATCCCAACTCGCCTGCTCATGAATCAGCCTTTAAGAACCGACACGTCAAAGAAATCAGTTTTAAGCAACCCCTCGAAGTCGCTGGATACCAGGCCATAGACTACCTTGGTGATGGTAGTTTATATCTTCTAAACACACCTGGGCACGCGATTGGTCATCTCTCTGCTTTGGTCAGAACAACCAATGGCACATTTGTGTTTCTCGGAGGAGATATTTGTCACTTTGGTGGAGCTTTCAGACCAACTGATAAAACCCCAATGCCGACCCAATTCACAAGAGAAGAAGTTGCCCTACCTCCTTCGGGGCCAGAGCATGTATCGTGCATGCAATATCTCTCTTGTCACCCCAATTCGGAAAGGGGAAGTTCAACGCCATACTACAAACCTTGCAGTCATGCTGACTCTTGGTACGTTGATCCGCCTCAAGCACAGAAAAGTGTAAACACCCTCATGTCCTTGGATGCGATCGATGAGATCTTGGTTCTCATTGCCCACGACCCATCTATAGTCGGCGTTCTCCCACTATTTCCAAAGGCAAGTATCAATGATTGGTACCAATCTGGGTGGAAAAAGCTGCTCAGGTGGAGGTTCCTGGATCAGCTTCCTATATTGGGTCAACCGGCACCCTATCTAGTAGACGGAACTTATGTTGACGGAAAACGGGTCAAAACACTTGATGGAACTAGGATTTAGGAGCGTAGAAGTCACCAGGTAATGAATCAAAAATAAAGGCTTTCCACGCTATTTACTAAATCACCACCAATAGACCACATCGAAGCTTCTGTTACTTCTCGGCATCGAATATGACCTTCTGGACTTTCATAGCGTCAAACAGCTCGTAACCCTCAATGACGTCGCTCAAAGGCATCACGGTCGCTGTCATAAAGCTATGATACGTTAGTCAAACCCCGAGAAAGTTACATGGCGACTTACTCCAAGAGATGCTGTTTTTTGGCCAGCAATTCCAACGACTCCTCAAAGATGCCTAAAATAAACGTTAGGGAAAACACTTGGCCATTGGATATTTTACATACTGCGAACCGGGCACCTTCCCATCTTGATGGTGAGATTCTTTCCATAAGCCTGGTTTCCTGTCCATGGAATCTCTCCGTTATGAACACCGACACTGGAGATGATGCCCCATGGACGAAGTAGCTTGAAGCCCATGTCAAGAGCTGAGCTATGTCCAACAACCTCGATGACCACATCGGCGCCACGGCCATCACTTAGCTCCTTAACTTGTTTTTCCAGCTCTTCTTTCTGCGTGAGGTAGTTCCACGGTTCTGCTCCAAGACTCTTGGCAAGAAACAGTCTCGACTCGATGCTATCTACTGCCAGAATAGCTTTGGGTTTATACTCTAGAGCGGCAATCAGTGCACAGATACCCACAGGGCCGCATCCGATAAGGACGACGATACTGTCCTCCGCATGCTCTTTATCTAATTGCTTTAGACCATTTGATGCAGCGTAGTAGCCGGTTGGGAAGATATCTGCCATAAGACAAAGTTTAAGATCTTCGATCTCCCTGGGAGCTCTGACAACAGTGCTCTCAGCATACGGGACTCTCACGTATTCAGCTTGTGCTCCATCAAGAAGCACGGTGCCGAAAAGAAGGCTCTTGTCGCAGCGTGATGAGAATCCTCGCTTGCAGAAGAAGCACTTGCCACAGCTCACGGTGAATGGGCTAACGATGGCATCACCGGGGTTAAGATTCTTTACAGCAGATCCAACCTCATCGACAACGCCGGTGAACTCGTGGCCCATAATAAAGTCAGTTCCAGAGGGTTGATGCCCGCGGAAGACATGGAGTTCGCTATAAGTAAGAGAGTTAGCGGGTCTCCATGTAGGTTATGTTGTAACAGTCTATTTTCACCTTCCACATAACGCTGTGTATTTGACCTTAACGATGATGTCGGTAGGATCTTGGATCTTGGGCTTGGGTCGATCCTCTAGCGCAACCTGCTTGACCCCTTTGAAAACGACGGACTTCATAATAGCGATGGTTGATAGTTGACTCGTAACTGAGGATACAGTTCCGAAAAGAAAAACCCTTTTCTGGCTCTACAGACGGTTGTTGATCATGTCTTTCTTATGCATAGTAGTGGCCAGATTTGAGATCGGAAATCTACCCCGCATAAAGCGTTCAGCTTAAGTATAGTCGTTGGGTTGAAGGGACCGAGGTTGGCGGGCTTGCTGGCTGACGGCCGAGATAGTTACGCCCTAACTGAGCCACTTGACTCGCCATCGCTTTTCCATTACTCATATGTTCCATTCAACTTGGCCTCACACTTTCTGGGCGAGCGCTTTCAAAGGTGTACATTGTCTAACTCGATTCCATCTCGATTTTTATGTGGCAAATTAATGGCATTACTCAGTTGCAGCTACCTAAATCCAGACTAAATCAATTCTGACCCTCGATAGGTTTAAACTCCGCCAAAATGAGCTAGATCTTGCTCCGCACTCGTAGCCCCAGCTGCAGAAGCTTAGCAACTCTCGCGTATCCCCACAAAGCGTACACCAACGTCTGCTGTGCAAATTGTCTCGCCTTATTACCACTCGCCTGTCCTCTTAAAACCCTAGCCGCGATGCCTTGCATAATGACAGCGGTGCGGAAATTACTAAAGGCAACTCCCCAGTCATAATAGCCTGCAGCATCCCAGTCCACGCTGTCCCAGTACCACTTCAGGCACTGGTATATATTGGGAATTCCAGCAACATTGCCTGGCTGAAAGCTTGTCTGGAGTTCTTTCAGCTCAGGTGTCAAGGTCTCTGACGTCAAATATGAGACTTGGTCCGGAATCCAACTGAATGGCATGAACAAGTTGACCAAGTCCGAGAGCGGATGACCTTCAGTTGCCATCTCCCAGTCTAATATCCCAATCACCCTAGGCTCAGTCTTATGGAATACTAGATTGTCAAGCTTGAAGTCTCCATGTACCAGCCTCCTAACATCTGGCGGATGCATCTTGTCGTCTGCGAAAAAGCTGACAAGATTGTCGTAATATGGCATGTTGCCGACTTTCTGGGCTCCTGATTGACTTGTGGTGTTTGCTTGAGCTTCAGATGTTTTTGACAGGGCTTTTATTTGACGGGCATAGAAACTCGTCGGTCGCTTCCAGCTGGATAACCCAATCTTGGTCAAGTCAACAGTGTGAAGCTTTGCCAAGGTGCCGACAGCCTCTTTCCAACTGATTATGACATTAGTATGTGATGTATGTCTAAAGTATGGGGCTTTGAGACTTACATAGCAGTGCGCTCTTCCGAACCAAGACCTGGGAGCCAAGGTTCCTCAAAGATTCTGCCGTCCAAGAATTCCATGATATAAAATAGCGTTCCAACAATAGAGTCATCTTCACACAAGCAATACACCTTTGGTACAGGAACATCCGTGGTCTCTAGCGCTTTAATGATTTCACACTCCCGCTCAATGGCATGGGCACTCTTCGAGAGAAGCTTGCCTGGGGGCTTTTTCCTAAGAACAAACTTGGCGCCATTTGCCGACGTAACTTCATACGTGGGATTAGACTGCCCATGACCAAACTAGATACTGTAAGTAAACAAACAAGGAAATTGTTTGAAGTGAGTCTTACCTGCTTTAGACTGATGGGAAGAGCAATTTCACTAACATTTTCCTTGATGTACGAGCTCAGTCGCTCGACATCTATGGGCTGCCTTACGATTCCCGCCATAATCTCAAATGTATGTGTCAATTGGCAATGAATTACTTAGTGTTGGACCCTTTTTGTAATATTCCATGCGGCTTAGTTGATCTCACACTAGATACCCGCCGACATCCCAACACTAGACCGAATCCGAGGTCGCAGGTCATTAGTCATGTCGCGCCGAGGGATCAGCATTTCCGAGTAGCTTTGCCGCGGGGAATCATAAGCCGAATCGCTAGACGAGAACCTTGGCTCTTGCTTGGATGGAGACACCTTATCTTGCATTTGCCGGTATACTGTTCTTAAATTACTCCATGTACTTGCCTTCTGTTACTCACTCGGAAATACGACACCAGTTCAAGGTCTAGCCAAGCATCATGATCTACCAGTCACAGAATCCCAAGATCTCATGTAAATTATTCTCCTTGTTCCCATATGACTAGAACTGACATTAATTCTACAGTCTCTCCCAAGCAGACCCTCTGGTCCTGGCTTCTGGAGTCCAAGCCTCTGTCTTCTGATAGCAATGCCCCAGGCTTCACTAATGCTATCACCAAAAAGCACATCAGCTACCAATCTCTCAAAGACTACGCAACAACTTTATCATCAGCTCTTGTTACCAACCATGACCTTAGTCAGAATGACACTGTTATTGTGTTTGGGAAAAACTCCATTTGGTACCCTGTAGCGACACTTGCTGCCGTTCGTGTTGGAGCAGTAGCTTGCGGCGTATCACCAGAGTACACCGTTGATGAGTTATCTTATAGTCTCAAAACTAGCAAAGCTAAAGTTATCTTTGCGACGGTTGACAATTTTGATAAAGCCAGCGCTGCAGCAAAAAAGGTCGGGGTTGCGCCAAAGAATGTCCTTTTGCTCGAGGGTTCCAGGCAAGGCGTCGCGAGCATCCAGACGATACTCGAAAACTCAAAGGCTCTCGTTCAAGCACCTGCATTCCAAGTCCCAGAGGGAAAGTCAAACCGGAATATTTGTGCTTTTCTCTGCTTCAGCAGCGGTACTACCGGCCTTCCAAAGGCAGTCATGATCTCGCACGCCAACATTATTGCCCAATGCATCCAAATCGAGGATATCACGCTCCCTAATCACAACCGAGTTCTCGCAGCCTTGCCATTTTATCACATTACGGGTATAATACATCAACTACACCTGCCTATTCACCTAAACGCCAATGTCTATGTCTTATCCAAATTCACACTGGACTCACTACTCAAGACTGTCTCTGACAACAAGATCAAAGAACTTCTCATTGTTCCTCCGATATTGATCAGACTAGTCCGAGAACCGGAGCTAGTGTCAAAGTACGATCTATCTCATGTTCAACGGTTCTCATCTGGCGCAGCCCCTCTGTCTCGAGAGATCTTGACTCTTATTGAGAAGACTTTCCCTGGGACCGGTTTCAAGCAGGGCTACGGTATGACCGAGTCGTGCTCAGCAATTGTATCGCACCCCCCTTCCAAGTACGCTTTTAAGTATGCCGATCGCGTCGGTATGCTGGTGGGATCAACTGAGGTACGAATTGTGGATGTTGAGACTGGTGAGGACTGCGAAGTTGGCAAGGCGGGTGAGATTTGGGCTCGTGGACCACAAATGGCCATGGGTTACCTTGATAACTCCGAGGCAACCGAAAGCACATTCGACAAGGATGGCTTCTTGCATACTGGTGACATAGGCTACTTCGATAATGAAGGGCTGCTGGCCATCACTGACAGGTTGAAGGAGATAATCAAGGTCAAAGGCATTGGAGTTGCTCCAGCAGAGCTCGAGGGCCTTCTTCTCGGACATCCACACGTCGATGATGTTGCTGTGTGTGGTATTTCCGATGAGCGGGCAGGTGAAAGGCCCAAGGCGTTCGTAGTTCTCAAGTCTTCTGAAATCTCAAGGCCGGTTGAAGCTGCAAAGGAGATATTTGAGTACGTCAAGAAGGAAAAAGCGCGATACAAGTGGCTTGAGGAGATTGAGCTTGTGTCCACGATACCGAAGAGCCCGGCTGGTAAAATTTTGAGGCGCAAGCTGCGAGACCTGGCTTCAAGCGGTAGCAAGAACGTGGTCGTTAGAGACCCTAGAGTTGTAGCTAAGCTGTAGAAGAGTGAGGAGCGATGGATTGGAGCTGACATGAAATACGCGAATCTTCATTTATTGCTGGATGTCTGTACTACTGTCTGATATGCAAATGGCCTCGCTCGTTGAACTGAAATTATCTACAGTGACTACAATTAGACATTTTGGACAAGACTCGTCATGTTTTCCAAGTATTCATGTCGTTCCCACAGAGCTGGAGGGTAGTTTAATTATGTGCAAAGAAAGAGAAAGAAAGAAAAAAAAAGATAAATCCTACCGTCTTTCATGAGGCTCATTCCCTTGGGAGATAGGAAAGCACAATACCCTCATAAGGATCTCGGGCAGTATGACGTAGACACCAAAATGTTCTCAGCCTCGGGTTTAATCAAGCTTTTTTGGTACCGGCTTCAAATTCCGAACCGTGGAGCCTCGGTTATTTCACTCTTTGGTAGGTCCATGGAAATTGAAAGTGGCATCTCAAATTCTGAGCCAACAACCAATACAAATGTTAAAATCATTGCCCCATTATCATGACTCGGTCAATTCACACCTATAATGACGACTATCCCTGAAAATTATCCGGCCCCGTTTCATCCAAAGACCGCAACAACCCACCAGTAAAGTCCCCATCGTCCAAACTTGGTAGTCGACACTGCTCAATATCATGAATTCTAATCGAGGAACTATGAACCTCCCCGCATCTGCTCGAATCCCCATTGCATTTGCTGGACAAATCAGCAAACAAGCTCAAAAGACCCTTGATGAGGTTGAGCGCTTTGTCCAGGAGAAATGCATCCCAGCCGATGCGGTCTTCGCTCAGATGCTGGGTAAAAAGCCGAACGAACGCTTCGCCGCTCATCCCCAAATTCTTGAGGACCTCAAAGATGAAGCGAAGAGTAGGGGGTTATGGAACTTGTTTCTGCCAAAAAGTCAATATGCAGAGGGCAGCGGTTACAGCAATCTTGAGTATGGTTTGATGGCTGAGCAGTTGGGTAAGAGCCAAATCGCAAGCGAGGTATGTTCCTCCCATCACTCGTTGTCAAAATTAGATGCTTACGATACAATTCTTCAGACCATGAACTGTTCGGCTCCGGATACTGGTAACATGGAGGTGTTGGCAAAGTTCGGTAATGCTGCACAGAAGAAAGAATGGCTTGAGCCTCTGCTAGCGGGCAATATTCGTTCGGCCTTTTTGATGACTGAACCTGATGTCGCTTCCAGTGATGCCACCAACATTCAGTTCGAGATGAAGCGGGATGGAGACTCGTTCATTCTAAACGGAAGTGTAAGTGAGGTTATGGCCAATCGCTTTCGCGGTGGACTAACTCTTGGTAGAAATGGTGGAGCAGCGGCGCAGGCGACCCTAGATGCGAGCTCTACATCGTCATGGGCAAAACCGACGTATCAAATCCCGATACTCATCGACAACAATCCGTCTTCCTTGTGCCTGCAAGAACTCCGGGTATTACAGTTCACCGTATGCTCTCAGTATTCGGCTACGACGATGCCCCCCACGGTCATGGACATATCTCCTTCAAAGATGTTCGTGTCCCGGCATCCAGCCTTGTCCTGGGAGAAGGACGAGGATTCGAGATTATACAAGGAAGATTGGGTCCTGGCAGAATTCATCACACTATGCGGTGCATCGGTGCGGTAAGACTTGTCTACCAGATGCATGCCTAGTCTGGAATATAGGTGAAGCTAACTAAGGATTACCATAGGCTGAACGAACCCTCGATTTGATTCTTGGTCGTATTCATGACCCATCTAAAACACCCTTCGGAAAGATGCTCCACGAACATGGCCATGTCACTACACAAATTGCAAAGGCTCGACTTGACATCGACGCATCCAGACTAGTCGTCCTGAACGCAGCTGTCAAGATCGACAAAACAGACGCCAAGTTGGCTCTGAGAGAAATCTCGGAAGCCAAGATCCTCGTGCCTTCGATGCTTTGTCGCATTCTTGATAGTGCCATTCAATTATACGGAGGCGCTGGTGTTAGTCAAGACACGCCATTGGCGTGCATGTGGGCAAGTGCTCGGACTATGAGGATCGTAGATGGTCCAGATGAAGTGCATATGCTACAATTAGGAAGAAGGGAGAGCCGACGGGCAGGATCTGTCAGAGCTAGGCTGCAAGCCCAAAAGGAGCTGGAAGAGAAGCTGTTTCAGCTGTATAATTTACAAAAGGTTGATTCATTACAGATGGACTGGACCAGTGAAACAAAACCGAAGCTCTAGTGGGTAAAGATAGGTGCAAATCCCATGGCAAACTAGACTAGAATGAATTGAGGGGACGAATTAGACAAGCGACGAAGGCGATATCGGAGCCAAGCTATCGTGCGACGAGTATATCCTTTCCAATTCTATCAACTCTGGTAGGTGACGCAGTTAGAAATCCAACAAGGTTGTTTTCCTTGCAATTCCTGAGCCCAGTTCCAAAGTTACGAACCGTATGACTTGCCAACTTCCATTATAGTGGCTATTTGATGACCAAAAGATGAACAGTAGCACTACTAGTGCCAAGAAAAATATTGAATCACCGCGCGCAACTTGCGTTGAATCTTTCTAGCTTTGCTGGATAGTTAATGTCCTGGATTGGTGAAAGAACTGGGGTCTCACTCTAGCTTCTTAGGGTTTAGATAACAGGTGCAGGTGTCCATGCTCTGTACGGAGTAGATCCCGGGATAACGGAATACCGATATGCCGATCCCATTCTGGAGGCTCTAGGGTAAGCACCTGTGTTGGGCGATGAGTGATCTCATGTCTATCATAAGCTATAGAGAGCAACGGATATTGGAGTTGGAATTGTATTGGGCTTGAGCTTCATACTTAATTGAATGATGTTATAGCTGTTTGTGCCTTGGATGGCCGTGGTCTCTCACTTTGGATCCAGCTAACATCAATCTTCCAGGCAAACACCGCACGATCGTGTTTAGCCGCGCCAGCTTTCACGATCACTCAATATCAGTCATGGAAATCAGCATAGCAGTAACTTTGGTTAGTTCCCAACGAGACTGAAAGTATTTCTCATGCTCAATTACATTATTTACAGAGGTACACAACAGTCATTGTGGTTATCGTTGCACTTTGCTTTGTGTCGTAATTATTGTTCCGCGGTTTTCCTGCCAGTCGTCCCGCAGTTTGAACCAATCGTGCAGCGAGTTCACATAAGCCAATGAAATACATTCTCCTCTCCATGGTAAGTGGGTCGGGCCCTTTGTCATGATCTCAAAAACCTTCCTGCACGCCACTGTTAAGCCAAATTGACATGACTCAGTTTTTGGATGCAACGTTAAGAAATGAGGAGTTGACCGACTGCACTTCCGCGGATATGGAAACCAATTCCAAAGCGTATGTCTAAGAAAGAATTAGTCAGTAGATTAAACAATAGAATAGGTCTCTACATAAACCGCTCTCTTCAACAGCAGACGATGCACACTCTGTCAGATAGGGTAGATCAAGACAAGATCACATACTGCAACATCCAAAATGGGCTCAACAACAGACAAACCGCTGCGAATCGCCTCCGCTTCCGGCTCAGTCACCGACCGACGCCATGCGTTGGCTGATTTAGCCAAGAATGAGCCAGTCGACTTTATCGTCGGCGACTGGCTCTCAGAGTACAACATGACCACAAGAGGAGGAGGCAAAGTCGACAGTGCAGGCTCTACAGATGAATTTGAGCTTTCATTCCTTGAGGCTCTGGAACCAGCCTTGACTCACTTGGCATCGAGCAAAGCCAAGATTGTGGTCAATGCTGGTGCTAGCGATACCAAAAAGCTTCATGATGTTGTTGTGGAAAAGATTGCAGCCGCTGGCCTGAGTCTCAAGGTTGCTTGGGTTGGCGGGGATGAGGTTTTTGATGTTGTCAAAAAGACCATTGACAAGGGAAATGCCTTCAAGAGTCTCACGCATGGTAGGCTGACCCTCCCTCGAATGCTAAAACAATGCTGACTCTATAGGCCGCAACCTCTCTGAATGGGGCCTTGAACCCATCTACGCCCAATGCTACCTCGGTGGCTGGGGTATCGTCGAGGCGCTCAAGCATGGCGCTGATATTGTCCTTTGTGGTCGAGTCGCAGATGCTTCACCCACCATCGGATGTGCAGCTTACCACTTCGGCTGGAGCCAAGAAGACTATCAGCAACTAGCCTCGGCTTTTGTTGCTGGTCACTTCATCGAGTGCTCGACATATGTCACTGGTGGCAACTTTACCGGCTTCAAGGACTTACCCGGCGATTCAACCAATCTGGGTTTTCCCATTGTGGAAATGCAGAGCGACGGCACTTTCTATGTCACCAAGCAAAAGGATCGTGACGGTATTGTCACTGTCGATACCTGTAAGGCACAGTTACTCTACGAGATTCAAGGACCCTTGTATTACAACTCGGATGTCGTGGCCAAGCTTGACAATATCAAGCTTGAGCAAGTTAGCAAGGACAAAGTGTAAACAAGCAAGCATCTACCAAGTCCCTCTCGAACCTAGAAGCTGACAGGTGTATAGATACGTACACAATATTGGCGGCTTGAAGCCTCCTCCTACCACAAAGGTCGGCATCACCGCCAAGGGTGGCTACCAAGCCGAAGCCCATTACTTTCTTTGTGGTCTAGACATCGAAGAAAAGGCTTCCATGCTTGAGAAGCAGGTACGGGCTATGCTTGATGAGTCTCAATTCCACTGCCTTAAGTTCCGGATCAACGGCCGATGTCCTGAAAATCCAAGGAACCAAGACGCTGCTACAGTTGACGTTCGTATCTTTGCTCAGGCCAGAAACGAGGAGTCTCTATCTACTGCCAAATTTCTGCGTCCTGTAACGGACGTGATCATGCAATCATACCCTGGCGCTACATTCGCTGTAGACGCTCGACAAGCAGTCTCCAAGCCTTATTACGAGTACTTTGTCGCTCTTATTCCACAGAGCGACGTTGCACACGTGGCCTATGTCCCTTCCAAGGGTCTTGAAATTCCCATTCCTGCTCCTACTGACACCCAAGACTTCCTCTACGAGCAGGATACTTACGAGACCACATCTCCTGTCGACCTGTCCAGTTTTGGACCCACCACAAAAGCTCCCCTTGGTTATATAGTCCACGCTCGTTCTGGTGACAAGGGATCAGACGCGAATGTTGGCTTCTTCGTTCGAAACGCTGATGAATGGGATTGGCTTCGGAGCATTCTCACTGTCAATAAGATCCGTCATCTTTTGGGTGACGACGATACCGGAAAGCCCATCTTCCGCTTTGAGCTTCCGCACATTTACGGTGAGTCATTTGCAAAAGAGACTTGCAGCTGTTGATATTTGTAACTGACACTCTTTAGCGGTGCATTTTCTCCTTAAGGATCATCTAGATCGTGGTGTAGCTTCTAGCTCAACTTACGACGTGTTGGGTAAGAATTTGGCCGAGTACTTGCGATGCAAGTTAGTAGACATACCTACCAAATTCTTGGACCGTGGAAGGATTTAATTCTTGTATGACTTTGGAGAAATAAAGAGAAATGATTTTTTCCCAAACAAATTCCTGTCAGCTGCAATGCCGTAGCAAATGCCGCCTTACCAGGCTCTCTTGAGGCGTTGACGAGTGTTATCTATTGAAGCAGCTTGGAAGTCTCACAGAATTGTAGAATAGTTTCCTTGCTCTGGCCCATACTTCTATCAATTGTTCATCTATAAATAATCTTCAGCAGATTGTCGCACAATAACACCGCCAAGTCATTTCCTCACTCTCCAATGTATCATCCCTAGAAGCCTGATGATACCAGAGTTGCAAGACCTTCTGATCCTCTAGAATGCCGTCGTTTCCGCACGAGCCGAGTTTGTTGGCAGCCTGCGATCGCTCGGCTATAGTCAGCCTCTGAATGATCAATAATCCAAGACTGGTGAGTCCATGGACAATCAAGGAAACGATTCCCAGACCTTCCGATGCCCTTAGTCTTGGCTCGATCAACTCGAATTCGCATATCCTAAGGCCGACATCGATCCCACGGGGAAGCCTTCCCCGGATTTGAATTCCGACGACCCCGCAAGCTAGACTCAACTTGGTGCTAAGGTTTCAGCCGAGATGTGGTATAATAATAGTAATGTTGGTGATGCAAGATTGATTCAAGATTAAAAAAACTTGTACATTATCAAACTTGAGTTGAAACACTGTTGACGAGCACCAAAGATGCCTTGGCAAAAGATTGATCATCAATTCACCCATCCCCAGCTGGACTACAACTCCCAGCCCAACTTTCAGCCATGTATCAAAGTCTCAGTCTTCTTCAAGAAAATTGATTCGATTGATTACGATACTTTCTTCGGTCATTGGCAGACTGTCCACGCCGACTTGGCTGTGGCTACGCAGGCTTTCAGAAATCACATCGTTAGATATGCACAGGTAGGATGATTCTGGGATTTCCATACACCACAGTGACTGACAATAGCGTAGCATCATCAAACACCCGAGATGAAGGAGAGAGCTAGAAGCTTGGGAGAAGGGTTTCTTGACTACGATGGCTGCGCCCAACTTTGGGTTAAGACTTGGGATGACTGGCTTGCATTTTACAACAGCAAAGAGTATGCTGCGGCGCTGAGTGATGACTGTGATAGGTTCATGGCGCTGCCTATGACATATATGGTTGGTTATGAGAATTTGGTTGTAGGAGATGCACCAAAGTCGCTTGGTGGTAAGGACGGGCTAGACGTGGAGACTCTCAAATAGAGTATACAGTGAACTAGGTACTCTGCAGCATTAGGCCCAGACGACCACATGAATGAATGCGTTGAATATATTTCTAGCAGAGCTTCGTAATTTAGATTCGAACAGCGACCGATGTAGGCAGGCCAATAGGTAATGTCCTCATCAGGATGAAAATAACCCAGTGATGGGAAAACTTGACGGTAATATAAGTTTTATCACAAGTCATCCCTTTTTCTCATGACTAATAGACCGGAGTTGCTCATATACAGTGTTGAATGTCTAGGACCTTGAGTAATTGCAAAGCTAAGGTTCGAACGATAGCCGCTCAAGAGAATCACATGGTCTGACACAGCGCATCCTTCACGCGCCTCAAATCCATTTCTAAAATATCTCAAGAACTGTGCATTAGATGTGTTGTTTGCAGTTGTTGATGCGGCCGAAAAACTTGATGCATGCGCCCCACCTGATCTTAGGAATCATCTCCAGAAACAACAAATCAGGGACGTAGAATAATATTGATAACCCTGTGTTTCCATATGGAAACGGGTAGCTACTTGGCCATGTCGCTACTTTACCAGGATACATAATATAGAGATACCGACATACCATCCTCAAAGTCGTTTGGAACGTAGATCAAGAGTTCTCAACGTGTATTGATGACATCTCGCCCTTCTCAGCCTTTGCGCTACTCTGCATAATGAGTTGCTCTGCCAGGATCGTATGCTTGATTTCCTCTTTTGCAAATAGTACGTCGATCTCTTCGAGACTCTTACCAGTAGTCTAATGTATGTTAATGAAAACAGCTTTTTGAGAACGTTGATGAGCACTTACTTCAGGACACATGAAGTATACGAAGATGATTGCCGCGAAGCAAGATAGGGCCATCCAGATCCAGATCTTCCAACCGACGTTCTGGAGCGCGATACCACCAGCAAAGACGGTGATGAAGGAGAATAGCCACTCTCCAAAGGCTCCTGCGGCAGCACCAGCATGTCGAAGCTTGAGAGGTGCGATCTACAACAGATTAGCAGTGAACAGAACAAGACACTTCTGGAAAAGGTGACCTACCTCTGGGCCATAAAGCCAGCAGATACCAATCCACCCGTAACCGAACACCATGTTATAGACAAAGATGGCAGCAACTGCAGTCCATTGAGTTGCGAGTGTCCGGTTGGGCAGTCCGATCATGGTGACAAATATCACCATGCAGCCTGTCAAAACAACAGCAGACCACAAGAGGATGCTTCGTCGACCAAATCTCTCAACAGTCCATATAAGTGGAACAGTTCCAAGGGCGAAAGCGGTATTCATGATAGCAGCTAATAGCTGGGCCATGAAAGGCGACAGGCCGACCTGTGCAAAAATAACGGTGCTGTAGTAGACAGAGAGGTTGATTCCTGAAATATCAACCGTCAGCAAACTTGTCAAGCCGAAATACGAAGTGAGAAAGTGACATACCCATCATCTGCTGAATAGCCAGAATGAGAAAAGAAACGCGGATACGACGCCCGACTCGAAGATCGCTACGGTCCCAAACGAGATCCAGGAGATTAAATCCTCGTTCGTTCTGGGACTCGAAAGCAATATTAGTAAGGATAGAGCTCTTCATATCTTGAACCCTCTCATCATGAATCTCGGCATCGAAGATCTGGCACAGAGTGTTGTCTCCTTCTGCTTCAAGCCCTCTGGCATAATACCATCGAGGAGTGTCGGGGAGGAAGAGCATGATGGTGCCGGCGCAGAGGGCGAAAACAACTTGAAAAGCAATGGGTATCCGCTAGAGAAGGTCAGATATAACTGAAGATGAGAATTTGTGATGGAGACTTACCCAAGATATCTGATTGTCCATGCGTGTGAAGCCAAAGTCGACCCAATATGCTATAGCAGCCCCTGCGACCAAGAAGACACATGTGACTGCAACATCAGGTCCTCGCTCTTCGTGTTTCGTACTCATTTCAGCCTGATAGGTAGGGATGGAGCAGGAGATGAACTAGACAGAAAAGTCAATAAAGTGCTCAAAGATGGGGGGTATACAAGACACGATATACGTACGCCAATACCAATACCCTGCCAAGTAGTTAGTACATCGAAGTGCTCAAGAATATCGAAGATTGCTCACGCAAAGAATACGGCCAACAATCATGTGAGGAACAGACCAAGCGGATGCTTGAAGACTGCCTCCAACAACAACAAAACCATTTCCCAGAAGGATGCACTTGCGTCGACCAAGCGGCATGCCAATAACAGTGACTGCGAGCGAGCAGACTGTAGCGGCAAGAGTGTATGCTGAGGCTATCATCGGAATGACATAAGTTCCGGTTGGATGCTGCGATTGGCATGACTGGTTAGCAACTTGTTCTGCGGCTGATGAGAATTGCCCACCCCCATAGCATGCAAAAAAGGTTCGGTTTCCTGGACTCCGCCGAGGACTCCTGCATCGTAGCCATAGAGCAGGAAAGACTGCAACTTGAGTTAGAAAACGTGCGATCAAGATGAAGAACGAGACTCGTACGATAGAGCAACTGGTGGAGAGGAGACGTTTGATCGTCTTTCCTCGGACCTTGGACTTGAAACTGGAAAACATGTTTAGGGATGGCCAAGAGTCTTTGACAAAGATGTAGAAGCGGATGACTTGATGGGGAGATGCTGTGAATGACGCTGCCCTGGACTGTTCTGGAAGAGTTGTAGGGCGAGACGTGAAGTACTTATCGTGCTGTTGCGCCGATGAAATCTCTCCTATTTCCTTGATGGTTATCTGAAAAAGCTGAAAGCTTCCCTAAATACTGCCCGCAAAGAAGACCCTCCTCTCCGCAAACCTGATCCCTCCCCGCATCTACCCCAGATCCAGACTCTCGGTGACCTCTGGGCTGATCTAACTAAACTAGATCAAGCCTCGCGCTATTGTTGTTTGCCGCAAACGAGGGCGTGTCATTTTCCACGGAATCTATTTCCGTTGAGTAGGCCGGATCACATGACAGACTGTCCATGAGTCAGGGCCCTTGGTGGCAAGATAACGTTTGCTTAGCAAAAATCATGAACACCCACGTTATGTCATGTCCTCAGCCAATGCTGAGCAGGACGATACGTCACAGAATGACCAATTAAATTAGTAAGCCAACTCCAATACCGTTCGGACATCATGTTGGAAGCTGGCTATATAATCCTCACCGAGAAGAGTGTAATAGATTAGTCCAGCAACACCAATCATCAATCAAGACAATCCACTCACCATGACAATCAATTCGTTAACCACACGCAATGAGAAAGCCGAGACCAGGAGCTTGGATGACCTGTCTGAGTCTCAACTGTTTAAACCTGTCAAAATCGGCAACATCACTCTTCAACATCGCATCGCCATGTGTCCTTTGACTCGTTACCGAGCCTCGGATGATCATGTGCCCCAACCTTCATTCCAGGACTACTACAGCCAAAGAGCATCCGTTCATGGAACTTTGTTGATATCGGAGGGAACATTTATCTCGGCCCAAGATGGTGGTTACGCCAATGCACCTGGTATCTACAACGACGACCAGATTACCGCGTGGCGTTCAGTTACAGACGCCGTTCATGCCAAGGGTGGATACATTTTTTGTCAACTCTGGGCCTTGGGTCGTACGGCTGATCCTGAGGTTGCGGAGAGGGAGGGAATTGTCTTTCGTAGCTCCAGCGATATCCCTCCTGACTCATTCCACCCCAAGCCTAAGCCTCTTTCCACTGGGGAGATTCATGAGACGGCTCAGAGATATGCTCAAGCTGCCAAAAATGCTATCGATGCCGGTTTCGATGGCGTCGAGCTCCATGGAGCCAATGGATACCTTATCGATCAGTTCATCCAGGATAAGTGCAATCAACGCACAGATTCATATGGTGGTAGTATTGAGAACCGATCTCGGTTTGCGGTTGAGGTAACCCAGGCCGTCTGTAATGCCATTGGCTCTGAACGCACGGGTATTCGCTTCAGTCCCTGGAGCACCTTCAATGATATGCGAATGAAGGATCCAATCTCACAGTTTGCAGATGTCATTAAGAAGCTGAAGCCGTTGAATCTCGCCTATCTACATCTGATTGAGTCGAGAATCGCTGGCAATCTGGATGTTGAGGCCTCTGACACCGATAAGCTAGACTTTGCGATCAAGATCTGGGATCGACCTCTTTTGATTGCTGGAGGGTTTACGCCCGAGAGGGCGCAGAAGCTCGTGGATCACGACTGGCCGACAAAAGACATCGTGGTTCCTTTCGGCAGATACTTTCTTTCAAATCCAGATCTGCCTTTCCGAATCTGGAGAGGCTTGGGACTGAACAAGTACAATCGTGCTACCTTTTATACGCCTCATACAACGGAAGGGTATACGGACTATCCGTTTAGTCAAGAGTTTTTGGATCACATCAAGGGTGGCGATGCTTTGGGACAAGTTGTATAGAGAAGAAGGGCAGATATGGAATTCAAGATGTTGATGAGTCATGTTTAAACATTGCAATACATTCGTCATGCAACTATTCTGACCTTTCTGTTATGTTCGTACGACCGACATGCCCTTCGCTAAAGTCTTAATAGGAACGATAGGTTGACTCAGCCGTAGACCTAGATGCTTCTGTTTTCCCTCTTGCAAGTTAAATGAAGGCGATTTGATTAGTCCGGCGTTTACCACCAAACTGGGAGATAGCAGTTCTAAGCCTGAGCTTTGAAACAGAGGAATGTATCCAGCCTCCAGTTGTTGAACTGGAAGTATTGGCATTCCGGTTGTGCTGCCGGGTTTACCAATAATCAGCATTGCTAGTCCAGGAGCGCACTGTAAAACTCTTGCCATTCCTTCAAAACATGATTCGTCAGCTTGGAATTGAAACAGTGGTATTGGGCAACTCACCATGGCCATTAAAACCAGCGTAGGTTCAGCCCGTCAATAGGCCCAGAAAGGGGCACAGCATTTGTAGTTTCCCTGACTATTCCAATCCAGACATGAAAAATCTGTTCATCAGATGGAGCAGATATTTTTGAGGCCGACCCATACGTCAGCATGAAGAATCCAGCGATGCTGCTTCTCATCACGCCAGAGTTGTGTGTTGAATCATCAATGGTGTATCTGTCCTCGAGGGAATATGGAGTCCAGTCTGAATCCTTTCTCGATTCTCCGCCCCGAAAGACCATGGTTCCATCCTTGAGCGGGTGGACAGAATAGTAATGTCTATGGTCATATCTCAAAGACATTGTAATTTTCAGAGTACTTTTACCAGATAGTGAAGCTGGCGGTACATAGGAATGTCCTTGTGCTCTTCGTGGCGTGACAATGCCAGCCAACTCTGGAATCAAGGATGAGGCATAAGCATTGGATCAGTGAATGACAGTTTGTGCAAAGATACTTTCTCGTGGAGTATAGACATCCCACCGCATAACATCTAGGGCCAAGCCGGCTGAGTCAGAGAGCTTGTTTCACTCGTGTACATTGGCAAAGCTATTAGTGCTGCACCGATATTTTTCTTTAACATCCTTTATTGCCTCTGAATCCATTGATTGATTTCCGGTAGATAGGACAAAGAGAAGGGTCCGCAAATCAGCGACCGTGATGTCGAAACCAGACGATAAGGCAGAAGACAAAAGCACAAAGACAAATCGCTGTATTAGGCCCCCATGTAACCCTTTTAGAGCTCATCGGAGTGCATCAAAGTCATCAAGAGAATTTAAATTCATTGTATCTGCGTAAGAGGACTTATGACTTAACAGCATTTCGATTATCTAGATGCTGGCTTCTCCCCATTGATTTTAATCTAAACTGACATATGAGATGTCTCTATCTGCAGATTAATCTATTACGTGACCACTTAGAGTGTATGAATAACGAATGCCTCGTGTAGAATGCCGCCGCCATAACTTATGATTCTCGTAGATATTGCGGTTCAAAATTACGGTTTTGGTTCTCACGCAAGGTAGTGTCGTTAAATGTTTGCTCGTTACAATGGCTCGCTCCCCAGCTCAGTAAACAGACTGCTCGTTGATAGACTAATCGCCGAGTGTGTTATGACCGCGAGTCCCGGCAGGATATGCGAGGTCAAGTGAGTTATGATACTATCCACACACTACAAGCCTATGGCCACATTGACCAGTCCATAACTGACTATACTTCAAATATCCAAATAGAAACTTATAATAAGAAACATAAAGACTAAATAAAATCTAGGCAAAGTTTAATGTCTCTTAGACAAGATATCGCCTGAGGTCCTATCAGTTTAAGCGCTGTTAATAGAGACACCTACCTAATGCATCTAGCTGCCAGTACCATTTGAGTGCGACCATTATCATGAACCGCCTCTACATCTAACTCTGCCAGACGTCGGAAAGCTTGGTTCCGAAAGGACTGGGGCCGCAAACTAGGCCATATTAGCTCTGTTTTGGTGGTGGAAATGATTGGATCTGTCCTCGGAATTGAATCCCGCGGGCAGATTCAGATCATCCAAGTTTACAAGAACCTCAGGGAGCATCTAAGCCACGCTGCCCCTCTTTGAACGCCTCCAACTACAAAAATCTCAATTTCTTATCTTATTTAGATCGTATCTTGATCCAGCATTGTGGAGCTTGGAGATAAGCATACGGCAACTTATTATTGACCTTCACTTTCAGGTCAATAGTTCTCCTATAGTCACTAGCAACCACGTTCTTCCGTCAATACCCAAGTGGTTGAATATGGCTACTATCAAAGTTGCAATCGTCACTGGTGGTGCATCAGGCATGGGCCTGGCCACTGCCAAGTCTCTATCCAAATCAGGTTGGAAAGTCCATATCCTGGATCTCAACAATTCTGCCGGCGCAACAGCTGTTCAAGAAATCCCAGAGTTGATCTTCACTCAAACTGATGTGAACAAGTACGAGTCCTTGTCCTCTGCTTTTGACAAGATCTTCAAGTCCGAGGACAGACTAGATTTCGTCTTCGCAAATGCTGGCATTCTTCAGTTAGAGAACTTTTATGAGAAAGCAACCTCTCTCCCTCCCCCGGAACCGCGCCAGATGAGCATCGATATCAACTTGAAAGCTGTCATCGCGACATCTTACCTTGCCCGGCAATATTTCCTAGCTCCGAGCAATCCCTGTCAGGATCCTATCCTGGTGATAACAGCCAGTATTGCAAGTTTTGTATGTATTTTTACAACCAAAATTAAGACAGAAGACAACTAACAGGACAAAGTACGCCCAAGAGTTCAATCCGTTGTACACTGCTTCGAAATTCGGCGTACTTGGATTCATGCGCTCAGTCGCTTATCCGTTCTTGAACGACGGCATTCGGATACATGCCATCTGCCCAGGGACGATTCGCACAAACTTGATCAAAAAGCAAATGATGGATTCGTTTCCTGACGAACATCTGACGCCCGTGGAAGCTGTAGTTTCTACTGTTGAAACTCTCATCAAGGGTGGAAACATAAAAGACTCGAACGGAAAGGAGGTGACCAAGAATGAGAATTTTGGTCTGGCTGTGGAGATCTTTGGTCAGAGTATCTTTTTCAGGGATCAAGTAGAGTATAGTAATAATGGGTTGAGAGAGCTATGCGAAGCTGCGAGCTTGAAGAACCAGAAGGCTAATTTATATAGCAAGATTTAGATATATAATACTTGAGGTGAAGATCCGGCACCAGAACTCATTACCTTGACATAGCACTTTTCTTCTGGTGACGTGCAAATAATCGCAGTTTATAAAGTCATAACATCGCGGCGCCTCTATGTATGTATGTATGTATGGTATGTATATTTTTCGTCCGGGGGGCCTTCGGTCCCGAAAAGGTCCCCTACTGTACCAAGGACTGCTTGTAATTTACTAAATTACCCACTTTTCGTCCGTATGCTGGCCCCTTGTCGTTATTACTTTTATAAAATTACATCCTTTTTACCTATATATACAGGTTAATCTATCGCAACATACCATAACATGCCTCGACAGCAATGTTAATTTAAAAAGAATAAAACTTCATTCTTTATGCTCTCTAGACCATAGAACTATCTCTTCAGGTGGCATAAAGCTCCGGCGGGGTCACGACAGGGGTATAGGACCTATTAAAATAAGCACTACTTAAAGTACATTCTCACAACCTAAATTTACATATAATAGAAGTACTAGCAGTTAGCCATATTATAAATAGCTATATTATATACTTTATAGCTATATATAGTTTATACCTTTTATTTATTTCTTAATATTAGCTATAAATAACTTTCTTTTTCCTTTTTTTTTATTTTAAAGGGTTAGGCCTAACCTTACTAAAAGCCTTTATAAGCTAGGTAGCTTAAATATATGCCCTAATAGATATAATTAATATCTCTTTATAAGTAAATTTATTATACTTTTATATCCTTAATATTTTCTTTTATTTTATTTAGCCTTTTTTTCTTATATAACTTTTAATTATATATTTGTTAAAAATAGTATTATAAATATACTTTTTTTAAGCTTTAAGTATACTATAAGGCTTTTAATAAGGCTATTATAATTTCTTTTATAAAATAAAGCTATTTATAAGTATAACTTTAAAAAGAAAAGATTAAAGTAATACTTATTAAGGATTATATTAAAATTAATATTAAAATATTATATAAGATTATATCTAATTAGTATAGTTAAAATAATTTATTTTATTATTATATAAAGTAGTAATAATAAGAATAAGGATTATCTTGAAGCTATTACTATTAAAGACCTATTATAAGTATTATAATTATGCCTTTATGCCTCTTTTAATAGGCTTTTTCCTCTTTTTTAATATATACTTATAAGGGGCTTTATTAAGAATAATTAAAAGAAAGAGTATAATATTATTATCTTTTTAAGTAATTTAAATAACTTAAGGAAAAAGGAAAAAGATAAATTAATAAAGAAAATATAACTAAAGTTATTTATACTTATTTATCTTATATTAAGATTAAATATACTTTATTATATTATAAAGCTATATTATTAAGAGCTTTTTTAGTCTTTTTTATATACTTTATTTTAGTAATAATATTATAATTAGGGCATATTATACCTATAGTATTATAGTTAAGTTATTAAAAAAAGTAAAAAAGCTATAGTAATAAGAAGAGGTTATTTATAAAGATATAATATATTTATATTAATTGCCTTTTTAATTAGTAAATTATAATACTTTATATATTATTAAGAGGAATTTTAATTTATAGCTTTTCCTTTTTATTATATAATATTAATATAAATAGCTTAATTATAATAGCCTTATATAATAATGCCTTTATATATTAAAGTTATTATAAAAAAAAGCCTTATAAAATAATAATATAGACTTTAAAGCCTATAAGTATAGGTTTATTTTTAATAATTATTATCTCTTTTAATTTACTTATAAAAGAGATTATATACTTATTTATAATAAGGTTAATCTCTAGAAAATAAAGCTTAATAAATACCCTTTATATATAATTAAATTACTTTTAACTACTTAAAAGGTCTTTAAAAGGTTGCTTTTATTTCTTATATTAAGCTTAATATAATTAAAAGTATAAAAATACTTTTTAATTAGCTTAAACTTTTATAATAATATAAACTTAATAATTAAGTAAAAAAGGCATTAATTTCCTAAGTTAAGGGACTTTTAATAATCTTTAACTAATATTTCCTTATAAATTCCTAGGTAAATAATAACCTTAAGCTATATATAAGCTGTTATAGTAAAGATGCCTTTTTATATAAAAATTTAAAACTATTTAAAGAGAGAGGTAATTTAGTTATTAATAATAGCAATTTTAAGTAAGTAAATAACCTAATTATTAGTATATTTAATCTATAATTATATAAAGAAAATAGGCATAAAAAGCTAGAATAATTTAAGTACTTCTTTAAGTAAAAGGTTAATCTTAAAATTATAATATTCTAGGTTAAAAGGAGGCGGCTACTCGCGGCTGAGTTTAGTGGGCAACAGCGCTGAACTACCCTACTGCCCGGCAACCGCCATACCTATATACTTTGCAAATACCAACCAAGACATACAACATGGAATTATTACATCATTCGAAAAACAGAAAGGCAAATCTGCTTCATACTTGCCAGATACGGCTCAAATTTCTCCTCTATGTTATCCATAGTGCTTTCAATTGACCGAGGATTCACGAGAAGTTTTAGTAACTGACTTTGCAGTCAGCATGCGCACGGGCCACTAATCTAGTTGACTGTATTAGTGGCCCGAGCTTTTCCTGCTTGTGTACAGACCGGGCGTCATTTACACCATGGCGGGCGACTTCTGATCAAGGCGAAATTTAAAGGAATATTATAATATCTTAACAGATTAAAGAGAGTATCTGCTCCCAGTAAGCCGCATATTAATGCTCTGGCTCAGAATATTGATGATAGTATTATATAATCAAGCGAAACGCTAGGAAAGAAAACCCTAGACTGGAACCTGTGATGCAAATCTTCCAACCTTGAGCCCAAAGGGTTGCACGTCAGTACCACCACCATCCATGAATTATTCCGATTGGCTCATAGAAAGACATTCTTGATCTGGCTTGGGTCATGTTCCTGCGTCTTTAGAGACCATTCATCCTGACAAAGACAAAGAAGCTATCTGGGGAGCGCAACCCTTGCTTCTGCCCGAATCCTTCCTGATGGCCTGTTCCTCTTCGCCTTCCCAAGCCTACCTTTAAAACCGTTTTCAAAGATCCGAGATACAAGCTGGCTGTAGCCTAAATAGGAATGATTTATACCCTATCGATCGGCAATTCAGGATCAGCTGCAGCTACACCTCACCACTTCTGTCTCAAAACCATCTTCAATTTGCTTTCTAGCACTAATAAGTAAGTCCCACATGCTGTCTTTCTCGACCAATGGTCCGTATGCTTGTCACCGAGGCTATATCATGATGGCTAAGGTTTCGGGGGAGGACTAGCTTCTGTGAAAAGATCCATATCAATACCGAAATGGGCCGGTGTTGTCCGTACCCATACAGCGATACATGATTGCAACTTACAACGACCACGAGACACGGTAAAGCTAAGATCCGAGGTATAATAAATTTTCTAAGTCTTGTATTAGCTGGAAGATGATTGGAATCTAAACAGCTCGATGATGACCATGTCGAAATCAAAACCGGCGCACCATGAGGACACCGCTAGGCACGCCAAACAGTTGGTGAACTCACGAACCCCGGTCATAAAATCCATGGCTGCGACAGAACTTCTCTATTGAGTGAGAAGTCCCCTCCAGCAACTTCAAGTACTTCATTCCCCCCAACCCACTCAATCGACCAGCCTTTACTATCTCGATACATTTCCAGAGGCGTACGGTCTTTCATTTCAGGAAGGTACATCTTCTATATTCCCAAGTGTTCCGTCTCACGACAACTACAACACCAGATGATAGTATTACAACTCTTCACCATCTACCACTACGACAACGTCACAACCTGACGTAACAGGCAGCTTGATCTGGAACGTCATTATATCTGGATACAATCTCCCCATCTATCGACTGTAAAAGCGCAAACTGCAACAGATCACACAAGAAAGTAGTATCAGGATCCACATCTCGTTTGCATTATGTCGTCCCTGGTACAGCTTAAGTGGATGAAGTTCCCTCATCCTGGGAAACAAGTCATCGGGTACGCAGCCCTGTGCTCGGTTGCCCTTTTGCTTTAGGGATGCTGATACTCATCTAGGTACGCTTCCACGCCGAGGTCCCCAGCGGTATTCTCAACAGTCCCGATTGCCCTTCTCTTTCTTATGAGCGCACTTTGGCCGATGATGGTCCACACCAGGATCCCTGTCCAACCATACGAAACTCTTACCGATCGTATCAATTCGCACTTCTCTGAAACGGTCGAAATTAGGGACCATAGCTGTGACAGCACGATTTATCTTGTAGCCATGAATTAATGGTTCCTACCCATTATTCCACAGTTGTGGCTTTTCGCTGAGGGAGTATATTCTTTGTCTCGTCTGTGACATCATCAACATCGCTTGCCAGCCTTTGTTTAAGGCTAACACGCCCAGGAATCCCAGAGCCCCTACCGCGCCCCAACTGAAGTTCAACAACAAGGGCTACATTATTATATCTTGCATCTGGTCAGACGGCGCCCGTTGGTATTAATATTACCGGATCATTTTAAAACTGGTTAGAGGACAATTATTGACATGGTCATATGGAGGTATGAAGGATATTGACTTTGGTCTGGCCATCTGATTTGTTCTAAATATTGTTGCTTATATATATTGATTCATTGTAGTAGAGTTTTTCTTTTTCTTTTTCCTTTTCGCCTATATATTTCGCCTTTTCTTTTGGATTAAGTCGGAAATAGCAAAGATTAACTCCCGAAGAACCATTATTATAAGAATCACCAAAAGAAATGCCATAACAACTAATATAAAATGCAGGGTGAAGTTGGAAAAGCCACGATAGGCATTCCTGACTGCTATAGGCTGACTATCATCAACCGCTAAATTTACTTGCATTGCAGCCAAAACAACGGAAAATATAGCAAAGATAAACAAGATAGGAGCATAAAACCTTGCCATGTAAGCGCTGTACTGCCAATCCACCTTGGAATAATTGAAACCCAAGAGAAAAACCTTATACCAAAAGTTTAACCGTGTAAGCCGCAGCTCTCCAAAATGGAAGCGTGGAGAGACGTCCTTGTTATTGATACCCTCGAGTAGCCGGGTAAGTTGGGCAAACTTTGTATAAGAGATTTCTCTTGGAACAAGTCGAACTTTTTCATCGGTTGCAATTGCGAAATCGGATTCATGTTGAACAAGGAAGGAATATGACCTAAGTAGGCCATTTGCCGCTTGGAGGATGTCTTGCTGTGAAGACCGGGCGATTGGGGATTTGTCTGACAAAAGATAGTAATCCCAGAAGGGTCTAGATAGAAGATAGAGTGGTAATGGTTTGATGAATATCCGATTATGTGCCCAAACTAGATGCAGGCTTGGCTTTTCGGTAATGATAATGTTCCGTCCCCGCACAATCTGCTCTGTGAGAGATGAAATGTGCGTGCCATCTTGTTTAGCAACCAGCCAAAGATATGGCTCGAATTCATTCAGTTCGGGAGTCAATAGTTCCTTGGTAAGATAAGCTCCCATATTTGGATCGTTTAGATTGATCCGAGGACAACCAGGCAAGAACTCAGGTCGGAGTTTCCCATGTTCGTCTTCCGATGGTGTGATGATTCCTGCCGAGTCGATGTTCATTTCATCGCAGAGTTGGTCATTCAGTTTGAAAGGGCATTCGGCCATCTTGAGATTGAGCTTGTCCGAAGGGAGAAAAAAAGAATTTTAAAAATGTGTAAGAAGGGAAAGAACAGAAAATATAAGTAGTCAAAATATCTGTTACCCAAGTACTGCGGGACAAACGCTGTTTGTATCTATCTTAGAAAAGGTCATCGATAACATAAGATAAAGAGCAAGCGCTTGCGCATTAAGACTGCAAGGGTTGCGTGATTTACCTGATAGGCAGTCAGTTTCCTGATGTGTCTTCTTCCGATTGGATAGCTTCTGAGTAGTGCCCCCCTGTACGCCTGGCTGAATCACAAGTTATGACGGTGATGTACTAAGCACAATAGGACCTTTCGGGGAGAGCTCCCCGCTTAAATGCATGACTGTGGCTTGTGTTTCGGCGCCTCCTAAGTCATGCATGTAACAAGGAATCCTTGCAGCCTAATCCTGGCTCCCCCAAGCCTAACAGGGCAGCCATATTGGGGTTGTGAATTCAAAGTAGAATCCTCATCAGCGGGCCAGCTACAGGGATTCGATAGTGGACAAGATATCACCTAAATTTATTATACCTCTGATTAACAGGCTAAAACAATAATTAGTTCACGTCTTGTTCTTGGCTGGCCACAATCCTGGCGTATTCGTATTGACAGCCTTAGCTGGAATGATAGGTTAAGAAGTCGCAGAAAACTTGCTGACATGCATGTGGCGTTCTGTAGGCCTCGGGCGATACTAAGCCACTGCTGACGTTTGATCAGCAAACTGACTTTTGCTTGACGTTGACTCTAGGTTCAGTTTTTGGGCAACTTTCATCATTCAACCTGTTCATCATAATCATCAAAGCATGAGCTGGAGAAAGCCAGAAGAAGAACTCTCTTGGTCCCACCTCGTTATCGTTATCGCCATAGCGATCGGGGCATGGCTTTTGTATCGGCAGTATGATGCTGCTGCTAAGAGGATGCAACGTCGTCAAGTCATTCCTTTTGGAGAACTGCGAATTGTTAAGGAGGGCGAAGACCCAAAATTCCAGTAAATTTCAAGCCAGTTCATAGAGTCAATGGTGTCACTGACGGTCCAGAATTATCGCAGTTCAAGCTCTGGGATCGCATTCTGTCAGTACATGGAAAAGCAAGGAGGCCGCCAACAAAGAAGAAACAGATTTACTCCTAAACCTACTCCCAGCCCACCTCAAGGATGCGAGAAGCCTTCAGTGGGTTTATAACTCAGACTGGGAATACGATGGATCTGTTGCGTCTCTACCAGAGTTCGGTAGAGACTTATTGCGTCAGCTGAACGCGCATTTCGAGGTAGGATATCTAATACCCTGCTGAAGACACATCGCTAAGCTTTCCAGCGTTATGAAGGGCAAGATGATTTACTCCCAGTCGTATTTTTAGGGTACAGCTTCGGGGGTCTTGTTATTAAAGAGGTATTTCACATCCTGGCCAGGCTAATGCTCAACTAACTAGACTCTAGGCGTTCTTTGCTACGGAAAGTAACGATGATTACCTTTGGAAGATAACTCGGGGTATTATATTCCTTGGAAAACCGCACCTAGGCTCCTCAATGCCGCAACTTGCAACTCTACGGGCGTTCTGCAACAGATCCCTATGTTCCAACGTAGAACTCATCAAAGCTCTAAACTCGCGCCGCAGGCATCTGAAGGAATTGTTGAACAACTTTAACGATCGGCTAAGAAAAGGCGGGTTAAGAGTCATGCCTATCGTATCCATTTCTGACACAAAGCCTATGTATCAGTTCGTACTACCTATAGGACTGGTCAGTACCTGCTCTCTTTCCTAGTTCTCTTTTTCTAACATATTTGCCAGGTCATTGATTCGTTCTCCTCAGAAATACATGCTGTTGAGAGGTTGCAATCGGCATGCAGTCATACAGAATTAAACATATTCACCGGTGTCGACGATCAGCGGCCTCAACAGCTGGTCCATTACATCAAAAGCGTCACGCCACCATATATCCCGGAAACCACCGACAAAATAATATGGGACTCTTGCTATGCAGATGGTGAGCTAAAGGTCGATCGCCTGTCTGGGTAAAAGCTTGACTTGAACGTATGCTATATTAACCTTGGTCTTGTCCACATGCCATTCAAGAACGACAAAGACAAGTCATCTCTTGCGTCTAGATCCCCGAACCATACCCTTATGAGCCGTTTGCGACTCGAAGAGCCTGAGGATACGAGAAAAATAGAGTTGGCGAAACTCTTTGATCCAGTTAAAATCGACAAGATTGAAAAGCATGTCAGAAGGGTTCTTATTTATGGGCGTGCAGGAATTGGAAAAACTACTCTGTGTAAGAAGATTGTTCATGAATTTAAACAAGGCAGACTTTGGAAAACGAATTTCGACAGACTTCTTTGGATTCCCCTTCGCGAACTCAGCGGCCTCAAAGGTCAACAAGCGACCCTGGAAACGGTCCTGAAAGCGAGATTCTTCAAGCATGGTGATCACCACCAAGAGCTTGCTAAAAGGATAGGCGACCAATTGAAGTTGGAAAAGTTCAAAAGGACTCTCTTCCTTCTAGACAGCCTGGACGAGGTCGCTTCGAACTTGGATGATTCTAATTCAATCTCCTTATTACAATACCTAATCAACAGCCCCAACGTCATCATCACATCGCGCCCTCACTTTGGACTGCCAACATATATGAGCCCTTTCGACATCGAGGTGGAGGTTGTGGGGCTCGCTCTCGATCAAGTGGATGATTATATTGAGAAGTCGACATATGATTCGCCAGAGGAGATTCGGAAGTTCCTCCGAATGAATAAACTCGTTCGTGATCTACCACGAATCCCGATTCAGCTTGAAGCACCGTGCCATACCTGGAACTTGAAAGGCAGCAAATGGGATGAAACAGGGCCACCTAGAAGCATGACGGACTTGTATCAAGCAATGGAAATCAAGCTTGCGCAAAAGGACTTGGAGAGTGGCAATCCACAAGACCAGAACAACGCCAGTGGGAGGAGCAGGGGTGATGTCAAGAAAGAAAGCACAAAGTTTACCAATTTCCTGAAAGCTCTCGCTTTCGCAGGTATGTGTCTTGGTGAAGTTAATTTCGACAATGGCTTCCGCGACATGATACGCCCACATTTCGGCGACCAATACTGTGTGGATGACGCATTAACCCTCCAAGGCCTATCCTTCCTACGCTCGTCGAGCTCCTCGCCAAAAGAACGTGTTCGAGATTATGCAAGTTTTTACTTCCTGCATTTGACATATCAAGAGTATTTCGCTGCCCAGTATTTTGTGCAACAGTGGTTGGAGAAGAAGCCCTTGATAGTATTGTCATCAGATCGTCCCAGGTCCAGGAAAGAGGCTTCAGTCGAGGAGTTTCTCCATGAGAACAAGTACTTACCAGCATTTGATGTCTTTTGGAGATTTGTCTGTGGTCTGCTTCCTCAAATCTCTCAGACAGAATTCTTCACCCTTGTTAGCCAGCGACCTGATATCTTGGGCCTCGCACATCAGAGGTTGATCATGCATTGCCTAGTCGAAGCGAAACCAACTTTTGAGGTACAATATCATTTACAGCACCAACTGGGAAACTGGGCATATTTCCAACTTTGTCAAGAGGGCTCGGATAGTAAGCTGGCTGAGGAAGCTGAGTTTCCCGAATCCGCTATTCACCGAATTCTGACGGACACTACTTTCAGTGATGCCTGTATGATCCTCGACGTTTTATCAAACCGAGATGCTCTTTCGAGTTCGGTATTGGCAAAAGTCCTCCACCGTGCTGTGATAGATAGGAAAAGCATGCCTGATTGGAGTCTTGGCATATCAATACTGGCAAAATCTAGCCTGCCCGAAAGTCTCATAAGCACGATCTTGAAAAGCGCAGCTCATGCGGATACCAGGATCGCACATGCTGCTATAGAACTCCTGGCGAGACAGCAACTCCTATCTCGACTTTCGCCCGAGATTTTGCAGCGATATGCACAGAACACTAGTTTTTCTTCCGATATGAGTATCTTACGTAATTCATCTTCTCTCGAAGTATTTCTTCCATACCTACCATCTTGGCGTCAATCAGAAGATCGAAACCTTCGATGGGCTCTTATCAGACATCCGTGCAAGTCAAACCTGCTCGAGGCCAAAGCTCGTGAGGATTTGTTGAAACCTCGTCGGGATGATGACATGCTAGTTCGGGGTGAAATACGGCGTTACTTGCAATCGCAAAAGTTCCTCCCGGATGAGATGCTGAAAATCGCTGTTGAGCTCCTAGCGTATGATGCAGTATCCGAACCAGACTCAAGCTCGTCTGATGACAGGCAAGCCAGGGTGGAGCGTGACATAATTCGTCTCCTTCACTGTCATCAAGCGACTCTCAGGCCAATCTATACTGAGCTGCTTCGATCCTCGCCCAAAGCCAGTATATTATACTTATCTGCAATTTACGCGACAGGACGCGTCGCGTTTCACTCTGAGCCCCTGTCTTGATCAGCCCCTCCATTTCTATTTGTGTAACAGTATAAAATCAACTCTACATCCTGGCAATAATCAACCCTACCAGGTTTAAAGTAGGCCGATAAAATCAACTTTACTAGAGTTGATTTAGTCCTTAGTTACTAGGGTGGTGGTTAATGTGTTATCTCAGCAGCCGCGCCTCGAGCAGCAGCTTGACGATGGCCTTGTGCCTGTTCTTGGCGGCCTGCCAAAGCGGCGTCTGACTATATTCCTTATCTTTCGAGTTGACCTCGGCCCCCTGTTGGAGAAGTAGCTTGACAACGGCACTATGTCTAAAATGCGACGCTACCTATAAGTCCCATAAACTTGGAAACCAGCATGAATTTAGTCTCCTAATAAATTCTAAACCATACCGAGTAGCTCCTTAAATCCGGATTATAAATTCTTAGAGCGAAAGGTATACTAGAGGCGTTATTAATAATATTAGCCTTGCAGAAGTAAGTGCCCTAATTTTAGGCTAAGTAATCTAAAAAGGTATAGCTATTAATAAAGTAGCTAGCTTCCTTATTTATATTTATTAATAGATTAATATTAGAATTAAAAAAGTTTAATTAAAGCCTAGATAAATTAGTAAGAATTATATATACCTCTTAAATAGTAATAGAATAATGCTAGTATAGCTCTAATAAAATAGTTATAGGTAATACAAAATCTATAAGGAGAACCTTATAAGCTATTTAATAAATAAAATAAATATTGCTTTAATAAACTAAGATAAATAATTTATATTAAGATCTAAGGCATATCTTAAAGTCTTTATTATTTTCTAAGTTAAGGTTATAAATAGATTATTATATATAGTTTATATTTATAATAATATTTATTTCTAAGAGGGTTAGTAGTTAGCTTGCTATTAAGATAATACTTAAGGCTTTCTAAACTAATATATATAATAAGCATATACACCAAACAAGTATGTGCACCAAAAATCCCTTAGTCATTATAATGTTAATGTAATTAATTAATACTTAACTAATAACTATACCTTAACCTTATTCAAAATATTAAATTCTTCTTATACTTTAAGCACTTTAAAGTAACCTAAAGTTAAGTCTCTAGGACATTACTAGATTATATTAAGTTAACTATTAGGAGTTATATTACTAATAAAATAAGATTTAATTATAATAAGTATTATTATATATAAAATAATTATTATAGGTATAAAAAGGTATAAAAAGCTAAAATTAATATAGCTTAAAAACTAAAACTAAATTAATATTATTTAAGTAATAAATATTAAAGGCTAAGTAATCTTATTAAATATTATAAGTATAAGATAGTATTACCTTATTAACTAATATTAAGAAAGTAGCCTTTTAGGTAATTAAGTAATTATAATAATTTAAACTAACTAAACTAATAATAAGATAGGTTTTAAGTAATTAAAGTACTTTAATATATTTATAATAAAGTAATTTAATAATTATTATTATTTTCTAATTTTTAATAATTATAAAAGTTATTACTTAATTAACTTTAAAAGATATTATAAAAAGAATAAGATTATTATACTTTATATACTGCTTTATTTATTTTCTTTACTTTAGCCTCTTAATTTTTAATACTTTTTTATACTTAAATAAGTCTTAAGTATTATTTTATTATATTTATTATTACTACTTTATCTTATAACTTAATCTAACTTATTACTAACTAGCCTTTATAGTTTTTTTCCTAAATACTAAAACCTTTATTTCTTAATTTAACTTCTTCCCCCTCTTTTCTCCCTTACTTCCCCTCCTTTACCCTACAATTACCTTTATTTCTTATAATAGAATATTTATACTCTTAATTTAACTAACCAGACCTTGCTTTTTAACTCTTTAAACTATGCCAAGTATATAGCATTACTGCCGGCTAATGTAATACTATTAATAAAGGCCTGCTATTATAATAATATACTTATATCCTTTTTTAACTAATTAGCTAGGCCTTTTAATGCCTTTTTTTAGTATTTAATAAATTTAATAAGGTAACTATTTTATATAATACCTTTAATTAGTATTTAATAACTAAAAATAGTAAAATTAACTTATTATATTAATTATAATTTATTAATATAAAGTAGGTATTTACTTATAATTTTATAATAATAAAGGTTAAAATATAAGCTTTAAATCCTTATAATATAAATATTATTAATATTAATTAATTAAGTAAATATATATATATTAATTACCTTAACTAGATAATTATAGCTAAGTTAATTATTATTAATAATAATTATATAGCAGTATATCTTAAATAATAAGAGTTATAGTTTTAGGCTTATTTTCTTATAAAGCTTTATAATTATTATAGTAATAATAATTACATTAAGAGGTTAATAATAGAAAGAGAATTTAATTTATTATTAATAAGGGAAATATCTTCTTTATACTTATAAATTAAGGCTACTTATTTAGTTAGATCTTAAGGTTTAAGGCAGTAGCTATATAATCTGTTAACTTAATATTAAGGTTATTATGTTTTTTTTTTTAGTATAGTATATAATGCCTTATATTATGTTTATATTAAAAAAGGAAAATACTATTATTATATTACTTTATATATAGCTATGGCATTACTTCTCTCTTAATATACTTAAATAGGTATATAGCTAAGAAATTAAGTTTTAATTTAATACTTTCTAAATTAATTTTTTAAAATTAAGTTCTTTTTAGCTTTTTATATTATATTTTAAGCTAATATAATAAAGAAAATATTAAAATAACTTTTAAAAATATTAGGCTTATATTACTTAATTTAAAATATATAATCTTAAAACTTAATATATAACTATAGCCTTTAATACTAGTTAAGGAGGAGACTAGCCTTTCTACCCTATAAGTCTTAAAGGTACTAAAGATTATACTTAAGGTAATATTATAATTAGAATATCTTATAAAATAAATTAAAAGGCATTATAATAGCTCCTTATAATTAGTTCTAGAAGTATTAAAGTCTCTTTTTAAGGGGATAAAGGCAATTATATATAAGGTTAGTTTATTAAAGGTTAAGATCTAAAATCTTAAATAGGTAAATAAGATACTAAGCTAGTAGTAAAAGGTAAAAAAACCTAATTATAAAGAGAAGAAGTAATTATAATAAAGAAAAGAAGGCAGGTAATTAGTTAGTTAGATACTAATATATAGGTAGTAGCTAAATTGGTAAAAAGTTAGAGTTAGGAAGGGTTAATATAAGGAAAGAAAAGGCATTAAAAAGTATATAGTAAGATAGGATATAATATAAGAACATATTAAATAGTTATTTTAATATCTAATAATAAGTCTAGTAATTAATTCTAATTTATTATATAATTTATAGTATTTTTATAATAATTTCTATTTTAAATATTAAGATTTATTAATATATATACTTATTTAATATATATACTTATTTAATATATATAATTATTATATATATTATAGGTAAAAATATTAATATACTGCTTAAAGTGTGTTTTTAAATAAATTATTTAAAGATACTTCTAGTTAAGAGCTAACGCTTATTAGGTGCCTTACCTTAAAGGAAATATTAAAGAAGTTAAAATTAGTAATAAATTCTTTAAGATATTACTTCCCTTACTTAAAAGTCTTCTAATAGTTTTTAATTATACTTTCTATATAGATTCTTTTATAAATTAGGGCCTTAAGCTAGATATATATTTCTATAATATATATAAGCTTTTATCTTTATATCTATAATTGGTGTTTTAATTTATAATTCTATTTATTAATAATAACCCTTTTTAATAAGTTAATTAGTATATTAAACTTAACTATTAACTAAGAAAAGAGGTATAAAGTATTAAAAGAGATATAATAGCTTTCAAGGCAGTTATTTAGCCTTAAAATTATACCATTTATATTAAATCATTAGATATTAAACCTTTAGTCTTATATAAGAGGAAAGTTAAGTTACTAGGTATTATTATACTTATACCTCTAGCTATTATTATCTTTCTAATAGATCTTTAGTTATTATATAAATCAAGATCTTATTAATAACTTTAGAATAATATATATAATATTTTTAATAGGAATAACTAATTATGCATTATTAGGTCCCCTATATATACCTATTATATAATAGGGGTAATATAGGGCAAAATACCTTCTAGACCCTTAACACAATTAAGGGGATAGTCAGAGCGTAAGCAATACTGTCTTAGCTGCTGCTCGTAGCTTATCTTTTAGATAATTCTAGTTATATACTAGAAGTTTAAGTCCCCCCTCTGTTATCAAACTGATCTCTGGGTTACTACTAGCTAGATAAAGTAGTATACTACATTACTATACTGCATTCGTGTCTGGGTATCATTGCGGTGCTACCTTGAGGCGTAAAAGCCAGTTCATTCCGCCCAGTTTCATGTTCCCTTGAAGATCGAAGTTAGATCGAAGTTTAATCGAACAGCCCTTTGCCACCACCGTCATCCTTACGCCTTTCGCCATCTGTTCATGGATTCGGTAAGCCAAGGGAATCAACAGGGAGCCTTGAACCATCAACCCCCGCATTAGAATCATCTATCATTTTATTATTGAGTTTCCACTGAGCTGATGCTTTATTTTACTTCAAAACCACAGGAAAATGGGACAGCCTATCCCATAAATCGTGGGCACTCGGAGCTCACCAGAACTACCGCGCGCAGCAGCTCAAACCGCCAATGGGCAGTGCCTGCCCTCCTGCGCCTCATGCATTGACCAGTCCACTTTTACCCGGCCTTATAATAGGCCATAGCTCCCTCCATGTCACTATCTCTCCTTCTTGTATCCCTCTTACCTCAGACACCTCATATCTCAATCCAGTCACAATGAAATTCACTTTCTCCAGACCTCCTCTCCCTTACTTCATGCTAGACCAAACACCATTCTTTGCATAACGACGGCAGCACCTCAACTCCTCTCGTCTGAAAACCCCCGTCGCTTCTTCTGAAAGACTGCAATTAACGGCTTATCGTGTCGGTCCCTGAAGACGCTACTATCCTTTAGGCGCTTGTTGTAGCCAAGAAGCTAATGCACACTGTCCCAAAGCTTGAGCTCCTTGTCGAGAGGATCGTCCACTGCTCTCGAGTCTATGTCGAAATGCATGGTTGACCTGCGACTAGCATCATATTTCGGCCAACCGGGATCTCCTGTCGTGGCAAAGGCCACCCAGGCCCGATGCATGGCGTCAGCGAGGTCTTGCGGGGGGGTTGGGCCGAGAAGGGGCTCCGTTCCAAGGCCGAGCGTGTCGAAAACGAAGGCGATCTCCAAAGCATGCGACGCGCCGAGGCGGCCCCCCATCTGCGGCGAGCGCCATGCGAATTCATACATGTAGGTCGAGGCTCGAGCCGTCTTCGCATGGGCGTCGGCAAAGCGAATGGCAGGGATCCGCCAGTACCAGTCGGTCTGGATCGCCGAGAACAGCTCACCAGCGCTGGCTCCCGGATGCGACGCACGATAGGCGTCAAGGCCCTCCTGCGGTAAGCCATACGCACCAGCTATCGCCGATAGGGTCTCTTCGGTGATGCGATCGATGGAGCCGTCGGAAACTAAGAACAGGCGCGTTTCCTCGGTGTTGGACCCAACGACCAGGTCAATGTCCGCTGCGACGCCCGCACGGATAGCATCGATTGGATGCTCCGGGAGAATATCCCCGTCGATGATGGGTGCCCACGGGAGATAGCTGAGCGCCACCTCGTCCCAGAAGGCCGGGTCAGGGCGTGCGAGCAGGTCGTCCCGCAGCGTCGCCTGGGCCTGGAGGACCCGATCAGACGGCGTCGCGTTGATGGCCTCCCACTTACCCTCGATGCCTAGGATCTCTGCCAGCTGCTGTCCGATCCGCTTCCCTGTTGCGGTTGAATTGAGTTTCGGGCTGTTCCCGCTTTGCACCATGGCTCGGTGGAACAGCCCCTTAGCCCTGGGGACCGCGAGCAGCGTGGCAACGCTCATGCCGCCAGCCGACTCCCCAAAGATAGTGACCTTGCCGGGGTCGCCGCCGAATACGGTTATGTTCTTCTGCACCCATTCGAGAGCGGCGATTTGGTCGAGGAGGCCAAGGTTGGGGACGCCATCCGCTAGATAGAGAAAGCCTTGGGCACCCACGCGGTAACTGATGGTGACGCACACGACGCCGTCGCGGGCGAACCTGCCGCCATCATAGTAGGCTACCGCGCCAGTGGCGTGGAATTCAAACATGCCACCGGGAATCCAGGCCATTACTGGCCGTCCCGCGGCGCCGAGGCTAGGCGTCCAGACGTTCAGCGTCAGGCAGTCCTTACCAGCGCCGACTAGTTCTGCGAGGCCCTCAGCGATCCCCATCGGATAGGGGACCTGCGGCGACTTGGGCCCGAACTCTAGCGCATCACGCACACCTCCCCAAGATTCCGGCGCTTGTGGAGGACGGAGGTAATTGGGCCCAAATGGCGGTGCCGCAAACGGCACCCCTTTAAACACATGAACACCGTCGGCAGTTCTGCCCCGTACGTCGCCTGACTCCGTTCTGACGATCGGGTCTGAGGTCTGGTTGTCACAGCAATCTTGCGTTGAGGAAGATTGTTTGGACATGACACTGTCTTGATTACGCAAGGAGAGTAAGTTTGGTTGCATTGGCGAGGACGTGCAAGCACAAGGCAATCGGTATCGAGGCCTTTGGGGCAATGGACGGTCTAAATCAGACCTTGGAACGTCTTGTGGCCAGCGTCGTTTTCACGTCTCCTTTGATATAACATGTTGCGGTGCTTGCCGATGGACAAACGAATGGCAACTAGAGAGATGTGTTGATCTGGTGGTGGGTAGTAGTGGTGGTCATGATTATGATGATTGATGATGACGTTGACATCATGTTGCCCTGCTTCCCGCAGCGCCCTTGCTAATTTAGAGTTTTTTTTACTTGTGGTTGCTGTTGCCGTTGACGACCGAAGTGGGAAGAGAAATGCTACACAAGCTCAGCTACCGAAGGAAAACTCGGACATAATTGCTGCTATGATTGCCCGCCATAAGCTGGACCTTCGAAAACCCACTGCTTCCCGTGCCAGATTTGCGGGAGGTCGCCCGCTCGTTCATGGTTGGGCTGAGCGAACCGAGGTATGTGTTAAGAGGAATTCCTCATCGTCGTGGCCAGGAATGTGATTTGCAAGGTCTCCCGCCATTTCTTTGTCGTGGCTTCGCTGTTACTTTATGCCCATCGACTGTGGCCAGTCACAGTGCCTCGATGACCTAATTGCTTATGCCGGTTACAGTTTCTCTCGTCAGTTCCTGACCTAAAAATTATGACCCCATCCTTTTTTTTCTTTCTCTTTTTTTTTAGTGGATGTGTCGTATGTGGAAGTCGATGGTGAGGCCTCGCAATCATATGATGCCTCGTAGACTGCGAGTGCATTGGACCGGCTAATCCAAGCACTAATAATTAGGCTCGTGATGGGCATAGCAGAAATCAAGTACACGTGATTCTCCGGAGTCTGAGAAACGCTGGTGCGCGTTAGTGTCAGGCAATAAAGTATATAGCTCCGTTGTCATATGACTGTCCTGAGAGTTATGTAGATTCACGGTTAAACATTTCTCCCCTGGCAGATATGCTGATAGACTTTCTACAGCATCATTCTTATCTCACTATTCCTGTGGGTGTATATGTATTTTCCCGCATTATCTTTCTTCATTTGTCTTACGAGCATGTTGTGCTTGGAATCCTTTAGCCGGAACTTCCTGCGAAATATGCGGTCCCCTCTTTGAAGTCTCACAAATTTCGACTCTATAAGACAGAGACATTTTGCCGGCCTCGCTAAACAGAGTTCACATGCCGACAAATCCGAGAGTCGCGCTGGACGCCCGGGTACCTTGAAGTCATGCAGGGCCGTATATGAACTAAATATGGCACCAGAAGGTGTTGAGGATATGTCTGTTGTTGGGTTAATCACTAAACACAAAGATGGAATCTCGAAAGACATTGGTACTTGGTGTGAGGCTAGAGGCCATGATATGTTCAGCTCGGAGCTTCGGGAAGAGAGTGGGAAGGATATGCAATTTTTAATTCGAAAGGGAAGAACGATAAGGAAGGTTGAGAAGAAAATGATAGTAGTCATATCCACCGCACACCTGGAACAAGTTGTTGATCCCTTAGATAAGGCTATTGCAGGTGCAATGTTGGGATTGGACGTGAATATCGTGTGCGAGGGGGCAGGCGTACGCTTATTAAAGCGTGGTTATCGGATGAAACTCCAAGGAGTCCTCAGGGATCTTCACGTCATTCGTAGAGCGAGTGATGAAGAAAGATATTGGCTGGCCTCTGCCACAAGAGTCTCTCGGCATTTTGGAGAAGCTTGACTCCCATTTATATGTCTGGGGGCTCTCTATGTTTGGATACGGGATGCGAGAAGAGGACATCATTTTGTGAAACTACACGTTTGGAGCGACTATTACGTGGGCTGATCTGCTGGCGCGCTTCGATATCCACACCTTCTCCAAGGCGCAATTTGAGGAGCCATAATGAGTTCATCGCGATATTTTAAATTGGTTAAGCCAGCTATGTGATTGACTACGGCATGCGTTATGCTGACAACAGCGGCTCAAGAGGTGAATGTCCATGATAAGATATAATCCTAGCTGATCAGGGTTACTTGTATGTGGACAACCTAGAAATAGCTTTACGAAGAGACAACGTCGGCTATGCCTAGGCCCTTTACGTGGAAGCCCGTGATAGTGAAGCAGAGGTTTGCGTGGTATCCATCAGATCGTAGGGCGGATCCAGTCGAAAGCACGATACCACGTTCCAAACCCGAGTCTATACAGGACATGTTACAGAATTGAATAACATCAGGGATATAAGCCCAGTCAAATGCATTTCATATTTAAATTAGACGGTGCTTAGGCTTTAATATATCCTCTATTTACATAAAAGTTATGCCTGTACTAAATAGAGACACTCTTTACCACTTAAAACCCTAATAACCAAGACCGAATATATAAGCTATTAATACCTAAATCGCCTTATTAGCACCCTTATGCCATAATATAGTCTAATATTAATAAATATTAATTTAATAACTGCATTATTACTTATAGGATATTATATTAAGTATTCTTAAAGATAAGCTATTATTAAGTTCTTTCTAGCTATAAATTAATAGATATAAGAGCATTACTGCCTAAGTCCTTATCACTTATATATAGTTAATTTATTTAATTAATATAATTCTCCTCTTGCTCTAATATATTACTTAGATAGATATATACTTTATAATTAAGGCTTTAGATATTTTTACTTAAATTAGATTAAAATAATTTTAAGAGTCTTTTCCCCTTTTTTAATTTTTTAATATCTTAAAAAAACTTAAACTATTTATTACCTTCCTAAGAAGGGAAAAACTATTAATAAGTAATGCCCTTAATTTATAATAATTTAGTAAATAGCTTTAGACTTAATATTAGCCTTTCTCTATCTCTTAGGTTTTCTAGAAGTACTCCTCTATAAAATAAAGCCTTATTGTTTCTACTTAGCAGGATATATAATTATATTTCTAGTACTTTAATTTATTTAATCTTAGTATAATAAGGTAAGAAATCAGTTCTATTAATATATATAGTAGTTAAAGCTTAGCCTAATTTTAAAGAAGATTTAGAATTACTTTAAACTACTTTATTAATTTATATTAATACTTTAAAGTAATATTATTATATTTTATCTTAAGGTATATATTAATCTTATTAAAAAGGATTATAAATCTACATAACTTATATAGTAAAAGTTAATATTCTAGAAGTATAATAAATAGGTAAATTATATTAAATAATTAATACTGCTTATTAAAGCCTATTATCTCTATTAGTAAGAAACTTATTATACTGCAATTAGGTATATACTCTCTATGTCTCGGTTTTAGTTAAAGAGGAGGATCTTTATAAACTATTTAAGAAGATTATTAAGTTACTAGTAAATATATACTGTAAATTATATGTATTCGCGCCCTCTTACCAACTGTGCATCTTATTATTAATTTAATTAACTTTAGTCTAAATAAAGTCTACCTCTGCAAAATTTAAGCCTACTCCCTTTTAGGTAGGTCTAGAAATTAAATTCTATTCCCCTATAAAAATTAATTCTACCTTATGTTATTTAATATAAAATAAATGAATTCTATGTAGAATTGATTTTGGTATGGAGTACTAGGGTAGCGCCTTTTGACTTTATATGTGTTTATAAATCGGGTCTACTAAACTCGATTTCACCCATTATGGGTAGGTGAAGCCAAATTCGTTGGAGGCTGTATTAAGACCGTGCTGGTGGACTTGTTTTAAGGTTGAAGGTATATGATTGGATAGGATCGTTCACTACAGAGTTTATATAATTGGAGGACCATCGATTTTCGGCGATACTAAGAATCTTGTCGTTTCGACTCATATGATGGCCTCGGAAAATGCGGAGATCAAGACCGGTCCCAGGGACTCTGAACGTGCTGGTGTGGCGATCTGCAAGACGCTATGCGTAAGTGGGCTGATGGTGGTATGATGTGTGATGATCTCCGCGCACAGGCGCCAATGAAACAGATAATGGGTGGTTGCTCAGAAATGGGTAGTATCCGCGAAGACTCTGATTGGTCAAATCCATTCCCCGGACATTCAACACGTTCCGGGTAGCCTACAAAGAGGCACTTATCACCAGAGCAGGTTTGATCCCCAGTCTTCTATCCTATATCAATCATATAAAATGTTATTCTAAACTCAGTATTTTACATTTGTTTGATTTAAAATAAGCCTTTGGTATATTTGATTGATTTGTTCGGTAGTTTATTTGATTGGATTAAATTTATGATCACCACTGGTTGCTCGATCTGCATATTCGTTGCCTAGGATCCCCATATGCGTAGGGACCTATCTGATCGCAGTGTCTAGGTCTTGCGTTTAGAGTTTATCAATATGTTACGTAATGCTCACGCAGGTATACGGCAGATTTGCCTTCGGGGTTAGCGATAAATCGAATCGTGGCATGGTTATCGGTATAGATCAGGAGCTTGCTTCTATTATTGCCTTCGATCTGTCTTCTTGCGGTTCGTTATATATAATTTGTTCACATCTGGTTTATGTTTCTTCTGCGTTTGTTTTGATAAATGTCTGTGGTCCGTGCCATCACGGAGGAAGCAAAGGGGGGCGGTGTGGAGTCCAGTGGGTCGATCTCGCGGTGGACCTCATGTGATACAGTCAGATCATGCCTCAATCTATAACTTGGCATACCCTCTTGGCAGAATATCTCATGCCCTCTTTCCTAACTCCTAAGTCGGTTGTATCCCATGCTTTGCATAGCAATACCAGGCTATAGCCGTAATTTAAACATTTACTTATCTCCGAAAAGTATGGCGCCGAACATTAAAACTTCACGCGCCAAAAATGTCTCCAATTTTCCCCTCTCAACTATAAGTCGCCTCGCATTTACTTATTTCGGCGTCGTCTTCTCCACAGGCTTCTTCTTTGGTACCATCCGCCATCTATACGTCATCCCCAAATTCAATCTCCCACCAGCTCATGCCGAAATTATTGAGGCACCACTTATGTTTATGGCTGTTATTGCTTGGGCGAATTGGCTAGTAAACCGCTATAAGGTCCCCGCTAAAGCAAGTGTAAGAATGATAGTTGGACTATTAGGGTTGGGATTTATGGCTTGTGTGGAATTCATGGGGCGCAGATTTGCGGGAGGTCGTGGTCCTCCAAAAGAGAGTGGGGAGGGGTGGACTGGAGCAGCTCGAGCGCTGTATTTGTTTGATTTGATATTGTTTGGGACCATGCCTTGGATTCTGATATTGGTTGAAAAGGGGTGATCCCAAGCTGAGCGTGATGTATATTTCGATGCGATGTGTCACATTCAAGGCACATGTCATTATTCGCGACAGAACTAGCGAGGTGCACATGTTTTGCCTCAGCTGGTAATGCAACATTATATACATGTGCACATACCTACGCCTTGTGTCCACGCTATAGTGAAACCTACGTTAAACGGCCTTAACTATTGTACGTGATGTAGGTACAGACGCAATTGACGAATGGCCTAATTGCGAAAATATTGCATGGTTTAAGTAGTTGAAGTCGGTCTGAAAGAGGTTTTGCTCCTTGGTGGAATCGTCTCACAATTGAATCTCACCCACTGCACAGCTTGCGATATGATCAGGACGATTCTTAGATTATGCCAGCAAATAAAACTAAAAATTTATAATCAAGAGGTCCAGCCACACTGCTACAATAATAACCCAATGCTTTAGGTAGCAAGGACCCATTCAGGTTTTATATGATTTAACAACTTATCCTAAGTCGTAAGTCCCTCATAGAAGAGCAGAGCTCGATGAATCTCCCATCACTATCACTACTTGTGGAGGCCTGAAGTCCGGCCGTCCCACTGATGGATACGTGAGTGTTTAGAACGGGGGTTCTTCCAATTGTCATCAATGGCATTTTCGATGAGATAAGTGACCCAGTCGTTGGTGTATTTAATCCATGACTGCACAAGGGAAATAGGTATGAAGATCTGGAATAATTCGAGTGGTTCCTTGGGTAGAGATTTGACCTGAAAATCACGATATTCTATGTTGAAAGGTGTAAAATGATTTCCTCTGCCTTCTTCAGGCGGAAAATTAGGCACCCCGGTGGGGTCACCGGGGCCCCGCTCTGAGTGAGTGTGAAAGCTGTGATCATCTAGGCTATCTTGTAATTGATTGGGAATTGAAGAAGAGCTCATAGTTTTATTTGAGATTGATTTTTACTGATTTGTATGGTGTTTTGGCAAAAATGCGTCCCTCGAGGAACATCCCGTACCCCCCTTGCACTGTTGTAATTACCTAAGAAAGGTGGAGAAAGTGGCCTTTTGCAGTCTTGCGCCCCTCAAAAAGATACTTCGGCACATTACAGCAAGCCCTTGTTATAGTAGGCTAGGTAGGCTAGGCAATCTAACAGAATTTGTGTCTTTGTAACGGAGCTTCGTCAGTGTAGGTTAGGAACTCCTTATGCGAGCATTATTTTCCCAAGTCCTCTAATTGTCACAATACGATCATCCGTAGTCAGTGGCGTAAGAAAGCACAGGTCCGCAAAAGCTCGTTCCTTTAGGTTTTGCTGCGAACCACAACGCGAGGAAATACCAGCACCTTCACGAAGCAGCACAGCAGATTGCCACTAACTTCGAGTTTCGTAGATTCCGTGTGGCTTCTGGAGTTCGCGGCTGGTGCTATGAAAACTTGCTAAGGCGGGGGGCGGGGGCATCAAAACTTTATTTGGTGTTGGTAGGGCCATCCAACACACTAGACTTTGCGCTTCTAGCAGCAACGGCTACCGCGGGCAGTAGTGTGGTCGTCACAATATAGTGTGCGTGGGCTGATCGATCATCAGATGTCAACATCGTGAGGGATCTCAACCAATGGTTTGAGATGGTCTGCTTACGATGTGAAGGTGGTTAAAACACGCCATCCTTTGGTCGGAGAGTTTGGAGAGTTCGGCGAGACATGTAAATGACGACGGCGCTTTGAACTGCACCGGTGACCAGTTAAATCACGCATCATGCAGTAATTTTCTGTGCCTCGAAATACTAGGTCAGTTACCTATTTAGTCATTTCAGCCACCCATATTACGCAAGTGACTCTCGCTGGGCGAAAAGTCGACGCTAAGATCGCTAGAGGTCGAACAGCACCTTAGGAACGGAATGTGCCTGCCACGGCAATTTGGCAACGCAAAATGGGGCGAATACATACCTTTTCTGCGCAATCATGAGAATGGCCATCTTTAAACTTGCGGGACGGTTGTGTCGTAACCTCATTTTGCACCTGGAGAGGTGACATGCAAGAAGTCACTCTAGGTACTTTCCAACGGTTATCGCCTCCATGTGAAAATTCTGATGGAAGATCACATCGTCAACGTAGCCACACAGGAGACTCAAGCGCACATCTGATCACTATTTTTACATAATGTATCTCGATCTCTCCCTCGATGATAGCGCCGTAAAGCCGTGACGAAACGTGTTTCCCATTGCAGTTCCATTGCGAAGCACTAAGGGCAATAGCCTAGGATATTGACGTGTATGTTGTCGAAAGTGACCCCAAACGCTCTGCAAAGAATGCTCTGGACTATGGACAAGAAGGCAGTGCACTTCGGCGCTGGGAACATTGGTTAGGCCCATGCCGTTGTCGCAAACAGCAAGGGATATCTCATGCTAACTTCATTAGGCCGAGGCTTTGTGGCCTACTTCCTACACAATTCGGGCTACGAAGTCGTATTCGTAGATGCCGCCTGGTCGGCCAGCTTAACACTAAGAAATCATACAAAGTCATCGAAGTTAGCAGCGAGGGGACCAGGGAAATGATCATAACCAACTACAAAGCAATCAACCCAAGAACGCACGAGAACGATCTGATCCGGGAGATTATGTCTGCTGATGTGGTTACCTGCGCGATCGGTAGGGACAATCTTAAGTTTATCGCGCCAATTATCGCCCGAGCTATTGGTATGCGATCTAGCGACAAGATCCCGTTGGCTATCATCGCTTGTTAAAACGCTATTAGTGCCACAGATGCCTTGGCGGCAAACATTGAGCATCCAATCACTACAAAGAAACATAGACTCGACGACCACTACAAGAGAGCAAGATACTCAAACTGCGCCATCGATCGCATCGTTCCAACTCAGCATCCGGACGCAGAGCTTGATGTCAAACTGGAGGAGTTCTATGAATGGGTTATAGATCGAAGCCCCTTTGCAGACGACGCTGTTCCAACGATCAGTGGTGTCAGATAGGTCGACGATATGCAGCCGTATGTCGAGAGAAAACTATATATAGTCTAAGTTCTGTGTGGTGATTATAAGCTCTTAGCCACAGGTCTTAACTGCAAATAACATATCTAGCTTACTATTTAGATATTATACTATAATGCCTAACTAATTACTATAATATAGATACTAATAAGAATAAAACCTAGATTATAACTCTTTTATTTATATAATTAATAAGAAAATATTTTATTTAAAAGTTTTTAAAGTTACTTAATAAGACAAAATAGCCTTAAATAGCCTTAATAAATTAAATAAAAAAAAGAAGAAAGATATTATATAGCTAATTAGGAAGAATATGCCTTAGATTAAGTTACTAATTACCTTATAAATAGAAGTCTGCCTATAAGTTAATAAAAGACTATATTATAAGGGAATATTAAAGGTTATATAAATATTATATATTTAGCTTTAAGGTAAGGCATATAGCTGTTAGATTTATTAAGATATTCTAATATATAAGAAAAGGTTAATTTAATAAAGGTTTTAAGATAATATATATATCGGTATTATATAGGAAGGAGAGTTAGACTGGAAGAAGGTTTGGGGCAATTAGAAGGTCATGGCGGTATTGAGTTTATGAGCCAATCATAAGGTTAGTAAATACACTTCTGGTTTAACACAATGGGTATACACAGTCAATACCGGACATGCAGCAGCAGCCTACTATGGCTTTAACCGCAACAAGAGATTGGTTCATGATGCGTTGCAAGACCCCTTTATACTCGATCAGGTAAAGAAGGTGCTTAGCAATACGAGCACTCTTATCATTGACAAGTACGGTATCTCCAAGCAGGATCAGGAGGAGTATGTCAGTAGAGTCATTATACGAATCAGCAATCCTCATCTCGGGATACCGTGGAGAGGGTTGGCCGCGCGCCTCTACGGAAGTTGGGCCGCACGGAGAGATTTATCCGGCCATCGTCTGAATTAGTCGAGAAAGGCTATGACTGCTCGGCGCTGCTCGATTCCGTTGAAATGGCGCTCCGATTCCAAAATGTGGAGGGAAATGAACAGAGCAAGGAATAGGCCCGGATCATTGCTCGCCAGACACCAGAGACAGTAGTGGCCGGAGTCTGTGGCTTACTACCAAGTGAGATGTTATATCCTCAGGTTTTGGAGATTGTCAAAAGGGTTCAAGCGGACAGACTGATGGCATAGATGCTTTGCAGCTTTTTGAGATGCGAAAATTCGCAGCACAGCTTAAGCAATCGGTGTATTATCGTTGATTTGAGACTATGGTTTCTGAAAGCGAGAAGAATTGTTGTATAAGTGGCGCGTGATGTTAGGAGCTGCAAATAAAGGCGCCTTTGAAACCTCGAATTCATGGATTACAGTGCTGTCGCTCGGCCAGATGGGATCAACGTAGAAGACTTCTCAATTTCTAACTTGTTTCAGCTCCTCTGACAGCACATCTGTACTTTAGCCTTACTGAGATTGGTAAAGCCTAATACATACAACGCACAGGCCCTTTAAGTGTATTTATAAGTAGCTTAACTATGTCCTCAGAGGTCATAAGGCTCCACTGCAGTTACTACGGGGGGATATAGCCAATCAGGGTATCGTAATCGGTCGATACTAGCTAACTCGTATGTCATTAAAAGTCAAGAAGTTATAGAAGGGTAATAACCAATAAATATCCACTAATAAGATAATATACTAATCGTAACAGTAGTAGAGGTTAATCCGGTACAGAGATGCGAATCCTTTACACACTCTTCATTAGGCAAAACCTGTATAGCTTTCTTGTACGTGGGGTCAAGTGGAGCCAGGTACGTTTAGGAGCCCTATGACCTCTCAGGAGATATAAACAACCATTAACCCAGCTATTTACCCTAGGCTCTCATCACGCTACAGGTAAGTACCAGTATAGTCCACTATACAGAAAGATTAAAAGCAATAACACAGGTCCAAATAAACCCAATCCATCTAGTGTTTCAAGTTTAAGTATTGGCCTAGTATGACTATTTCCTACGGTGAATTTAGCACACACCCGGCCTAAAATATCGCCATATCGGTCTGAGCCAACTCCAGGATGTGTATGATCTGATGCTAAAGGATGATTATGTGGACCGGTACTTGGCCGATACAATCAAGTGATAATCGGTGTTAAAAATTGAATCCCGGAATATGAACATTTGGATACGCAGATATCCCCTCAATCCTTGCAAGCCCCCCATAAGTAACTTATCCCAGAGAAATTATGATACTAGTACAAATTTGTTTTTAATCGCCGCGATAGTTACGCCTTTATCTGTCGTAGTCTTATGACAAATTGACTCATAGGCTCAGCGAAGATTAGTGCCAGTAAAAGCATCCCTTCAAATGTGCTGAGCCTCCCGGTTGGTCACTGTAGCGATGTCCAGCCAATTATAATCTAAATATGAAGGACATGTCATGTCCCACCTAAATTAGCCCATGGCAGATATTCCAATAATGTTGAGTTCCAAAGTGCAACATCACGTCGCTGACATCCCCAAATTGTCTGACAGCTCACCTTTTCGGCCGAGTCCTCCTTTAATTGTGACTGGACATCATCAAAGGCTTGCTTGAGGTTCTTGACCGCGGCTTTCTTACGGACTCTTTGTTCCTGCGGACAAACCGCTGCATATGGCGCGATTCGAAGCGGACGTTACCGCCATCGACAAATCTTGCGCCCTCAAAGCATGTACTGAGTCACGCCATGATAATAGCAAGCACTATCCCCTCACCTGTGGTAAGCCCCCCTCGCTGTTACCCCTATGGATTCAAACCAAAAAGAATCACTCTCAGAGGCTATACCTTTGTAAGCACCGATTTTCGCAGATGCTGTCAGCTAATTGGTCATAAGACCATAACGGAAAAGGAAGCGTGACGTGAAAATCTGAGATCTCGCTAAAGCTATAACACCGGCCTTAACGATACGATGTGACACTAGCTCATCATCACCGTCGTTCTCCTTCCGTTTCTTTTTGAAAATGTCTTGAAGTGTTAGTTGATTCAGAGGCTGCTTCAGGGTGCATCGCTTAGCTTTTGATGGACCCGGATTGAGAGGACCCCAGACAGGTTGAGAACCGTGTCCCAGCCTTTGATGATTGTAGGGCTCATGAAGAGCGGTTAGGGTCAGTTAAAAAGCTGAATACATCGCCAAGGTCGCTAATATAGAATACTTTTTGTAGCCAAAGATCAGTGTCACTAAGCCCGGGACACTTCATACGACAAGCAGAGCTTACCAGCGTGATTTGAACAGCAAATCTGATCTACGGTTTCGCGAGGAAGGTAAGGGCAAAAAGAAAGAAAAGTATAAGATATAAGCAAAAGCAAACATACAGGGACGGTTACCAGTACCTCTATACGTTAAGAATACACCAGCACTTTGAGATACTTCTACCTCTAGTAGTCGGGCTGGGATCTACGATATATTTCATATATCTATAAATAAAGTAGGAGAACAGAGACAACTTTATACGCTCTACCGCTAGGTTCGTATGCTATTTCGAGATAGAACAGGAGTAATGGGTTAGAAACACGAGGTTGATAGGTGGAGTTAAGGGTTTGAAACCATTGTGTAGTGGGTGTATTCCGATGTTTCTGCCAGCTGGATTATGACGAACGTGCAAGGGTAATCCCCGCGTATAAATGCCTGTGATAACTGATTGACTTCTGTATCCAGTGTGGTCATTACTCAGAGTGTAGCCAACGTCTGCCTTGAGTTAAGCCCGTATATTTATCCAAGAAACCTAACAGCATTCGACAGGTGGAGACCTCCAGAGTAACGAGTAAGCGAGGTACTATCCTTCCGTCGCGGTCACTCTTAGGGGTTCAAATGGATAAGAGCATATCATTTTCTCGATACGTCTCGGTCATGTAGTAAAGCCGCTATAACCACCAAATCTATGGCCTAAGAGACTTGTGAAAAGGTTATACTGATACAAGAGAGAGACAAGTGTTTTGGTGCCTAACCAACTTTATCAATTGTAGCTATTCTGTACGTGGGGTTAAGTGGAGCAAGGTACGCAGCGAAGGGCTACGCCGGTCAAAGGGATACTTAAAATTAGAAGCTCAAAGGTCCAGACCAATCCTTGGCTTAAACCTTAGAGCATCAGGTTTCTCCGTCGATTGTCGCACTTCGCACTTGGTGTAGGCTTGAATTGGCAGAGAGACCGTTCTGACTCGTCGGTCATCTCTGACCATAAACCTACGCCAGTAGCTGACATTTTCCGTATCCACTTTTCCGTGACGGCAGAACTTCGATCTTTTATTAACCATTGTTTACTGAGAAAGAGGTGTTTGACGATGTCACGTTTACGAAACTAAGGTCAAACACTACGTTTCGACAGTGATATTATTCAAGATGAAAATATAGCGATATAACAGCAAGGCTCGCTATGGAACAGACAGCTGGGCTATGGAGATTAAGTATCTGCGGCACTCAAAGGGATAAGAATAATGTGCGTTCCTTAGTTCCCTACACCCGAGAATCAAGCGTGATATTGCCTTCTTCTTCGAGGCCCGGCCATGCTCCTCCCATGCGTCCGGGTCCCCTCGCGGGTGTAAGAAGAGTCTTGCATGTAGTGAGCAATGTGATGCTGTTCAGCTTCTGCGGGTGATTCTTGGTCCCCCGGCACCCTCGCTTGCATAAGCTCATCAGGCCGTCCAGTCTGACAAGGCATTAAAGTCCTGACATGCGTTGATGATGCCTGTTAATAAAGTTCAGATTATGTTAGTATAGCGTCTCATGTAACCCTAAGCAGTCTGGCTGTCCGTGTTTCCAATCGCGCTACTCGCGGTATTCTTTTACGGAGATTCATGAAGGCCTAGCGGCTGCTATCAAGAATGGTTGTCGAATCTGATGTTACGATATCTGTAACCAACGCTCGAAGTTCGCCATATCGTATCCTTTGAGTATGATATGGACTAGCATAACGAATCTGCATTCTACTATGAGATTCAGGTCCATCAAAGCGGCCCCAGGTTATCAGAAAGACCGGACCGGACTTATCAGCACAATCAGTTTGCGTCCATGGACTGCGAAATTCGTCATCTAGTGGAAGGCGAACTTTGTTGCCTTCAGACCTTTGTTGCTAGGAGATGTACCCCTTGATTTGAAGGCCAATACTGTGCCTGGATCTGGCGCAACACCAGGCCCTGGGCACTTGTGGGAGTCATCTACGTCGGTGCCAGGGAAAGGATCCGTCGTTTGGCGAGCTCCGCCCTGGAATGGGCATTAAACAGACGCGAGTGGAGGAACTAGGCGATTGAAGGGCCAAAAACGGATGTATATATTCGTAGACCTCCCAATTTCCATCATGTACCTACATCCCTTAACTATCCACGATCATTTTTAATTGCATCAGCTTGAAACTATTACCCAAGTACTGCCTGCGGTCAGCATAACCTTCCAATAACCCCCCAACCTAAGATGTTGCCTTAGGAAATCCAGGCTGTCCCAAAGCTGTCTTGAATCCTTACGAATCTGGATCAAGAGTCCATGATGTTAGATTTAATATAGGACAATCCCATAACTTCCCATCTTTTCTCATCTTTTCTTCTTCATACCCGTCTTTTCTGAACTAGGGTTACGGATGTCGAACTTGAGAGGCAGGGTCCGGAGCCGTGATGAGGAGCACCAGGCGATTCTGCAGCTCAATGTTTTGCTGCAAAAGACGTTCATTCCTCTGCTCTAACATCATAATATAATCCAATGCCTTTTCGAGGATCATCGTCTTACTAGGATTGCGCTGGGGCATTGATCTGAGTAATGCTATCTCCAGGAATGCTCGATCTTGCTCGTCCGCCGCGCTGGACGTTCCTTCACTTCCATGCCGAAAGGATTCTAAGGAGAGTGGAGGATGATATTTATAAATCTCCACGGGCTTGTCGTTTACGTCCGTGTGGTACCAGTTCTCAATCAAGCTTGGAACTGTCCCTTTGGACAGGTAACTGGGCGTGTGACGATGAGGGGTTGAAACGGACAGCGATGATGACTTGTAAGGCAACGGTCTCGAGTTGCCTGAAGGCTCTGGTCTAAGCGAACGACAAGGTGAGGGAGCTTCGGATGATAAGGATGCCGGAAGCCGCTTCTGCTGTTGTGATAGGGGAGCGACAGGTTTAACGCCAGGGCGATCATGGCTTATTTCCCCTCGGTCTTGTTTTGCTGGTTCTATTAGACAGGCGGCTTGAGCGGTTGGTGATACATTTGGCTGCGGCAGCGCAGTGAGCGGGAGCCATCTAGGCTCCATGATTCTGTGAATCTGGTCGAATAATATCTGCTAGCTTGGTCATTATTATGATCCGTCTATTGCTCTTAGTAGAGTGGATCTGACATGCTGAAGCCTGGGCTTCAAAGAGTTTCTTGCGTAATATCTGAACCACCTTGCGTCTTAATTGAGCGCAGAAGCGAGAACTTTGGCTAGCTAAATGCTTCCAAATGCCTTCCAAAAGTGGGGCCTTAATGTTGGTAAAAGAGGTTATAAGGTGGACCATCCATCAAGAAATCGGGGCTACTGATCGGTGTTCTGGCTCCTGTGTCCGAGCTGAGGCGGAGCATGAGCTGGCGTTTCCAGATAATTTAACATATACTCACCCATCACCAAGATGGCTACGGAAAGGTTCATGGCGAGTGTGGCATCCTCTGTGTTGCCATCGATGGAGAGGGCCATTGTGCTCTGCTCGGGCATGGATCAGCCGCTGCTTGACAATTTTTTTCACGGTCCAGGGCGTTGCTGTTCGTAGAAATAATGAGGGTGTGATAGGGTGTTCTGATGTCCCCCCCTCCATCTCCCTGAATGGTTTGAGATGTAGAAGGAATAAAGGGGACAGAGTATGACTGGAAAATGGACAAGCTCATTGGAAAAAGTGGTATGTAGTCTTGAAGTTGTGGCCTCATATCATCATCAAATTGCGCGAAAGGCGGGGGTCCGACGTTATACAGCTGGGAGGAGTCAACTAGTTCTAGTACCTACAGGTAGTGCAATTATCGAACGAAGTCGACAATAGGGCATACGTGTTCGCATTGTAATCATGCATCCTCCAGATGTCGACTACCCGGCCGAAAGACGGCATTTTAATCAGATCATTCGCGGTTGCGAGGCCGAACAATGCCGACGGAGGGAAGTGAAGGCTGCCGAGATAAGCACAATGGTTTCCCAGTCCATAAAATCCCAGGCGACGCCACACTCGACAGATGGCGATGAAGGGTGAGTAGCCAGAAGTTAACGCTGACGAGAGTGAGGAGTGCAGGGGTGAAGTCGGGATTGTGCTGGCATGATGATGACGCTGGATTGGGCACGCGTAAGTGGCCAGGATGGCACCATAATGACACCTGCGCCCTCTCCTTTCTCTAGCGTAGTGTCTATACTTGAACGCACGCCTGATGAAACCAGTTTAAGTCCTCGCGGATATCCACGGCTACCAAACTTGCATACGTCTTGCGCCCCGGTCGCGAAGATGAGAACAGAGCCTTCCAATGAAAAAGGCTGCATGATTGCCAGGATTGATCGACTTATGCGCCAGCAATGCGCCACGGCAACACCGGAAATCTCCAAGCGAGGGGTTCACGGTGCGCGAATGGTGGCACTCCCACGGTCCTTAGCGATGATCAATACTTGTTGAAGACATAACCCGATCGCCGACTCCTAATTTCATAGTTCCTAACTTAAGGAAGAATTCTGGGGAAACATTGACATACATAAGTGCTGTGGGGTCTGGGCTTAGTACGTAATCGACAGCCGCGAGCCTGATCAACGGGGGTTTGACCAGATCTTCAGGTGGGGTGCAAACTAGCCACTGAAGCCATGCTTGGGTAACAACATTTCCAATTGCTTCCCCGAAGCGTCTACCTCTCACTTTTTAAACTTAGGTAGGCTGGACTGCTCCAAGGTGAATGTCTAACTTTCAACCTTTTTGATATCTTATCACTCATCTACCTCTGTACGTGGCAGTATAAAAACATTTGTGATACTCGCTTATTATCCCCGCTTCTCTTGGCCCTTATCCTCACGGGTTCCCTAGGAAGTTGTTTACAGTATGAGCGAGTCCCATCGCAACAAGCCCGATCTGGGCATCAGCGACTTTTACTTCATCCCAACTTCACAAGACGAAAGCCCCTCCGTGACGTCGCTCATTGAGACCCTCGGCTTGGAACCACATATTGAAGGTGGCTACTTTAAAGAAACCGACGTTTCTGTCGCCTCTGTTTCCTCACCATATCCTCCTGAACCCCTATCCGAGGAGACTCCCTGCCTGACGCATGGTCTTCGTTCCGACCTCGGACCGCTGTTCCGCAGACTTTCCACCACCATTTACTACTATCTCACACCCAACCGCCCACAGTGTTACTTCCACCGTGTCCGCAGCCGGATTATCCATTCGCTTCATCTGGGCCGCGGCCGGTATGTGCTCATCAGCCCCGACGGACATGTTGAGACATATGTCGTGGGACGCAATATTGAGATGGGCGAACGGCTCCAATGGGTTATTGAAGGAGGTGTCTGGCAGGCCAGTTACCTGCTTGATGCCGAGGATGGCGAGAACGAGGGACTTCTGATCTGCGAAACTGTCGTGCCAGGGTTCGAATACGTTGACCAGGAGTTTCTGTCTGAGGCGGGTTTGAGAAACTTGGTGCAGGCTGACCAAGCAAGAAAGCTGGAGTGGTTAGTCCGAAAGTGCGACAAGGTGCATATGACAAACCAGGTAGCAAACCGGGAGCGAAGCACAGGGTCTAAGAAAATCCGGGTTAACGACAGGAGAGACCATCCTCCCTCCACCATAGTGCCGCCAAGGAGAGCTGAGCTGTGAATATTTAACCCGAAGGGAATAGGACAAGAGCATTACCAGGATAAGTGTATGTTTAAATATTTATCTTTTGTTTGCCGTATGACTTGTTGTCGTTGATACAACCATTGCAGTTCAGACAAGCTGATATCTCGGCACCCGCGCCCACACGCTAGCCGATCTTGATGCTGGTGAATTGGCTTCCAATGTGAATGAAATGTCTAGTGACATCTTATGAAAAATTTTAGTGTGAATGGTCAAGGATACTGAGGAAAGGCATTAAAATACCATGACCTGGAATACCCGGCCATCTCTTGTTTCCTCAACCTCCGGTCGCCGAGTAAAGGTCTCAACCACCAGTTTCACAGGCAACGATCTTATATCAATATTGTAGTCGGCCGAAGGTCTCTGTTTAAACTGAAAACGGATATGGGTGCTATTGTTTCGGGTAATGGCAGAGGCAAGACTTGCTATAATCCGTCTAGCACTGACTCACTTCGGTCGAGGGAATACCCCAGGCCCTTCAAAGCCTCCCAAATATATGATTTTTTCAAACTGCGAGCACTGGCTGCAAGAGAGTTGCATGGCAAGGTCAAATACACCGGTGATTAAATGGAGAATAAAGCACCTTGTATCAGATGGTTGGCATGACCAACCTTGACGGAGGTCTGTAGGTGTGAGTTCTACCTCACTGGGTATGGTCTCTCAGGATGCATCGTACGGCTACTCTTACTACAAGGGGGTCCGAGGAGAGTTTATGCCGTAAACAGAAAGTCTCTCAACGATTTCATGAACGCTGGGGCAGTTACCAAAAGTGGGAATCTAATAGTAGAATAACGTAGGAAATGAAACTCTGCTTTAACAACGCAAGACGGACAGGGAGGAATTTGAGTTATAAGAAACTATGCTGTGTGTATCTACAAATAAAAACAACCAATGGCTAGGTCTAAGTTACCTAGTAAAGAGGAAGATGTAGAGCTCACTATAGGTGAGAAAACTGCGTAAGCTGGTTTGATTTATTGCTTCTGCCGCCTTTCGTTCCTCCTTTCTTTTTGTTTTCTTTTTTTTTTTTGCTTCAATACAACCTCTGTTACTATTTACAACCTTTCCACCACTCAGCAGACTCCCTCCTCCTCTCCGTAAGTCTCTTCCACCACGTTTCTCATGTTACCAGAAGAGATGTCATAGATAGTGAGGCTCAGACCTGGTTACCATCTATGCTGGCTTACAACTAAAGCAAGTGCCTCTGCCACCTAGTCGTCCACCCTCAAACAAATTGAACTCGTTCATATATAGCGTGTTAGCATGAAGAAGGCGTGGAATGCGAATTGCTACGGGCTTCTACCTGGATGTGGCTCAATGTTTCCTCATGACCTCGAATTTATCCTTCCAAAGCCTCCTCTATAATCCGAGCCGCTGCCATCACAAGGCTCTCATGTAAGCGTGGAGCTACCACCTGAATCCCAACCGGCATCCTCTCTGATGTCGCTGCTGAGTACTGACGATATATTTGTGCCTCAGTCTCATTCTTCGGCTCATACACTTCCTTAGCCAGTTCCTGAACATCGTTCCCATCACCGACAAGAGCTGCAGCCGGTATCGCAACAGCCGTATACTGGAGTAAGTTCCAAATCGCCGAGTAACCCCAATATCTGCTCGTGCCCAGCGGGGGCGCTGTGCTCGGAGTCACTGGCGAGACAATGACATCAACTTCGGCTCTCCTCCAGTGCGCGGCGTATAGCCGTCTGAAAGCGTCGCGTGTTGCCCTTCGTGTCTGCAGAGTTGAGCCAGCTTGAGAGGTACCGATCTCGCACTCATTTAGAATCCGCTCCGTGAAGTGTTCCAGTGGTTCAGATCCTGCGTGGCAGGTTTTGCGGATGTCGGCGCTAGCGTCCTCGAAGTAGTTCGAGGCAACGATCCTCCAGGCTTTGGCGTGGTCCCATGGCGTGAACGTCTTCACTTGCACGGAGGCTTTGCACCTCAGGTGGGATCTCACCTTCTCCAGGACTCGTCGTACGGGCGGCAGGGGAGAGACAACACCGTCGTCAAATAGAATGCCGACGCGTAAAGATGCGGATGGGTCAAGTTGCCGGCCGATGGCTGGGCTCAAGATATCACTGGGAACAAGAAAAATATCCTCAATCCACGGGGATGATGAAGAGTATGCTTTGCAGAAGAGTTCGAGGTCGCGTAGAGACCTGGCGAATGGGCCCAGAGTGCCTACAATAGAACCACATCCTGATGTAGGAATCATGACTCCTTCGCCACTGATCCGACCAGGGCTGGGTAGAAGGCCGTAAATCTGTCAAAGTGTCAGAACCCTCATTACCGGACAATGATTCAGCTCAAATATGGAGAATTTACACCGTTTAAAGCTGCCGGCACTCGAATCGAGCCTCCGACATCTCCCCCAACACCAAGAGGCGATCCCTTCATGGCCATCAGAGCTGCCTCTCCGCCTGTGCTGCCACCAGCTGTGAGCTTCCGATTCATGGGATGAACCGTCGCACCGTAGATGTTATTAGACGTCTCAAGATGCATCAGAGACCGGGACTGATTCGTACGAGCAAAAACAACAGCACCTAATCTCTTGAGACTTTGGACGACATTGGCGTCTTCCCCGCTGGGATTTTTCACCCATGCTACAAAGCCAGCGTTTGTGCAGAGGCCAGAGACGGCGATTTGCTCCTTGACGGAGATGGGGAGGCCATGAAGGGGGCCCATAGTGTGGCCTGTTCGGGCGAGATATTCATCGCAAGCTTTTGCATCGTCGACTGCTTGAGAGACTAGTTCAGTCAAGCAGTTTGTCTGTGTAACGCTTGATGAGCGATCTGCCAAGCTGCTTGTGCTGCAGCGTGATAGTACCAAAGAGGGCTGGTCCAAGATGACTTACACATTGCTGTGCAATCGTGGCCCGCTTCCTGAACGCAGTAAGAAGTTCCCGAGCGGTAACTTGTTGCTTGGCCAGCATCTGCAGTAGATCCGTGGCATCGAGGTTCTCAGTCAAGTCAAGTTCCAGGTCTGTGAGAAGCCCACATGATCGAGGGACGGGAAGAACATTCAGTGGCAGAGACGCTAGGTCCTCGGGCTTCAGCAGAGCGCTTGGCTCTAGGGAGGAGCTCCTTGCAGCTAAGGCAGGTTGAATACGTTCTTGTAGAGTTGACATGTTTGTTAGATGAAGCAAGGGATTGAGGGAGTTCGAGGTCTGCAGACTTGGTCGGGGAAGCTGCCCATCTAGAGAGGACATTGAGGGCAGCAAGCTTTATAGCCCCACGAATCGGCAGTCGGCCTAACAGGAGGCGGGATAATCTGGTTATCGGAAAGCGGGGAAAGGTTGTCATCAATCCTTCGGTAACCTCCAGCTCCATTGTTACGAGCCTAGCGGTTACGTCACATATACCCTACAAAAAACCATAAAAGGCGCCAGCCTGGTCTCTAGTCCCGGGCAGGTTCACGCTAAACCAAAATAGCAAGTAGGGTTAGGGTTAATTCTAATATAAGCTAATTAGCCTAAAAAGTCAAAGGTATAGACTATTTATATAGAATTATAATTTATATAAAACTATAAGTAAAAATAGCTAAATAAGTAACAAATTATAAGCTAACCTTAAACTCCTTAGGAATTAACCTTAAGCTCTAACCCTAAATAAATAATAGGAATTAGCATTACTATAAGTAATAATAAAATATAAAATAAAATAAAATTAAAGTTTATGTTATAATATAATAAATATCTAAATATTTATTTATTTACCTACTTACCTACCTAACTCTACCTACTTAACCTTCAGAAAAAAGCACTTAAGGATATCTATTTATTATAATTAATTAAAACTATTTAAGGATAATTACTATACCTATAGACTCCTTAGTAATATAGCTATTATTAAAAAAGCTAAGAGAAAAAGGAGGATTAGTATTATTAGTTATTAATAATAATAATATTAATACTATTATTATATTAAAATACTAAATTATTTAGCTATATAAAGAGCTTCATATCCTCCTCTGCCTCCTTTACTTAGTAGCTATTAAGCTTAATATAAATTAAATTAAGTATTACTATTATAATTATTATAAGAGAGTTAAAGCATAGCTATAAGAAGTTATTATGTTTTTTGCCTCCTTCTTACTATTAGGCTTAATATAATAGTTAGGTTTAAGTATAATAAACTAAGCTATACTAAGTTTATTATTAGTATATAGTATAAGGTATATATTAAGTAATATTAAAATAATATATCTCTTAATAGTAAATTTAATATATATTAGGCTTAATTAATATAAAGAAGTTATATTAATAGCTAATATACTAGAATTTATAAAAGTATTAATAAATATAATTTATATACTAAGTATAATTATAAACTAATTATTAAGGTTATTTATTAATTTTAAGAATTACTAGTAATTTTAATATTTTTTAATATAATCTTACTTTAGTAGTTATATATAAAATTAATTAGTTTATAATAATTATATATAATTAATTAAAAATATAAGGTATATATAAGATAATTACTAGGGTGATAATACTTATAGCCCGAAGTACTTTAAGATTTAATAAATAAGGATATATAGCTACTAGCTAATAAAACCCTATTAATTATAAAACTTAAAATAATATATATATTAAGTATATAAGAAAATAAGTATATATAATAAATAAGTATATAAAATAAAAATCCCTTACCTTATATTAACACGATTAAATTAATTAATTCTTAATTAAATAATATATTATAATTTACTACTAAGGCTTATATTATTTTTATACCTTAGGCCTATTAAATAAACCTAAAATTAAGTTTATAATAAGCTATTAAGATTTATATTATTTACGTTTAAATTCTTTAATACTAGTCTTAAGGCAGGGAGGGTTATAATAATTATATCCTAAGCTCTTAAAAGTTAAATACTTTAAAAGGATAGGCTATAATCTAATATATCTTTAATTTAAATTTATAAGGATTTTCTTTTTAATAGTATAATTTTTAAGAAAAAATAAATTAATTATTTACTAATTATAATATATTATTAAGTAATAAGTATTAAGCTATTAATTTTATTAAGTAATAATTAAAGCTTAAAATATATTTTCTTTAAAAATATAATTATTAAAGGGCTAAATTTAAAGATTTAAGTCCTATTTATAATTAATTTAGGCTTATATAAAATATAATTATAAAATATAATACTTAAATAAATAATATTTAAACTTTAATAAAACTAGCTTTATAATAGATATAATATTAAGTAATATAGTAATTACTAGCTTAAAAAGGTATAAAAGCTTAAAATTAATTTATTTTAAAAATTAAAAATAAGTTATAATAATTTAAGTAATTTATATAAAAGGTTCAGTAATTAATTTATTTATTATAATTATAAGTTAATATTACCTTATTAATTAATATTAAGTAAGTAACCTCCTAGCTACTTAGGCTATTATTATACCTTAAAATAGCTAGATAAATAATAAAATAAGCCTTAAGTAGCTAAAGTATTTTAATTAATATATAACTAATTAATTAGAAAGTTTATAACTTATATTTTTAAGATTAAGTTCTTCTTAGCCCTTTATATTAATATTTAATTAATTATAATTAAGTTAAATATTAAATAAGGTTTTAAAAACGCTAGCTATATTTCTTTAAACCTAAACGTTATAATATGTAAGCTTAATATATAGCTATAGACTTTAATACTTATTAAAATAAATTAAAACGTATTATAATAGCTTCTTAAAGTTAATTTTTAAAGCTTTTTAATTTCTAACTAAGGTAATAAAGAGAAATATATATAAAATAGCCTTATTAAGGGCTAAGAATTAAAAGCTTTAATAGGTAAATAATATATTTAACTAGTAATATAAAGTTAAAAGGGTATACTTATAAAATAAAAGGAATATAATTATATAAGATAGTTAGGATTTAATTAATTAAATAAATATAAGTATATAAATATTAGCTAAATTATTAAAAAGTAATAATTAAAGAAGTTTAAGATAACTAAGGGTTTAACATTATAAGACTTATAATAAGGCTAAATATAATATAAGAACTTATTAAAAGAGAATTATGGCTTTTAGAAATAAGTATAATAATTAATTTTAATTAATTAAATAATTTACTTTAAAAAAGTTAAAATTCTTATTTTATATACTTATTTATCTTATATGCTTATTATATATAAGCTTTAGTTATAAGAGCTATTAATATTTAACTTATAATTAATTAAGTTATAATAAGTATTAAGTATTAGCTAAGTATAATAAAGAGGAAAATAAGGAGGAGGATAAAAATAAAAAAGATAAGAAAGGTAATGATAATAGGCAATAAGATAATTAAGAATTAGTTATATTTTAGTTATTATAATGGGCTTTATATATAAAATACTAAATTATTAAGATAATATAAACTTATTATAATAGGTATAAAAGTAATAAAAGTAGTAAAAGTAGCTTAAAAAAGGGCCTAGATAGTATTAATATTAATACTAGTATTAATTATAAGCTATTAAGGCTTATTAAATGCTATAAGAAAGAGCTTAAAAAGACTATTATTAAATATAAAATAAAGGTTAAGGCATTAAGTAGTATTAATTATAAGTCTTAATAAGTATAATATATAAAATAAGTAATATATTTATAAAATAAGGATAAGCTTATATTTTACTAAGTTAGTTTAGTATTAATACTTAAGATAAGTAAGATAAAGCTTTAGAAGTAAGAGGCTTAAGAGATTAATATAATACTATAAGTATTAGTTAAAAGCTTTTATTAAGAGCTAGTATAAAGGTTAATATATCTTAATAAGGTATTAAGTAAGATATTTAAATAACTTAAAAGTATTAATATAATAAAGCTAGTTATAAAGCTATTTAAATATATATAGGAGGTAATAATATTAAAATAATATAATATAAATTAAAAGTAGTATTTATATTATTATACCTATATCTAGCTACTTAAATAAAATAAGGCCTAGAAGGAGTATAATATTTAGCTTATAAATAAGTAATAAGAATATCTTATTAATATTATATAATAGCTTAATATTATAGCTTATTATATAAAAAGGAAAAAAGAGGATTTAAGTTAGAAAAGGTAGTAGTAATAATAGTAAAAAAGTAATATTAATTAAAAGAAGGTAAAGGCAAGGGAAGAGGCAGATTTAGATATTAATTTTAATATTAAGTTTAATAGTAATTTTAATATACTTAATTAAGCTATTTATTACTCTTATATTAGCAGTATTAAGTAAAAGCTAGGCTGGAAGTAATATTATAACTTATTATTATATTTTATAACTATATTAGGCATTAAGGAGGATAATAACTAAGTCTTAGTATACTTATATATTTACTTTTTAGCTAGCTTTTAATTAATAGCTTAAGTAATATTAAAAGAGGCTAAAGACCTGGATCCTTAATTAGGAGAGGAGATACCACCGGCCAGCCTAGAGTAAGGGGTAAATTAAACTCTCTATTATTAACTCTTAGTATATAGTAGCACGTTATGCTGTCTATGTTAAGTTTTCCTATTAAAATAATATCCCTTGTCCTTAGAGAGCTCCTAATTACAAGATCTTCTTGCCCTCTGGTAAATATATAAAGAATTCTATAATAATATAACCCCTCTTTTGCCTAATCTTATTTTATAATATAATATATTATAGTTAAGAGATAAAGCCTAGATACTCTTATTAAGATTATAAAGTATTATATCTTAGGCTTATATATTAAGATATTAAATATATATATCTATTATCTGGTCTTACTTAAAGAATTACTAAGGATTAAATATCTTTATAATAAATATATAGATATAATAAAAACCTTATTATCTAAGTAATATAAGGACTTTATAGAAAATATAATATTTAAGGCAAATAATATTAAGTCTTAAGGCAGGATATTATTCTTATAATCTTTATCCTTTAATAATAAAAATAATTATCTTAGCTAGCTTTATAAGCAAGTATACCTTATAAGTATAGCAAATTAGGATAAACTTATTTAAACATATTATGCTATTAAGTGCCTAGAGCAAGCTATAGGAAATTTCTATTATTATAAGAAGGTTATTATTAATAATAATAACTATATATAGGGATTATATTATTAAAAGAAAGAACTTAGTATTCTTCTATAAAGGATATTAATATTTACTTTAGCTAGTAGTATTAACCTTAGTTGCTATATAGTATATACTATTATTACTACTTTAGGCACTGGCAGGCTAAGTATTAATAGCCTGGAAATTAGTATTAATAGCCTTATAGAGAATAGCAATTAAATAAGTCCCTATATACTACTTACCTTATTATTATCCCTTATTATTAGCCTCTATTAATTATATATTATATTTAATCTAATTATCTTAAACCCTAATATCTACTTACCCTAGGGTTTTAATTTAATTTAATTTATTAAGTTATTTCTAAACCTTTTTAACTTTTCCCTTAAGTTTAAGTACTATAATAAGTTAAGTTACTTTTTAGAAATTGCTATAATGCTATATATACTTAAGTTAAAAAACTTCAAACTCTTACTAGTAAACTGCAAGATAGAGGAACTTATAGATATTATCCTCTATTATAAAGAGATAATTCATAAAATTAGCTTAAAAAGTATTAATCTTATAAATAGAGTTTAATCTTAGTAGTCCCTTACTAAGGATATTTATAACTATCTTAATATAAATTACTTCTTTATAGATTTATATATAATAAGTAATATATATTTACAACCTAAAGGGGGAGAACTAGTAGCTACTAATGCCTAAGGCTTAATAGATATTATAGTTAGGTTATTATAAAGTAACTAATACATAAGCCTATTCTTTAAAAAGATATAGTAGCCATAAAGCTCTAATAATCCTAAGCAAGCAGATTTTATAATTTGCATATATATTAGGCAGATATTTACTTTCTATAGCATATAGCCCTATCCTTTCTATAACGGCTGCACCTAACCATTACGCCATGAGGCAAAAGATTGGCTAATAACTGCTATTGTAGCAATTACAGTAGTGCATACAGCTGCTTATAGGAGCTTACGGTAAACCAAACCGTAACACTTTCCTACTCTTCTATTCTTAATTATCGCGTGCCCTTATTAATCTCTCTTGCATATACTAATATTTCCGGCCTATTACCATATAAGCATCCTTCTACAACTATCCTTCCCTACTTAGAAATTACCACAGGAAATATACTGCGTTTCCTGTTTTTGACTAATCACCATCTAGCATCTTCGGGGTCGAGCAATCTCAGAGCAGCATGTCCGCGTTTACTAAAAGTTTATTATCGTTATAATATATACATTACTAATTATACTAAGAGTTAGAATTAAATCCTTAGATAAGATATATAACAGATATCTACTCAGTATTAAAATTCCTCAGTTTTATATAGACTTCTAAAGAACCCATATAGCTAGTATTAAAGAACGCCTCGCCGATAATGCGATATATTTTGCCAGTCTTCCGAATGACATAGGGGCAACTAAGATTATGCAAATAGTATCCCCTCGTTGAGCTATATGAGGCACCACAGCAAGGGGGTTCCACCAAGATTTCCGCGCTGTTTTGCTTAACTGTAGTGCTCTGATCACCGCCGGACCAACCAGAAACGAACAGACTTGTCGAGATCTTATATTTCTCTGTATCTATCGTAAAGTGATCTTTGCATTAGTATCATCGGTCTCTTAGCACGCTTGCCCTAAAGCAAAATTAATCAAGTCTTGCGCACCGCCTGAATCTCCGTCTTGGTTAGCAAGCAGCGATTGAGTTATTGCCTATAGGGATGCCGGCCTCATCTCATAAGGGGTACCAAGGAGACCAAATTCAACGCATCTCATATAGAATTCGAACTCCTATTTGAAATCTGCATTTATCCATGTGGTGCTCTGCCCATGCTTTAGTGGCACTCTTTGACCGATGCTTCGCTCAACCCTGCCAACCACGAATCCCTTTACCCGCAACTTATTATTTATATACAATAGTACGATGGCTTTTTAGGCAACAATGCTCGGTACAATTTGCGGTGTAAAACCAGAGTTATCATAAGGTGTAGTTAGATATGGACACCAAGATGGCATGCTTTTCTGCATCCCGATGAATGCCCCCCTGCCGAAGCTCGCGTGCGTACGCCGTCCCGGCTACATGCGTGCCATGCCCAGCCTGCAAATCCCAAGCGCTATCATGAATTCCATCCTCATCTTCATCATTTCCACCGTCTTGGCCAAATGGCTCATTTAAATACCAGTTGGTAATAGCGAGGTTTCTCCATGCGATAATGTTGAATAGATGCCCTAGTAATCGCCTGGTGGACTCTTGGATGACCCGTCTTGCCCGGTCGGATGTACATTTTCGCTCTTAGACCCGTTCCTGAGCCTTCTTCCTATCCTACACTCCTACTCCACCGGGTAGCACTTGTAGTGTTGGTTTTAGTGGAAGTCGGTTGCCATTAGCAGGCTGGCTACCTTATAGTCTGAATCGCCCTCTTGCTTGGCTTCTTCTCTCCTCCATATCCTCTTTTAACTGCTGCTTCTCTAGTTCCCTCTCCCCTAGCGCCTTCTGGCTCTTCCATCTTGCTGACAATCTCATCAGCCCATTCCTATAGGCTGCGCGTATCCACTCCTTGAACAATCCCTAACATGCCCTGCTAAAAGTCCAAAATGAGCTACATTTTGCTCTGGCAATTAATCGTACCTAGGTAGCCATCCGGTCAAAAGTATCGCAAATCAGTTGCAACACGGGCTCGTCTTCCCCAATTGGTGCTGCCGCGATGTGAACTTCTCCCGGCTTCAACCCTTCCATATGCTCCGCCCACCCTGTCCTCTCTATCCATGCATTCACCTCTTTCTTCTCAGCTGCAACTTTGAGAGCCTTCTGTGCTGCAATCTTGAAATGTTCGTCTTGTTCCTGATGAAGATGGCTTATCCTTTCTGGAATGCTGATGATTGCATTTGGGTTAGTAGTTGGCTGCACGAACCCAGCGGTCTCTCGTCCAACTTCAAACCACTTGCTAGCCACTCGTGACTTGAAAAATCGTTGGGAGTACACTTCTGTTCGTCAGGGTACCTTCCGACGCCCCTGGGCTCGCTTCACCACATTACCACCTTTCTTCCAATCATTCTGCCATCCGTGCTCCTCCTTGTAATTCTTTAGCATATGCTGCACTTGTCGATATACATGATTGCGTTGACCGCAACGTAATCCGTCGAGTTTCGGCGGGGCGATAAATAGGATTGGATCAGTTGGTGGTGGGACCTGGAACTGACGCAACTCGGTCTGGGTTTGAATAAACTCGGGCACTGCTTTGACTCCATTGAAGATTTCTGCTATTTCGCTGGCTGAAAAAAGATGGATGCTGTTTCTGTAAATGGCCGCGCACGTCACCAGCTACGTACCCAAACTTACATAACTTGCATATTGGGAAAGGGATATCACAAACATGAACAAATAGCTCCATGTTGCAACCTTTGTATGGTGTTCGAAAATTCCGGTATGATAAAACTCGAATTGCCATCTCCTACAACATAAATGCCGTAATGTAAGTGCTTTGTTAATTCTGTGGCGGTTTGTTACACTTGATGATGATTGCTTTTTCTGTTCAACAACCAACCAAACATCATACACCCTAGTTACGCTACATAGGTGAGCCATGTAAAGTTGACCTCGTTTCTTTATTTTCCCTATAAGTAAACTGACATTTTATGCCTTTTAATTTTCTCTTGTCCTATTAAAAACTAAACTGCTTATATCGCATCAAATTTGGGCTTACACTCATTTAATTACTTTCCGTTTTACCCCTTAAAATCTCTACCAAGTCATACCCCTGACATCATTAGCCTATTTTCAGTTTATATGGGACATCTCTACTGCTACAGCAAGTGAGGGTCATAAGCTTCTGGGTAGAAACTACTGATTGTCGGCTGCCAGGAGGCCGTTTATCTGGTCTCAGCCTGGGGTTTTTATTTCTAAAAATTGGTAGGGGATGCAGTATTAAAGTTGCCTTTTAGTCTCTATACTTTCTCCAATTTAACTATTAAAATGTCTACGAGGTCCCCCTGGTCTTCAATAGCACATTTTGTAATTATATAGGGAATTCTACGAGTTTAACCCTAACCACATAGATGAATTGTTGATAGGGAAAGACCAGTTAATATCAGAGACATACTCTGACCGGAGACGTATACACAACACCAGAGTAAGACACCACCCTAACGAGTAGCTGTCTCCGAGAACCGGAATAGCAAGACCAGTCCCGATTTACATCCGAGCACTACAGTTGATGCCACGATCGCTAATGCCACCGGGTGATACTCCGGCGGGAGCCAGAGCAGATTTTGAGCTTCATATGTGATCCATAGACGATCAACACTAATGCCATAGCCTTGACATTGACGTAGGTGATGCCGAAGGCTGGATGCACGCAGTGCAGCGGGCGGCGAGGATGAGAGCAGGCTGAGGTCGAACGTGCCAATATTCATATGAAGGCGAGCGCCGGTCTTGTCGAATTGGAAAACATATTCGTCCTCCTCATTCATATCGAGCTCGAGCGTCGCCTGGCAGCCGCCCGTCCTGGCGTCCCAGATCTTGGTGGTCCAACTGTTCGCTGATGCGAGGTGCTGGCTATCTGGCGAGAAGGCCACAGAGTTAACCGGGAAGCTATGGCCCTCAAGCATCGCCTCGCAGTGGCCTGTTATAGTATCCCAGATATTGACTGCCTTATTACTTAATGCTGATGCGAGATGCTGGCTATCTGGCAAGAATGCTAATAATATAACCCAATTGCCTTAGCCCTTAAACATCGCCTTATAGTAGCTAGTTATAATATTTTAAATCTTAACTATATTATTAGAGGATATTAATATAAGGCGCTAGCTATTACTTAAGAAGGCTATTAAGTAAACCTTATTATTATAGCCTTTAAAAATCGCCTAGTAGTGGTTTATTATAGTATTTTAAATTTAAATTATTTTATTATTTATTATTAATATAAAATACTAGCTATTTAATAAGAAGGCTAATAATATAACCTAATTACTATAGCCTTTAAATATTACTTTATAATAGCCTATTATAGTATTTTAAAGCTTAACTATCTTAATACCTAATATAAATATAAACTACTAGCTATTTAATAAGAAGGCTAGTAATATAACTTAATTACTATAGCCCTTAAGTATTACCTCGCAGTGGCCTATTATAGTATCCTATATCTTGACCGTCTTGTTAAGTAACGCCGATATGAGACGATAGATATCCAGAGAGAAGACTACTAATGTAAGCCTATCGCTATGGCCTTCAAGCGTTGCCTCGCGGTGGCCCGTCCTGGCATCCCATATCTTGACCGTCTTGTCGAGTGACGCCGATGCGAGACGCTAACCATCCGGCGAGAAGGCCACTGGCCTAAGCCAGTTGCTATGCCAATAGCCATGACCCTCAAGCGTCACCTGGCAGTGTCTCGTCATGGCATCTTAGATCTTAGTGCCGGTTATATAACTCCCTGTTGCGTGGCGCTAGGTATCTAGAGAGAATGCTTCTAATAAAACCTTACTTGTATAACCCTTAAGCATTACCTAGTAATAGCCTATTATAATATCTTAGATTTTAATAGTCTTATTATTTAATATTAATATAAAATATTAGCTATTTAGTAAGAAGACTATTAATATAAGCCTATTACTATAGCCTTTAAGTATTACTAGGTATGTATTTTAATCCTCTAATATATTTAATTTAGCTATTATTTAAGTTAGCTATTTCCTTTTAAATAGTATTCTTATAATACTAAGCCTAGGATTAAATATAAGTGCTAATATATATACTTAAAGAGGCGCCTTCCTTATTACTTATTTATATAATAAGATAAATTATTATATATCTTAAATAAAGGCAAATAAGTAAGAATTATTAAACCAGTCCTAATAAGTTCTTAATTAGTATATTAGTTCTATACTATAATATTACCAATTTGCCTACTAGTAACGTCTTGAGCTTTATTATTATAAACGCTCCTTCCGGTATGCTTTTAAGAAGGCTAAGCGCCTTAAGCCAATAGAGGTAATTTTTATAGAGAAACTAATAAACTATGCCATTATCGCGGAGGTCGTTAATGTATGCCGAAGTCGTGTCCGAGATTGCTCAAGTGATCAACCCAGTAGATGCACAAATACCGTGCCGGGGTAAGTGGATCTGACTCAGACTGGCTGATGCCATCAATAGAGGTGCCGGGATGTTGTAAGTCGTATATATCACGTCGCAAGGTTTTAGGTTACCTAGACCTAGATCTAGATTAGCCTTACTTAATTTTATTATAAGAGATATATTATATTTTATTTTTATAAGGGCTAAAGGTGCTAATTTTATTATATTTTACTTATTTGTTTTATATTTACTATACTCTTATAATTTTAATTAATTAATTAATAAGTAACTCTTATAATAGTTTAATAATATCTTCTATCTTACTATCTATTAGGTTTATAATATTAATAAACTCTAGTACTTGCCTATAAGTTATTATTATATATTAGCTACCTATTAAGCTCCTTAAGTAGAGAATTATCTATTTAAAACCCTTAATTATTAGGCTTAGCTATAAATATCCTACTTCCTGCTAGTATAAGGCTTATAGTAACTATAGGATTATATTCTTATAGCAGTATGCTAACTAGAGTATTAAGACTTTTATAATCCTAAGTTATATATAAAGGTAAAAAATATTAAACTTTTATTTAAATCCCTAGATGCGTTATATAATCTTTTAATAGTTATAAATAGCTTTAATTATAAACTATATAGTATTCTAGATTTCTTATATATATATATATTAACTAGTTATATATTAATATAAGTAAAGAGACTTGCCTAATGCCTAATAATGTCTTATTACCTAAACCTTAGATATACCTCTAGCAGTAATATTATATCTATTACTACCTAGGTCAGCTTTATAATAGAAGCAATCCTAAGTCTAGCCAAAACTTTTACCATAAGTTAATACTTTAAGATACTGGCAGTATAACTATATTAATGCCTATAAGGTCTTAACTCTGCTATAGGGGTATTCTTTATAGCTAAATATATAGTCTTACTAAAGAGATTATAGATACTGCTTATATATATCTATTTTAGAATCCAGATCTATGGCATCTGGCATTAGATCTACAGCTTTATAATAGTATATAAAGTATTAGCAGTAAGCTAGCATCAGGTAGGAACATAACTAATCGAGCATACCTGGCCAGCAAGCGTCATTGTCACTATGGCCTCATAGATTCTAAACAACGATCCTTCGGTATCTGCGAGGAATATCGTATTTCGTGGGCCTTATTTCAAAGCGTCCTGGTAGGGCTGCTATCCTGAGTTCTCGCTGAGGAATTGTCGAATTACTACTGCTCCTGGCGCATCGCTTGGATCTTATAACACGCTTGGGTAAACTTGTAACTATCATTTCTTTCTTAATGGAGGCTCAGTTAGCTATGCGGACACCAGCAGACCCTTCACCTGTTTACTTTTTTATCATATCATAGTATTTATTATAGGAAAGAGAAGAACTTTCCTATCTTTGTTGCGACTTGGCAATAGGTGTTGCGGAAGTACTTTATCATACAGAAAGAAAGTATTAAAGCCACTAAATACTAAAAGCAAGCAATTAACCTTGACTTTAGACTCTCTCCTCTAATTCTATAGTCGGGTTGCCCCTTGAAGCTAAGATATAACCTTAATCCAAGCTTATGTCTTTAAATAAACCCAAAGACTTTAACGTAGGGGTACAAGCAAGGTTCCCTTAGTTGCATCTGTCGTGGTAATCATCCTCCTGGCAACCGTTGTTGCAAAACCCCAGAGACTCGATTGACGGAAGGCCGTGAGGAATAGGACGGTAGATAAAGAGGGTGTTCCACTCCTTGCCCTCGCACGTGTCGGTCCTCCCGCAAGCGGCCCAGGCAATGTCGGCCTGGTTGTAGCCTGTTTTTGTCACGATATTAGAACCTGATTATCGAGTTGAAAAAGAAAGAAGAGAGCCAGGGGCTGGACACTTACTGCCGGCGTTGACAAGGTGGTACCCGCAAGCTGTGTATTGGGCCATGGCGCCAGTCATGGCGGCGGTAATAAAGAGGGGGATAGAGAACTTCATGTTGACAAGGTAGTTTTCTCGTGAAGTTTTGCTGGGATATAGCTGGTGTTTAGCTAGTGTTTGGCTGTGGTTATTGGCTGTCTAGTGATGATGGATAGAACTTCGGGTTGAAAAGAGAATGAACGGCAGCAGCATTATATATTAGACCTGCCTCTGAATATGTTGCATTTGTTCCTTGCCAAACCGGCCTAATAGACTCGCTATCGGAGGTAAAACGTTACTCTCTGCTTGCACTAGACCGGCCTATGAAGAGTAGGAAAACAAGCCATCGTCGGCAACTCCGAATGCAAATAAGCAGCTGAATATAATACTGATTCAACAAGGACCTTACGTAGTATTCAATCCCAGTAGCAAATAAGCAGCTGAATATGATGCTGACGTGATAAGGGCCTTAAGGGGAAAAGCTGCATATTTAGCGCTGACGGTGGCCGGCCTCCTGTGGCTGATGGTAGGGGCGCAGTATTGCAATAAGAAAATGGCGCTGTTTACGAACATACATAATAAGCAGGTGAAAGGTTTTGTTGTACAAAATGTATAACAATTCAGCGGTGTGAGAATGGGCACCCAGTAACCCTATCAGGGAATTCGACCTTGTCGGAGCTATTCAGCTATTGAAAAATTGAATATGGCCGTGAGACCCCGCTGACTTTCCGCAAATTGATGGCGGCAAAGATCGTACGAGATTTCTGGGCCGCATCCGTTTCGAGATGTGGTGTGTATGATTGCTGTCTTCCAAAACACCAACACGCCATGTCAAACCTCTGTGTCCTTCTCAGAGGCCCCAGTATCTGGACCATGCCTCCACGTCAACCTTGCCGGGCTCGCATACACATTCAGCCTGTGATAGGGACGGGCCTTCTGACTGATTGAGAATAAAGAATTATCGAAAGGGAATGGGTGGGTAGCATTACGCAAGATGAGTTTTCCAGAAGGGACAGAAGGCACGAGACAAATCTGTGAGAATCCATTATCAGGAGTATAAAGAAGAGGGTCTCCGGGCGAACCTCAATACTTTTGACTCCTAGCTCCTACACAATCAGATACACAACTCCTTGCATACTCAACACATAAACATATCTTTCACTTAAACACTTCAGTTTCTAACACGCCATGTCCACCAATTATCAGATATGCTTCATTCGCAAAGTCCCAGCAGAGCTGGACGGCTCCGCTATCGACTTTGCCATAAAGGAACGTCCTAGCAATGGCCCTGGCGAGGATCGCCTCGCTCTGTCCAGGTCGCGTCTCTGGCAGACCGGTCGCGAGCTGCGCATCCGCTTTCTCGACGGCTCGCCCTCCATCCAAGGTCGCATCCGCGCCTGCGCCGACGAGTGGCAGCGCTACGCTAACATCAAGTTCAACTGGGTCGACTCGGTCGATGCCGACATCCGCATCTCCGTCGGCGACGGCGGCGGATCTTGGTCGTACCAGGGCACCGACAATGGTGTTATCCCCCAGAGCGACAAGACAATGAACTTCGGCTGGCTGAATGACGATTCAGAAGACAGGGAGGTTAGCCGTGTTGTGCTGCACGAGTTCGGCCACGCCCTCGGCTGCCACCATGAGCACCAATCCCCAGCCGCGAGCATTAAGTGGAACGAGCAGGCTGCGTTCCAGTACTACATGAGCAAGAACGGCTGGACAGAGGAGCAGGTCCGCTCCAACGTCCTCAACCTGTTCCCCGACGAGGAGACCAACTTCTCTGCTTTCGACCCGCTGTCCATTATGCTGTACTCCTTCCCGGCGGAGCTGACCCTCGACGGAAGCTCGACCCAGTGGAACACGAGCCTCTCCGAGACAGACAAGGGGTTTATGAGCAGGACCTACCCTATCGAGGGCGGTATGCTCGACGGCTTCAACACTACCGAGATGCAGTCGCCGCCCATGACGTCCCAGGAGCTCACCAAGCGAGCCAACTTCAGCTTCCCGGCGCCGCCTGTGCTAGCCGTGGGTCTAAATCACCTCGACGTCGGCAATGAGCACAACGTTCGCGTGCGCGCCGTCGCCGAGCAGATCATGAAAAACACGGCCGAGGTGCACCTGAGCCAGTGGGGCGATACCAAGGCTTACTCCCTCGGATGTGCCTGGGCGACCTTTGCCGCCGACGACCCGAATATCCAGGTCGGCGAGTTCTCTACGACCGATGACCATTCTTGGTGGGAGCCCAAGCCGGACACAGTTCGACATATTAACTTCCCGCGCGCCTGGGGATCTGGACCGCCGCAGGTTGTTGTCTGGTACAGAATGCTCGACCTTGACAGCGGCAAAAGCTACTGGCACACTGAAACGAGAGTGGAAAATATCACGGCCGAGGGTTTCGACCTTTTCATCTCGGCGTACGGCGATTCTGTAATCTACAGCGGCACAGCGGTCTGGCTAGCCCACCAGCAGAACAGGGAGGGTCTGGTGAGCGGTACCTTCAGCACTACAGACGTCCGCATCGACAGGCACCCGTCCCTAGAGACGCAGGGACACGTCGAACTGCCTGCTGGCGCGTTCCATGACCCTCCAAAGGTATATGTCGCTCTGAGAGGGTTCAAGGTCAGCACCGACACCAACTTGCGCCTCAAGGTGAATGTTAGTAATGTCAGCGCCACAGGCTTCGATTGGCATATTGATGGATGGGTCGACTCGCTTATATTTTCGGGCACGGCTGACTACGTCTGCTTTGCTTAATAGAGCTTTAGGGCTTCATGTTAAAGCTAGAGAATGGGTCTGCCCCTTGTTAGTCTACTATGCGAGGAGAGCAGAGGGTTGTGTGCTTTATTATTGTTATATATAGAAATACCCAGGAAGCTCCAGACTATTATAATGTCATTCCTATTCGCTATAGCCCCTGTCTCATCAATATTACGTGAACAGCGCTTGCTGAGCATAAATACTAGACACCGCGGCCATTCAACTAGGTAAGATATCTCAATCACTTTTTTCTGTACTCACTCGTTTAAAACTCAGTTAACGGCTCGACAGAGCATCCAGCTTACGGTAAGAGTTGTTGTTTATATCGCGAAGTAGTTCTTGGTGAGAAAATATTTTTATTAAACTTTTATTGTTGGTTTTAAGATGGAAGTTCTCGGGTTTATATCTCTAAATGATTTCATCTAGGACTTTGAACTCTAATTCTAGGACTTCCAGACTGTTAGTTTGAATCCTAAAGGGAAGGGGAATTCCCGGATTTTTCAACAACAAACCAAACGATATAGTACAGCAAGAACTAATACAGTACAGGCTCTGGTAGACAGACCAGGCTTCAGCCGCTGAAGATGGGACCCTGAACACTTGGAGAGTTTGGCCTTCAAGCATGCCTGTCACAGGGACACGCTAGGCTAGGAAGTGTGTCGAGGAGTAGGGTTTGGTGAGGTCTGAGGGTTTCAGGGCCAGAAGTCGGAAAATATAACAAGATTTAACGTTGTGGGCGCTATGAGGTGTATCCTCCCGAGCGGAGTAAATTCATTCATCCATTCCAATCAATCTAACAACCTTTCGGTCGTCAAGGCCTAGAGTTGAATCGGATCGACACAAACTCAATCTAACTCAATTTCACCGTATATGCCCTCAATTTAAGGTGACGCTCAAATTGAGTTTGGAGCGCTGAATCCGGTAGATCATAGACAAAGGCTAGCCTAATACGTGTTGTGCCTCTTATAGGGGACCTGAGCGACCTGAAGTCGCTACATGGAAAATATACATACGTACATACATTATAAAACAGGTTCAAGTTATTTATGCAATCGCGTAAAGAGGCAATGTACCGAAATGGTAGGAAATAGATGATTTGTGCTTAGTGATAATTGAAAGCCCGCTCAAACTCAACCAGACTTGGAAGTAGAAGCTGCGCTTGGCCTCTTTCCAAGCCCTGATTTCACGTAGATTGCGTCCAGTGTGTACATTTGGACGATGGAATCTTCAGGGCTGATCCAATGAGTAGGTTCCTTCCCCGTGACCTTATCAACGAAGGCTTCCAATTGATACCTACTGATCATCAGTCTTCCTGATTGATGCCCCTTGTAGTAATCGCTAAACATAAACCATACCCATAGGTGCTCCACCAAGGCTCCGACCTTAGGCCCCAGGATGGTCCAAAGGAGTAATGCTTCTGTATATGAGTTTGGCCCGTCTGTTTGTCAGTGACTTGAATGTAGTGGTAGATGTGAGGCATCACGAAGTTGGCGGCAGATCAGTATCGGCCATTAAGTCGTTAAGTGCATGACCTCGAGACCACTCACTTGTAGTAGTAGATGGTCGCGACTTGATCAATGAGGGGAACTGAGAGTAGAATCACCGCATGGCTAGAAATCTAGATAATCTCAAGCTCAAGTTAGGCTTCTTCTTGTTGAAGAATCCGAGTCCTTTGGAGCCTGAACAACAAACGCCTAATGCCCAAATATCAGTTCTTCCATCAAACTCTGAACTTTCTTGTTCTGCGGAGTGGAATCAGATAGTGCTATTTGCGCCCGGCATCGCTAAAATAGTCGTGCTGCCACACAGGACGACCATTAAGGCACATGCCTGACCATTATATAGGCAATAACTCTAAAATATTAGTCAAGCAGTATGCATTAATATCCTCTAACTCAGGTATTATATAACTACATTAACCAGAGCAACCTCTTATTCCTAAAGAAGTAATATCTAGACTATTATATATGACTTCAAAGAGCCAATACCAGCTTTTAATACCATTAGTAAGCTTTACCTAGTTAAGCTGAATTTATTAAAGTATTCTTTAGTAGTATAGGAGGAAAAATGCTAAATCTATGCTAGTATAGTTAATAAACCTAAGTAATAATATCTCTAGTTTTGGTATAAGAAGAGTTTTATAAAGCTCTAAAAATCAACCCTAAGTATTAGAATTATTAAATCTAAGATATAAATAGGAAAGACTAGGAAATAATTTAATAAACTAGACTAGTAGTGGCGCCTACTTGGAGGTATTCTTAAGCCTAGGATATTTATCTAGGATAAGATATAGGCAAGAAAGATATTTTATAGGAGATTTAAAAAGGAGTGTAGACAACCTGATAAGCATATTAGGATAGATATATCTGGCGTTATTTATTTGGAATCCAGGGCTAATATTAAGTGTCTGAATGTCAATTGTCGTTTAAGCTCTGTATCATCCTTTCTTTAGCACATCCCATAGTAAGCCAGGACTACATCCTTCTCTGGTATTGTTTGTGAGATACTTTTATACCTTTGTCCGTCGGTTATAATTTGGTTTCGACTTATGTCATTCCATATTTGGTATTCATGCCACTTCTGAGTCGATACAGCGAGGGGGGACGCAGACGCTTCTACCCTGCCAATTCAAATGACAGACATAAGTATACGCGAAGTTCAGAATTGAAAGCAAAGTAGTTTGTCCGTTTTCGGTACCAGTCACTCAATAAGGGTTAAGCGCGCACCTGGAATCGCGAGGTTGCTCCATGTAAAGATGTCTCTTTGTTCCCGGACTGGGTACACTTCATGCCTGAATGCAAGAACCTAGAGGAATCCACCCCATGCCCCCCCCCCCCAAAAAAAAAAAAAAAGATACCCTCAGAGACTTTCCCCGTTATCGAATTATGGTTAGTTCAGAAGATTATTTAGACGAGGACCCAATGTGTTTTCTTATATCCCTCAAGAAGACGTTTGGGAACTTCGTGAACACCCTCCGTACTGGAAGCTCTATGGGCTGATATGGCGTTGCTCAAAGGTACCCATGGTTCGTGCGCTTTGGGGAGGTCGAATAACACAGTCACCGTGGTATGTCCGAGATTTAATCCATTAGGGGTAAGGTTTAGTCCTTCCACCTTTTTAATCTTAAGAGGCTTAGGAAAAAATTAACCGTTTTTTTGGAAATATTTTTCTTTCTTCCAGAGAAAACTCGTTATAGGAGGCATAATCCATGTCACGCTGTGGATAACTAGGCAGTAATACGCGGTGGTTGAGTAACCCTCCGTCTGACCTAGCTAGGACCTTCGTTGTGTCACGATTAGCATCTTGCTTTGAAACTCCATATATCGACCCGCCCGCTCCCTCGTGATGCTGCTACCTTGCATCTATCGCTTCACTAGGTTTGGCGACCGTGAGATTCAATGGGCCCTGTGAGGATAGTCAGCTGACCGGTATGCTCATAGTGTGTGATCCTGACTGTGCGGCCAGTTCTGTCCTCCTCCTGGAACATTTTGTTAAGCTCAAATTCCGCGGCAGCCGAACGCCCTTGGTTATCACTTTCTGCTCGACCTTATGTTGAAGATGTGTATGGAATCTGCTGTTCATATTCTCAAGATCATGCTCATGCTTAAGTGGTCAAGATAGTCATTAGAGCACTGAGAGGAAAGGAGTTACAGCGGGTTATTCCTGACTAAGGGCTAGCCGTGCGTGTACGGGGCGGTGTATGTATTGGATCCCTGTGTGGGGTGCCCGATTAGTCATATCCGGCGCTACCCCGCTTGTTACACAAATTTCCGGGGTAGGGAAACCTTTGTCCTCCCCCTCCTGTTGTCGGTGCTCGCATCTTCATGACTTTCACTGGTCCTCAGAGTCATGTTTCGCTCAACAACAATCCTGCAATGGCGGACCTAACAACTCCATCGCCTGGCAACAGCCAGGACCCGGCCATAAAGCCAACATCCTGTGATACGTGTAGAAAGCGAGTTAAGCCGCAGCATCCCCGATGTCTACAGGAACTAATGCTAATACTACATGCAGAAGGAAGTCAAAGTGTAAGTTGATCTATCACATTCAGAGGTCGCGGGATGCGATCAGCGAAATCTGACCCATTTCCAGGTGGCATGGAGCGTCCATCTTGCACCTCGTGCGTTACTCATAACTGGGCATGCTCCTATTCTCTGATCCGAAGGAAGCCTGGTCCACGACAAGGCTCAAGACAAATCCAGACTGTCCGTTTTCAGCAGCGTCTCGGTATGTCTTCGCCATGTCTCACAATGAAAGGAAAACTCATCAGCTCCCAAGATCGCATCGAGAAGCTTCTGCCCCCGTCTCCATCTGCTGGGAGTAACCAGTCGCAAGAATTGCAAGACTTCCCCCGCACGTCGCAACCTGACTGTAACCCTGAGCCTGAAGGCTCGCTCCAGACCAGATTTCCCGCACTGCCCGCTTCCGAAATGGAATACCAGTCGGCAGCGTTGAGCAGCCACATGCAGCAGCTTCAGTTAAGCATTAGTTGGATCGGGAACCGCCAGCCCGTTCCACCCGGTATGGGATTTAACTCGGCCCCGGCGACCGAGAACTATGTTCCGTACGGCTTGTCCTTGCCCGTACGAGTAGAGCTCGAGCTGTACGTCCGCTCCCTCCATGTGGTTTCCTGCTCCAGATTGTCTCACGATCCCCTACCAGGCTATCCCTCTTCTTCACAGAAGTCTCTTTGCCCATCCCTGTGTTTTGTACAGCGAAGTTTTATTCCGAATATGAGGCAGGGCAAGTCCCGAGATACCTCTTGGATGCTATGTTTTCTCTATCAGCTCGATTTTCTCGCGCTCCCGAAGTCCTTCGTCTGACAAACAGAAACCGCTATCGATTGGGGAAGTTCTTTAGCGAAAAAGCCCATCGAGTACTCGAAGACATGACTCGTGATGGCGATGTCGTTTCGCCGATCGAACTTAAGGCGGCATACTTGCTGACGTATCATGATCTCACATGCCTGCCGTCGAGGGAAGGAGCTCAACAGTGTGCGAAACTGGTTAGAATGGCGTACATGTGCCGATTGCATCAACTCGACAATGCGACCGTATCCATGTCCACCAATAACAACAACAGCCAAAACAGTGCCATCGAGTTGGAGGAAAACAGGTGCTTGTGGTGGGGAATTTTCTCCTTGGACTGCTTTTGCAGTTTAACTTCCTTTGTCCCGTCTAACATCGAGGATCTCAGCATAGCCACCTGCCTGCCGTCGTCAGTCATAACTAATCTCACTGCAGTGGACCTGCCACTTCCAAAAGGGGGGTTTCTGGACGATGAAAGCGCAACATTTTGGCCCGCGACGCAAAACCAGTTTTCTACTGGATCTGGTGTACAGTCTTTACTGCTACATGTGATTAACCTCTCGAGGGAGATGACTACTGCACGACGCTTGTATTACGAGAATTCTCGATGTAACCTAACGCCAAACCTGGAGCAACTGAAACAAAATTGGAAACTGCTTTTCACAAACGTGCCGAGCTGGGTTTTCGACCCAGAATATCATGAATTCGACGGAAACGCGGCAAGGCACCGAAAACGCTTGGAAACTCTCAACATGATTTACATGTAAGGCTCCCCATCACAGAGGTCCTTCTGATGTGAATTCAGACTGACTTAGAGATAGTGTTGGTGCCTTATCTTGCTTTCCACCGCTGCAACTCAATCTACGTTTGCCGCAAGGTGCGCTATCAAACAACGACGGCCTAGACGGGTCGTGGAAACTATGTGTTTCTCACGCATTGATGATATCAGCCGCGTACAAATTCTGGACAAAGGACCATTTCCTTGCGGCGGATCCCATTATGCTACCAGTAACGTGGATGGCAACCTGCATCTTGATCATGGAGACAATGAATTCCTCTGTCGTGGACAATTTGGAGAAGCTTGCGACCCTGGATGCTGTCGACACTCTAATGAGTAGCCTCAACAGCTGCTCACAGCCTTGGGGGATTATTACTCTCCTTACACGTGAGTTCTCAACCCAAATACAACCGACAACTTGCTGACAATTTCAAGGTTCTGCAGTTGAGCTTCGAGGGCAATCTTGGATGAAGTTGAACTTATCCTCCATACTTCAGCTACTTCTAACCCTGTCGGCGCCCCAGAATCAAGATCGGCAGGAGAAACAGGGATCTACCAATCCTGCCACGGGGTCTACGCTAGTACCAGATTATACTGGCGTTATTGAGGACACTGGTACGGGGAGCATGGCCCCGGCCGGACTGATGCCACATGACGTGGCACTCCAATTTGGGAACGAATCGCTGGACATTTTTGACTGGTTTTTGAACGACCAGGGTAATGGAATTTGGCAGAACTGCGATTTCCGATTGGGGGATTTATCTGGCTGATGCATCGTCAATATGATGGAACACTTCCAACCCATTCCTCGAGCCCCGAGGGGGAAACGTACATGGTATTGTCAATGTGAGTAGAGGAACTTAACTATTCCCATCAATGATGCATGCCCGCATATCTTTCCTCTCCCGTTCCGGGCATCTTTACCGTGCATGAGAAAACTATGAGCTTATGCAGGATCTATCTGACAGCAAGCCAAATGTTGGTGGAATCTTTCTATCTACGCGCAACTCTTGTCGAACGTGGAAGGTAGGACTGGCGGAAGCACTAGTATTCGATTTATAAAGCCTACCTTGAGGGTCTAATCGCCCAAAAGATATGTGCCAACTCAGAGTGGTCCAGGTGCGATGCATTCCAGGCTAACGCTCTCAAGAAGACATAAGTGATTATTTGGTTTTTTGGGGTTGAAAAATACAAATGTCATAGATGGATAATCTCCATGCGACTTAAATGTCGACGCAGTTTGATTATCACAGTCACTACGGCTGTTTTGTCATTGCGAGCCATTGCATGTCTCACAGGGACCATGTAAGGAATTGAACCCAAGACCACTGAACAGGGAGGGAACTTGCGCTTACGACTCCCATTATGGTTCATACATAGCTCGGAATAACTAGCAATTGGAAAAGGCGAACCCGGTTCAATTGACCACTGTAGAGAAACAAAGACAGAGAAAGAAGCATAGAGGGTCTAGGGAAGGGGAGGAGACCGTTGGCCATACGGATTACAGCGGGATAATTAAACGCTCCGCTGAATGAACGCCATCTTTTCTGGAAGTCTCGCTAATTACTACTGTTTTAGTGTCTCCACATCCGCGACCCTTGCACGGAGTACTCACTCTTGTTTGGCTGGGCCAAGTTCAGTAGCTGGTTCGGACAAACTAGTTGCCCTGAGCACGCAGTCATCTCCCCTGCTACATAAGTCAGTCAGATAGGATATAGTGACACCGGAAGACTGTCCACCAATTGAATAACGAAGTTGATTTCCTACACGGACTATATCTTAAGTAATAAGCAATTTTACTATATAATATATACTATTTATAAGTATAACCTAAGATAATTAATTTATATAGAAAATAAAATTTAGTATTTAAATTATTATTATATTTTAAATATTAAATTTAAGATTTTTAATATTTAATTTATTATTAAAAAAGTATAATTAATAACATATTTAATAAGCAAGCACCGCAAATAAGCAAGTACTACACTTTTCCCTCTTATATCTTACTCTTTATTTAATTAATTAGTTCTTAACCTTTTAATATATTATAACCTTTAAATAAGGCTAAAACCCTTATTACTCTTTAGGCCCTTTAAAATAGGCTAGAATGAAGTACTTAATATACTACTAAGATATATAAGATTGATAAGCGCTGCTAATATTACTACTAATAAGTGTTACAATTCGTGCCCGTACCAGCACTGTAAGCCTTCTATAAGGCAGCTGTAGCACACCCATAATTGCTTGCATAGCGATTATGGCCCGATCTTTTGCCTTGTGGTTTAACGGCTTTTGCAACTGTTATAATAAGGTATAAAATTATAATATAATTTTATCCTAAACTTATAGAAACTATTTAATCTAAAAAAATAAATAATGATTTAATTTATCTTTAACTTAAGTTTATAAGGATTTCCCTTTTAATTATATTTTATAAAAGAAATAACTAATTCTCTAATAGTATATTATAATATATTATTTATTAATAAGTATTAGGTATATAACTTTATAAAGTAATACTTAAAGCTAAAGATATATTTATTTTATAAATATATTTATTAAAGAGCTAAATATAGAGATTTAATTATTATTTATAGCTAATTTTAACTTATATAAAATATAATTATAAAATATAATATTTAATTAAATAATATCTAAAACTTTAATAAAATTAATTTTATAATAGGTATTATTATAACTAAAATAATTAGTATTACTTTAAAAAGGTAAAAATAATTAAAATTAATATAGCCTAGAAAGTAAAAAGAAATAATTATAATTTAAGTAATTAATATAAAAAGTTAATTAATTATAGTATTTATTATTATTATAGGCTAATATTATCTTATAAGTTAATATTAAGAATATAACTTCTTATATAATTAAGTTATTATAATAAGCTAAAATAAATAAATAAATAATAACTTAGGCCTTAAATAGTTAAAGTACTTTAATTAATTATAAAGAATTAATTAACTAGGTTTTATTATCTTCTAATTCTTAATAATTATAAAAGCTATTACTTAATAAATTTTAAAAGATATTATAAGAAGAATAACATTTTTATATTATAACTAAATAGGTTTTAAATAGATAAACTAGCCTATACTACATTTAATGTTTGCAGAGTTATAGAGCGTTATACTAAGCAGTTACAAAGTGTTACGTCTCTTAATAGTAAATAGGGCGGGTTAGGCATATTTAGGTAAAGAAGTCTTATTAATAGCTAGTAAGCTAGAATTTATAAAAGTGCTAATAAATATATTCTATATACTACAGGTAGCCATATAGCTTAGTAAAGAATAAAGATAATTTAAGTAATCTAATAGAAGAGGATTATTATAAGGAGAAGTAATCCTAGTGTGATTGGTGGAAATTGTAGGGGCCACGTGACGTAAACACAGGGGTTATAATATATATTTTATATACCTACTTATATATCTTACCTACTTTAACCTTTTAATATTAAGTGCTTTAGGCTATTAAAAAAGGCTTATAATTAAGAAATAAATTATTTAATTAAATACTTTATAACTTATATTTTAAAAACTAAGTTCTTTTTTACCTTTTATATTATATTTAAAATTACTTTTAAGTTATAAAAAGTAATATTTAAAGGGGTTTTAAAAGAGCTAGGCTTATTCCTTTTAACTTAGAAAATATTCTCTTAAAGCTTAATATTATAATAGTTATAGCAAGCATTCTAGGGTAAGAGGTCTAAGCTTTATTAATAGGATTAGATAGATATTAATAGTAATAGATATAAAGGGACAGATTCCCCTAAGGACTTTAGCTCTTTATACTTTTTCTTTTATATATATAATTTTATAATCTTTTCTTTTATATTTAATATTATTAAACTAATTATTTAAATCTTTATCTTATAATAAAGACTCTATCTTAATTAAACTTAATTAGCAGTTTATACTTAGCTTATAATTAAGAGTATTAAAAGACATTTTTTTATATAGTCTTTTCTTTATTATTGCTTTATACCTTTAAAATATATAACTATAATCCCTAATACCTCTTAAGGAAGCTATTAAACTATTAATATTATAAGCTTTAAAAACCTTAAAGATAATTCTTAAGGCTTAATCTTAATTTAAATACCTTAAAAAATAAAATAAAAGGTATTACAATAGCTTTTTAGAGTTTATTATTAAAGCTTTAAAGTTAACTATTAAAGTAATAAAGGTAATTATATAAAAGGTTATTTTATTAAAAAAATAAGCTTTAAAATATTTAAAATATAAATAAGATATTAAGCTAATACTAAAGGGAAAAAGGATTAAATTATAAAAAAGGGGGTAATATTTTTAGAAGAAGTATTATAGGTAACTAATTAAATAAATACTAATATATAAATAGTAATTAAATTAGTAAGAAGTAGTAATTAAAGACAGTTAAAGTAATTAGGTAATTAGTATTATAATATATATAATAAGGATAAGTATAATATAAGAACTTATTAGATAGGTTTTAAGTTATTTAAGGACAAATTTAATAATTAAAAGGGGACCTTTTTAACCTATAGGTTAGGCAAGGAGGGTTAACCTATAAGTTAAGAAGGAAAGCATAATACTTACTTATCTGCGGCACTTACTTATTAAATATATTAATAACTATAAAAACTATATATTAGTTAAATATCTAATTTAATTTTCTATATAATTTACCTGAATTTATACTTATAAATAGTATATATTCTAAAGTAGAACTATTTATTATTTAAAGTATAATCTGTATAAGGAATTATATTCATTATTTTAGTAGCAGATAGTCTTCGTATTCGTTACTATAAGTAGACGCTATATCAAACATTAGTCTCCCTAAAAACACAACGTGCATGCCACATCCTTGGAATCTGACCCGGCATTTCTGTTATAACTATTACGTTCCTCTTACAGTTTCGTTCACCAATCCCTATTTTGCTCATGCAGTTGACTAAGCTTGGGACAAGAAGCTCGGCCTCAATTTCATCTTCATGATGTTTCGTTATTTGGAAAAACCACAAACACTCTACGACAAGATCCTCTACGAGCATGTCGTCAATGAAGAAAACGGCACTATTCTGTTATATATTGGTAAGACTAAAGCCCTTGGGGTCAGACATTATATTACTCTGATATAATGAGTTAGTTAGTTTTTAGCTGCGACCATACATGATCCAATAGCGCCCTCTCTTTCTTGGACGCTAACATTTGTCAGACCGCCATCTTGTATACGAAGTCACTTCTCCTGTGTGTGGAACTATACCTTTCCCACATATTATTCATTGACCTTTACTACAGCAAGCATTCGAAGGCTTGAGAACCGCCAACAGGGCTGTCAGAAGACCTGATTGTACCCTTGCAACCGTTGACCATGTACGTTTTGCCTGGTTTTGAGCCTGACCACCTTTCATAATGCCTGATAGAATATCCCGACCAGGACTCGAGCCAAATTCCAAAACTCGGCTCGATTCATCAAAAATGGTGGCTCTCGAACCCAATGTCTGACTCTAGAGAATAATGTGCGGGAATTCAATATCCCCTTTTTCGGTCTGGGAGATACCAGGCAAGGCATTGTGCACGTCGTAGGTCCTGAGCAAGGATTCACCCTTCCTGGAGCTACCATTGTATGTGGGGACAGCCACACGTCAACCCATGGAGAATTCGGTGCACTTGCCTTCGGTATTGGGACCAGCGAAGTGGAACATGTTCTTGCTACGCAGACCCTGGTCACAACCAGGAGCAAGAATATGAAGGTCCAAGTGGACGGCAATCTTGTCCCTGGTGTTAGCAGCAAAGATCTAATGCTCCACATTATTGGTCACATCGGCACCGCTGGAGGGTCAGGACATGTTATTGAGTTTTGCGGATCAACAATCAGAGGGTTAAGTATGGATGCCAGAATGTCCATCTGCAACATGTCAATCGAAGCTGGAGCGAAAGCAGGAATCATTGCGCCTGATGAAAAGACCCATGAGTATCTCAAGGGCCGCCCGTTGGCACCAAAACCCGATGGCCCTGAATGGAGCCATGCGTGTCGTCATTGGAAGTCACTCAAGTCTGATACAGGGGCAATATTCGACAGGGAGGTGTACATACTCGCAGAAGACGTCGCCCCAACGGTCACATGGGGTACATCTCCGGGTGAAATTGTCTCCATAACCGGCGTTATCCCAGCACCAGATGACTTCGATGACCCTCACAAGAGCGAATCATGCAAACGCACTCTAAAGTACATGGGGTTGAGACCTGGGACACGTGTACAGGACCTTGTTTTCGATAAGGTATTCATCGGCAGCTGCACCAATGCGCGCATCGAGGACCTCAGGGCTGCGGCAGACGTAGTCAAAGACCAACGAATTTCGTCCAACATAAAGAGTGCTATCGTCGTTCCTGGCTCTAGCTTGGTAAAGAATCAAGCCGAAAAGGAAGGCCTCGACAAGATTTTCAAAGATGCTGGGTTCGAATGGCGCGAGGCCGGCTGCTCCATGTGTCTCGGCATGTAAGCTTGATATGGCTTCTCCTTTAACCCTTAACAAGGAACTAGAAACTAAGGACTAACTGAGATGCTGTATTTAGGAACCCAGACATCCTTTCTGCCAAGGAGCGATGTGCCTCCACCTCCAATCGCAATTTTGAGGGTCGGCAAGGAGCAGGTGGCCGGACGCACTTGATGTCACCAGTCATGGCAGCAACATGCGCAATTTTCGGTAAACCTGCTGACGTCCGGACTGTCACGCCGACTTTTCAATCCCCAGTCGCAATTCCCAAGGTGGCCATGGAGAATAACAGCAGCTCATACGAACCGTCCATTGACACAAAGGACTTCATGGATGTGCCTATGGACGACGCTGCGACAAGATCTGCACCGGCCCCTGCTCAGCTCGAACAACATTTCACGCAGCTTAGAGGCGTCGCTGCGCCCATGGACAGACCTAATATCGACACGGACGCAATAATCCCGAAGCAGTTCTTGAAGACTGTCCAACGCTCAGGTCTCGGGCCCGCACTATTTTATCAATGGAGGTACGATGCAGAAACCAGCAAAGAAAAGCCCGATTTTATCCTGAACAAGGAGCCATACCGTGGTGCCAAGATCCTGGTCGTAACTGGAGATAATTTTGGTTGTGGCTCCAGCCGCGAGCATGCACCATGGGCTCTGCTGGACTTTGGAATTAGGTGTATCATTGCTCCTTCTTTTGTAAGTTATGACACCGTTTTCTTCTAATAATTTGTTTAATGCTGAATATAAAAGGCGGAAATTTTCGAGACAAATCTGTATAAGAACGGAATGCTTCCAGTGAAGCTTCAAGGGGACGCGCTTCAAAGAGTAGCAATGGAAGGACTAAACGGTCGCGAGATCGAAGTCGATCTTCCTAGGCAGGTTATCTTGTCTGCTGATGGCAAGGAGCTATGTCAGTTTGACATACCCGAGTTTAAAAAAGATCGCCTAATCAACTGTCTAGATGATATCAGCCTCACTATGGAGTTGGAGGCTAAAATTTGCGATTTTGAAGGGAGAAGGCGCAAACAGACCCCGTGGTTAGATGGTGTTAAAGGCATTCAGCAACAGGGAAAAATAAAATTGCAGCCCATCTCAAATGCCGGATTTGGAAGTGAGAAGTTAAGAATGGAGTCTCTCCAGTGGTAAATAGAAATGAAATTACAAACTGTTACGTCTCTTAAGAACAATGAAATCGATTCAATCAACCAAACTTGGGACGGATTTGGCCCTTTGAAAGCCAACGAGAATCCGACCACCCAGCATCCCAACCCACTACCGTTCCGTAAGCTTTGACATCAATATTCAGTGGCAACGGGCCTGGCTAAAACGAGTGGGGGCAAGGAAAGCCGCAACGGATAGGAGGCTGATATGCACTGCAGATAGCTTTGGGGATGTAATGGATGAAGCGTGGACGGAGAAAATCAAGAACAAATAAACAAAGTGCCCAATGCTCGAGGAATGACTAGCGATCAGATTCTCTGTGAGAGATGCGAGTCTCAAGGCCCATTTATTCATCTCCTCGGTCACCTCAGAACAAACCTCTCCAAGGTACAGCAGCGTTCAGCTAAGCAAAACTTGGTTGGAAACTTCGGTGCGATCTGATAGCAGCAACATTAGAAGACGATGTATTGACTCAAATTGCAATCCTCTTCTCTCGTGGAGTGGGCTGATGTTACTGGGCCAAGTCATAATTATAATATGTCGACACATCCGGAAGGACGGGTTTTTTCTTTGATAATTATTCCACCTTCAACTTTGGGCAATTCTTAGCAACGGTAGCACATTCCGACGCGCGTAGCCGTACGTTTTCCCTAATCTCGCCCTCTGTTAAATCAACCCTTTGGTTGTGCCAACAACAATGCCCACGTTGTGATTTTCAACCTAACCTCTACGTACTTGCATACTACTTGCCATCGTCTCCCACCTCACTTGGCTGCTTTACATTCATGTCATTCTCCCTAAAAACTGTGACCACTGGACTCTTGTGCTGGCCTTCCTGGGCTAGGGCTACTAGTTCACGGTGGATTGGATCGTCTCGGCTCCAATATTCCAGATCCGCGGCAGATCGGAAAACAAGAAACATGGTGACATTGTAACCTGTCTGCGTTAGAGATGCTTCTTCAATCGTCAACTTGTTACAGGAGGCTCATAGCTCCTCTTATCTGCAAGGGACGGCTTACCTTTGGCACGGGAGGGTCGGCGTTGCAGGGGTACTTGACTGGCGCCAGCCTTTGCATCGATGATGTACGCATGTCCGTCTTTGGTGGCAGTGGCTGGGATGGACTTCATGAACTCTATGACATTCGACCCAACAGTCGAAGAAGTGAAAGACCAAAGAGCGACCAGGTAAAATTGGCCAGGTGTATCAATTGACCTTGACTATGAGCTTGAGCCGCCATATTCTCCATCTCGCCAACAGGATTTAGATAACCTACATCTGGCGGCCGAAGAAGTCGAGAACGGTCTGGTATCCGCTTTTGTACTTTTCACGTACGTTCGGGTCGTCGAGGTCTGCGCGTGTCCCCATCCATCCATGAATCTGGTCCTCGAAAGTTTCCACGTAACTTTGAACATTGAGGTTTGCATTGAAGCCGGATACATCGTTGGGATCCTCGTCCTTTGAAGCTAGTGTGCATATTGGGACTGTGACCTTTTTTGCATCCTCTGGATCGAGCATGGCCGGGTGGACCTGAGCAACGGCTTTGAAAGGGGTCGCATCGCCACTCGAAAGGGCCACAACCTGAACAGATTTGGCAAGTCAGCAGATGGTTCATTTTAATCTTCAAGGCCCCGGGGCAGTAATAGCCCCAATATGACGCAGCTTCTAATCTTGGGTTTCCCTACTTTACCGCCCCAGCACATGCCAAGTGCAAAAACGTGCTCAATGTTAGCACCGTAATTTTTGATGGCCTCAGCGGTCTGTGGGATGCGAGCTACCGATTTTTCCGGATTAGCGACGCTGCTGAAGAAGTTTTGTAGCGCCTCCTGGTGTTTATCCGTCGTTGGCGGGTACCAGGAGATGTCAGCGGCCTTGCCCTGGAAGAAATCGGGAACAAAGACGCGATATGGATTGCTTCTATCACTCATCGCGAGGATATCGGCGCCTTGCAACGTTTGAGGAGAGAACCCGAAAATATCGTAGACGAGGAGAATGGCTTTGTTGGCGGAAGGCGGCCCAGTCACATCTACGCCACGTCAATTTCAGAATCTCGTCGTTAAAATGGCATCTTTTGAAGCGCACAAGTTTTGAGGCCAGCCACATTCTTATAGGCGCCTTTCTCCCCGTAACCTTTAGAAATGATTGGGGGGATAGAGCAACAGGCGGTTGAATAGGACATTGTGGAGGCGTTGTAGGAGTTTCACGAAACGCTCTAAGGCGAGGGAAAAATTGGCGTGACAACCGTAATTGAAGTGAATTCGAGGGATATTTTTATAGATGGATCGGCAGACGTTTGCAAGCCGTCGTAAAACTGCATTCCAAAGAGGCGTCCCCACCAGGAAACGAGCAGATGCACGAGCCAATCTCCCCGCGCCCTGTCGGGCGAAAAAGATGCTCCGACACTAGTAAAACACACCAGGTGGTGGAGCCGCCGATTCCGGGTAGATAGCCATGGAAGAGCATCATGGTCCACGTTCGTGGCCTCTATCAAGACGGAACTGCCATACGAACGTACACTACACCCCCTGTATTTTTATCACTGCGTGACCTGACCAGGGTTTGTAGAATTCTTTTTTCTAATGCGAATATATGACTGGCTGGAATCATTAAAAAGCCCTGCGGGCGGCTTGATAAATTAGTTATAAATATTCAGGGGTTGTACTGTATAACACGAGGACAATGCATCTAGAGTTAGGTAGCTTGTAGCAACGCGCGTTTACCAACATGTACATCAATTATCAAATATTACGAGGCAACCCTTGGAATGCAATAAGCACAACTATTTCAATCACCTTCGCTACCCTACGTGACTACCCATAAGAATACAAATCCTCAATCAGCTGTACGTGCTCGGGATTACAGAGGCACAACCCCCGTCCGCCATCAAAACTGCCCCATTAGTATAGGCTCCGGCCAAGGAAGCCAAGTAGAGGATGGCTCCAGCAGCTTCAACTTCCCGACCGGCGCGCAACACCGTGGAACGAGATGCCGGGACAGAGCCATCATCTTCCGCTTTTGGCTCAGTGATCTTGAATAGTGCCATTTGTTCGGTGAGTTCCGAGCGAAAACCTGGACGACATTAGCTTGTGCGTGTCTCGCGCAGACGGAGGATTCTTACCGCCCAGGGCCAGAGCATTAAATCGAATCCGCCATTGGCTGAAAAGGGTCGCCAAGCTCTGCGTGAGTTGTCGCACACTTGTCTTAGTCAACGCATATGCCAGAGAGCCGTGCAATCCTCTGGTGTATGCTCCAATGCTTGACATGGTAATAACCTGACTTTGAGCATGATAGTTTCCTTCCTTGTTTCCATCGTCAAGAAGTTGGAGGAACGACATAGCAGTGTAGAAGGACGCAGTGACATTGAGGTTGTAAGTGTCGGCCCAATCTGTCATGTCTTGGGCAAGAAAGTACTTCTGGTAATCTTCGAGCGTCTTCAAGCCAGACTTGTCATCGCCCATCCCTGGTCCAGGACGACCGGCACAGAGAACAAGGAGGTTGATATAACCCTCTCTCGCCCGAACATACTCGGCGCATTCCTGGAGGGACTCCTTGGAAGTCACATCACCGGGCAAAGGCACAATGCGCCCATATTTCTATGACACGATCAACACCGACTGAATATAAAGAGGCTGCACCTCAACCTACCGCTTGCTTAGCTGCCGCCTCCAGCTTCTCCCAATTTCGGCTAATGATGTAAACCTTAGCAGCTCCATTGGCCTCGAGAGCTTTTGCAAACATGAGGCCAAGACCTAGCGACCTCATCAGAATTTCCACTTCCACATGATCTATGGTGTTCTTCTTTTTCATGCGTGACTTACCTGATCCACCTCCAGTGATGACGGCAACCAGGCGGCTGACGTCGAAAACGTCCCAAGCCGGTGCATTCGCTGCTGGTGATTGTGACATAACGACTGGGTCAAAGATCTCATTCGCCTTAGGAACAACAGAGGTGAGAGCGCATATGAATATATATCAAACAGAAGGGGGCAGCACTAGCAGGCCACATGGCTAGGAAGGCGGTATTAAGTCCTGCAGCTGTAAGGTTTAATTATGTCATGTCCGGCCAGATACTACGCTCCTTGACTTGAGATTGTCGGAGGATCTTCATCCCTTCCACGAATAAGAACGGCAGCGCCGGAGATTGCATGCACGTGCCAGGCGGTAGATCTGTTGGACGCTCGCAAAATAGAATGGCCCCAAGACGTTAGCTTTACACCATGCCGTCCCAAAAATGTCCCGTGAGCAAACACGTTGGTCTTCCCGAATTGACCAAAATTGGCCAATATACATATTCCGAGCGATGGATGCAACAACCCCTGCGCGAGCATTCCGAGGCTTTTCTTCTTGTGGGGTGCGGCGACGCACATGGGAATCGATTTCATAGAAGCTCTTGAATTTCTTCAATCTAACGAGTGACTTGGAGCCCTATTTCTACCCCTCAGTGAGACCCCAGCTGAGGGGCTGTTACAGTGCTGAGGCGGCTCTCTCACCGAAAGTTCGGACCTCGGGCCAGCCGGTCTCATCTTGACGGGATTCTTCGGCATCCAAGGAATGGTTCAACTTATGCAAACACAATGTAAGTCAAGGAGGAGATTGATAAGCAAAAATAAATCTGAGTGACCACTTGATGGCTAAATTCGACAACATGTTGGTAGAACCTTCGCTCGATTTACACTGGTGCTCTACTTGAAGCTAGCTACATTCTTGACGCGTCACTGAAAAGCCCTGAGGATCCGCAAGTTCTCAAATTCGTTGTCAGTACTTGAATGGAGCAGTCCCCATCTACGCTTCGGCAATCGTCAAAGTAGGGACGCCCTCCCAGGCACTATCAAACCCGGCGAATCTGACCCATGCTTCAGCTTGATCGTATCCGGCCCGGCTGACCACGTCGTTGGGAAGAAAGCTGCTCGCAACAACCAGTGCAGCTTTTTCGAAATCGGACTTCTTCATACGAAACTCGGGCCTATTCTCGAATGGCCTGCTAACCTGCTCAGCATGGATAAGAGCTCGTATCATTTTGCACCCATGGCCATCATCTCTGTATTCTTTGCCGCTCTCAACGGCATCAATCCACGTTTTCAGCCCGTTCGGAGGGCCGTACGCACGCATGGGACCCAGGTCGAGTTTTGGACAACCTGAGATCATGTGCAATATGATGCAGAATCTGCCAAACCAAGAAAGCAAGCGGGCTTTGCTCACCGGACTAATCCAGCTCTTGCGCACAATGGAGTCTACCAAGATGGAGCTGTTGGTTGCATGCATAATGAAGAAGTCCATTCTGGGCTCCTTGTTGTACCGTTGCGCGCCAGCCAACATGACCGCTACGAGCACAGAGATTAGCACATACCTTACAGCCGAAGAGGGTGGGTGAGAGGAGGTTGACAGACAAGTAGCATTGCACAATTCCGCTGATCGGAGTGCGATCTCATCCTCACTGACAACAAATCGACGGGCGTAGTCGACGACTTTCGCTGTCTGGGTGCCCAACAGTCCCTCTGTGTCCAAAATATGGAAAGGTTCCAGGGGAATTGCATCAATCAGTTTCTGGTCAGACGAGCAGAGGTCAAGAATCTCAACAAGACTGACTCTCTCTTGATTGGCCGAGACTGATTCTTCGATATCATTCATGAACCGGACCACATCGACATCATTCTGCGTGCATGCCATGGCGAGACCCTCACAAACAAGAAAAGGAAGGTCAAACTCAATGCCAAAGCCCGCGTTGATGAGGGGGTGAAGGAAACCTGGCCCATTATTAGCTTGTTCAACACACTTGGCCGTGGAGTGTACGAACCAGTGAATAATCGAGCAAATATCTCATTAGAGAGTGCGTCTCCGCCAAATAGGAAGCGATTCACGGCCTTTTCGTACCCGTCCCTCTCCATCTCTCGGCGGAAGAATAGGAGAAAATTTCTATACTCCTTGGGATCTCCCAGATGCCGCTTGAAGTTAGAGATATCAGACAGCGAGTCAGATAATTCCGCGGCGATTTCAGGTTGGTCTCGTTGATATCCCGTATTGTTGTTGAAGTGCCACTCAATCTTTTCTTTGGTGGCACCGAGCGAGTACAAGGTCAAGGCATGATGTGGGAGATGGTTCTGCCACGTGCGTTAGCTCAGGTGTCACTACAGAGTGTCAACATGGCCTGATGATGAGCTTGTTCGGAGATGCGCGTACATGCAACAAAACATCGTGGACCTCGGAGAAGAAAACGTGGTACTCTTGGTGGTTAACTGCTAAAAGATTCTGAACAATGCTCCAGGCAGGATCCCCTTTATTACCAGCTCTAAGCAAGGTCGGTGCAGAGGACCCACTAGGCATGGTGATTCGTGAGTCTGAAATAACTGGATCGTACAAGCTAAGGTTATGATAGGGAAGAAGATTTCGGTACATGACTGGACTGGGGAATAGAGTAGCAAATATATTGACAATGTTTCATAACTCGGAGGAATAGTAGACCATAGTAGCCTGTTCTTAGTTCAACGGGTAGTACAGCACTCTCGGAGTAACAAAATAGACCGATGGTGTGACAGGTTTGGCCGAAGAAGGTCATTCGGTGGCAAGAAGCGCGGGATCATAATGACCACAAAGTAGCCGGTTGGTACTACAGCGGAATTTGCAAGCTAGACGTCTATTGACTTACAGGAACAAAGCATCCTCTGTACTTTCTGCTTCACTCTAACCAAAATCAGCAAGATATTCCACAATATCCATCTTCTGCCTTCGTTACTCATTCTACAGAATGTCTGCGCCGGAGCCCATCAACAAACACTCTCACACCGACTTCAACGTCTTGATCATCGGCGCTGGAGTGTCTGGCATGCTCTTGGCCCTTGAGTGCAAGAGGTTGGGTCTCGATCCCACCATTCTGGAGAGAAGATCATCGGTCGAGACTGGAGGTGCATGCCCGTATTTTGAACAAACCCAGCCTTGCGTCCTTCAAACTAACGGCCAGAATAGGAGACTTCATTGTGATTGGTGACAGCGCTGTCAAAGTTTTTGATCACTGGCCGCAGCTCAAAGCCGATTACGATGAAATGTCCTACAAGGTTGACGCGTATTACAGCCGCCACAATGGAGAGCCCGTTGTTGGCCCCGTGCCTCTCAAGGCAACGATTGGGAGGCCCTTGTTGCGTCGCAACTTGGTCAGTATGCTCGAAGCGGCAGTGGTACGACAAAAAATCCCCATCCTCTTCAACAAAAAGGTTTCTGCTTATTTCGAGACTGAGGACGTTGGAGGAATCGAGTTATCGAATGGTCAACGCATGACGGCCGACGTAGTCGTTGCGTGTGACGGGCTTCACTCAGCTTCTTGGCAAGTCATCACCCAAAAAAAGGACGACACGATCAGTAGTGGTTCTGCTGTTTATCGCACTTCTGTTTCCGCAGATTATATCTTTCAAAAAGACCCGAGTCTGAGGGAGCATTTTGGCTTGCACGAAGGGCGACAATACTTGAAATGGTTCAACGGACCAGGGGTACATGGCCTCGTATTTTCGGACGGGGAGACTATTTGTTGGTCCATCCATCATCCAGTGAGTGCTTACACCCTACGCTAGGAATTGGGAACGTATTGACCTAGGGTTCCTCAAGGCCAACGAAAACACCTCTACCGAGTCTTGGTCTGCCACCATTGACGGCGAGCTCGTCGCTAAGCAGCTATGTCAAGACCATCCAGACTGGTCCCCTGCACTAATGTCCCTTGTTAAGCATACCCCCAATGGAACAGTCAACGACTGGCTGCTGCTGTTTCGTGACCCCGAGCCGACCTGGGTCTCAACCTTGGGTCGCGTTACGCAATGCGGGGATAGCGCACATCCTTTCTTGCCAACCTCAGCCAACGGAGCCACACAGGCGATGGAAGACGCTGCTACGCTTGGGACTGTTCTTCGGCTAGGGTTCGATGCCAAGTGCACCATCAAGGAATCGTTGCAAGTGTACAATTCTTTTCGGTCAGTCTTTGCCCGTTTCGTATGGACGCGTGCAGGATCACTGACACTATGAATTAGCTTTGAGAGAACGTCTTGCGCACAACTGATGGGTGCTTATCATCGCCAGATTCATCATAATACAAACTGGGACGAAGTCCAGAAGACACCAGAGATTTTGACTGGAGCCGGTCCTGGGAAGTGGATCGCCAACCATAATCCAGAACGCTACGCCATTGATAACTTTGAGGAATGCCTTGCGAGTTTCCGTGGGGGTCAATTCTCAAACACCAATACGCCTCCTGGCTTTAAATACCGGCCATGGACTTGCGCCGAGTTGTTGCGCCGTCAAAAGGAAAAGGGCCATTTTACCATTGATGGAGATTGGGATTAAATGTAAATAGCTGCCCATGGCTTATTTTGAAGTTTATGGTGTAGCCACTAGTCTATCCTACAGGTGTAAGTGATAGAAGGATAGCTTGGGATTTTTGCACTTTAAGTCGATTGATTTAAGGTATACAGTCACTCGTGACATGTCCTAGTATCACGATACGTTGAGACCACACCTTCAAGTTATAAGATAAATGAAGAGTGCAGTCTGTATATCCATCCACACTTACCTTATGATATATATTGACTGCTGAAAACAGACACAAAAATTGGGTTCATTGATTGTCTCGTGATAGACGGGTCACGAGCCACTCTTAACGCATGTTAAATCCAGAGTAGTGCTCATCCAAGAGTGACGTTTTGCAATATCTTGAGGACTTCTTCCTCTCTGATCAAGCCCGCTGCTATGTTTGGCCCTCTTATCGATGACGTGACCGTCTTCATGCTTGCGATGATGATTCAATTTGCTCGTCACAACCTTCAACCTCCGTCAGCTTCCCTTGCCCGCTTTCGACTTTGCGGTGACGTGTTCTTGGACACCGCATTTCTGTCGTCTCTGTTTAAACGGCTAAGAGACATAACCAAATCAGAACGACTAATCGGACCGGTGGTTTTGTGTGATCTCCGCTAAGAACTTCGTGATTCCGTCGGGGCTAGCTTGTGAGCTTTGAATAGAGCGCGTCGTCCGAGGACTGGGTATCCTCAATAACCACAACTTCTGGTTGCTGAGCGCGAGATTTCCCCTTATGGGGTATTAGTAAGGGGGTATAATTTGCCTCTGAGTAAATCCTGCGCTTGAACGGGACATTGGCATCCGATTCGAGGGGTTCAGACTGCATGCAGGAGCTTGTTTCGGTATGGTCATCGTGCTGTGTTGTCCTATCCACCTCTGCTAGAAGCCATCCGGCAGGTTATGGCTCACAAATGCATATAATAAATGTTGGTAGAGGCGTATACCACAGATGTACGAAAGGAAAGGCGTTTTGTGGAGGGTGGTTATCGTGAACAGTTTTGCAGCCAATTCGTTGGGTACAGATGGAGGAGGGACGAGGCAGATTGAGCAAGACGATAGTGATGAATGGTGCCACTGCCACCACCAATTTCTCGAAAACCGACAGTCAGTCAGAGTGGTAGGTAGTATTACAGCAGCCTGACTGCCTAAAGGAGAGTCATTAGACGAGGAGAAGGCCAAGTCCCGCAGGCCGTCCTACAAAAATTGAATTTCACACCATTAGTTCATTCTTGCCGGTCAGCCTCACCTGCCCGTCACAAGCCTTTTACGTAGATTGAATCCAGTATTCCACCATTGCGAAGACTTATCATGATTCCATGGCACCTCTAGATTACTCGAAATGGGACAACATAGACACGGATTCCGTGCCAGAGATGTTGTCTCCGCAGGCGCCTGCGCCTAAAGCAACCCCGACTCGGGCATCGCGCCCCCAGCGTGGCAGTTACATGTCGGCACCATCGTGGTCGTGCACCATCTTGAGGGCGTGTGGATGTACTGCGACCACATTCTGGACGTCTTCGGTGGGGGGGAAGGTGCGCCGAGATGGCTGTATAATCGCCAGGCTTTTGAAGAGTGGTGGGTAGGTTATTGCGAGGAACAAAAGGAGTTTCAGCCCGGAAAGGGCGGGGAGGAGGATCCGGGCGATTGGCGACCGGTAAGGTCGCCGTATGAGATCTAAGAGTCCTACTATGGGGTTTGGCGTGCGTTCTGAATCAGAAAACTGTTGTGTCTAGCTGTTGCTTGGCGCCCTTAAGTCGCGTTGAAAATGCGCCGTGTTGGAGTTTCAAGTCATGGGCCCGGCATAGGCAAGGAGGGTCTGTTCTGGATACTACAGATCGCTCCTCTCCGGGGCTGGCTCCGGACAGCAAAGATCTCGTTCCCGGGCTCGAGTTGTCCTTGCCTGCCGCTAGTTAGATATGCTTCGTAGGCTGGGTTAGGGGCAGAAAGTGCTTACTCTGCAGAAGTCACGGCGACGTTGGGCGAGCCGCTGGGGATGGGGTTATCGTTGGCGTTGGACATCTTTGGTAGTATGGGACGATGTTTTGGGAAGGGGAAAATGCGAGTGAGGGAATATAAGTGTGAGTGGTGTGAGAGGAATTGCAGGTAGTGGAAACGGAAGAGGATGTGATGAGGAAAGAAAGGAAAGAAGAGCAACTACTTAAGGAAGAAGCAGAATGAGCGGCCAAGGAAGAGCCAGTGAATGAGGATGAGTGGTTAATAGAGAAAGGCAACTGCCTAAGAACTATCTATAAGGAAACAATATTAGGTGAAGGAGAATGAAAATCCGTGTAGAAGTATGAGGTGATGCTGTAAGCAACGAAGAACTAGCGATCGTTAGTGCTCTAGGTGAAGAATGCAAGCCATGTAGCGCCTACCTTTCGTGATTTCGGATTCTCTTGCAAACTTCAGTGAGAGAGATTAGAATATGTCCAGCATATTATCGCCGAGGATTTGACTGTTCAAGACTCGTGCTGGATGATGTTGCATATGGATCAGAAGAATTTTGACAAGTAGAAAAGAGTATTACAGTGCTGTATGATGTGAGCATGGCAGGAAAGGGACAGGATATAGTTTGTGACACTTTACAGCAGCTTGCATGTTTCAAGGCACGATTAATCATCAACTCTCTAACGGGGGCCATTCTGACGCGAGAAATGGGTTACCAATATACTACCTATAATCTCTCTACCACGCCGGTTCATATTGAGAGCAATTCCGCGCGACCCTTTGCGAAATCACCCCGCTCCCTATGAGACAACGTAACGAGAGGGCTAGTGCTGGAACTCAGGGGACTGGCTGAGATAATTACCATGGGCACTTCGGAGACCATTGGTTTGCTTAGAACGGGCTTTGGTGTAGAAGTCTTTCACAAACCACAGGAACCTTATAAGAATACTTGTAACTAGCTGTAGTCTGTAAGTCTATACAAAGTGAAATTCAGGGGTTAATCTTTGTAAGTAAGTGTAAACTCTTATCTATACTTAGCCAATTAGCTAAGACTATTTAATTTAAACAGTCTCAACCTTCTTCAACTCTCCAGTTTTGATGTCATAAACAAACCCCTGGCAGCCTTGCTTCAGCTCCTCTCTCACAAGCGGGTTTGCCCGGAACCATTCAAGATCACCCCTGACACTTTCTTCAATACTAAAGTCTCAGTTAGTAATAAGATCCCTCCAGATAAACGCATCATAGATCACTTACTTAGTGTTTGCACCAAAGTTCATCTTTGTTATATCGGCCCAGTTGTCCTTATCCACGTAAGTCTTCAGGCGAGCACGGATCTGCTCGTCGGTAACATGGAGCGTGCCACAGTCAGTGTGGTGAATGATGAGAATTTCTTTGAGCTTGACAAGGGTGTCTAGAATGTTAATATCCCGTAGAGTGTCACGAATGTTTCCACCAGCATTCCGATGGACGGCTACTTCTGTATAGTGAAGTTAGTTTAATAGGATGATTTGTAACTCTGTTCAACTCACCTCCAGCGTCAAGATTGAAAATTCTCTCAGGGATACAGCGCGGATCCATGCAGGACACTAAAATGGGAATCTTGATTAAACTGACAGGACAGAGGCGTGACGTAGAGCACATTTAGGTCAACATACCGATGAAAGTGCGGGTAGCAGGTTCCCCAGATGGACGCTCTGAGAGGTATGGAAATGGAGTATGGATCACGCCCCTACACTTCTCAGTTAATAACGGTCTGAGTCGGGTAGTTAAGCTTTTGCCATAGTACGGACTTTTTTCTCTCCAAAAGAGTCTCGATGCTTGCCATGGTTTTGGACTTGGTACAGTTGCCAACGGAAACGTCGATATACTTGGGTACAATTGCAAACTTCGTAGGTTGATGCGGTGGAAAGTGTGATTTGAGGAGAGTCCTGACCCCTTTTATAAATATCTCAAGAGCTGCTTGGAGCGTTCTAATACGGTACCTTTCATACCCTCTTAGACCAAAGATGCTGCAACTTTGCCGGACTCTTACATAAGACGTAGTGGTAATCAGGCAACCGGATATAACGCCTTCACAGCTTCCAGGGTACCATTGTCCCAAAAAGGGAATCTTGCTCGCCATGATATGAGGGCATTGTGGGGTCATCACGCTAGCATCTTAAGATACGGGCGTGAATTTTATTGTTATTCATCGACCCGAGAAGCCTTGCATTCGGCGCAATTTGCTTACCGTATTCCGATCTGCTTAATAATGAAAAGAGTCAGTCAAGCGTGGACACGCCGATTAGCTTCAAGTCAAGGCAGGTTTTTCTTGCACTATTCTCTTTTCAGTCTACGGTACCCTTTGCCCTCCATTACTAATATCCATGAGTAGCTAGTGCTTTTGAGAAGTTTCACGATTCTGGAATTGACTTAACGATCGAAAAGAGTTACCCGTAGCGTGGGTGTCTGACGAGACAGGGTGTTGGTGTAACCGATTAGTCAGAGGATATAAATATACTGCTCTCAGTGGAATACCGTGTCTTGTAGTCTGTTGGAGGAAGCTCTAACTAGGGAAGGGCAACCGCTAACTAATTGATTCATAACAGGCTAATCTTAGGAGGTATTCGGCAACAGAAAATGCAAGACGGGAGCTGAGTGTCAAGGTGTTACAAAGCGGCCTTACGGACTCCCGCCATATTTCTAGCCCGAACTCGGAAGTGCGACGGGGCTCCGCGGACCGACGATGTTGCTTGAAATCACTAGAAAGGCGTACTACGTAGTATGTATACATAGGTAGTACACACTATTTGGCGAACGGGATATGGCTATGATGCAGTGATTACGTTGTAATACGATGCGATTTGATGACATACGTAAGCTGTACTTAGCTACGCCCCTTGTTTACTTGATTTGGAATTTTTCCAGTCAGTAAGAACTTATAATATTTATTAAACCGCTCTGCCCATCCTTTTGGCAATTTCTTTTCTTTTTATTTTATCTTATTTCTTTTTTCTTTTTACAAAACCACCTATCAACAGCTAACTCAGACTTCACCACACCGTCATCCAAAATGGCTCCCATTAAAACCCTTTTGATCTTATTTCCCGGAGCAAACACATTGGACGTCCATGGGCCTATTGAAACCCTTTTTGCCACGGAGCGAGGTTCCTATTTCAATATCACGGTTGCATCAGAGACTGATATCACTGTGACAGCTGAGGGGGTTCAAATCAAGGTATGGCTTATGTTCCATTGTCATTGTCTACGTAGTTCATCACAGTCCCAAACGCAGCGCGATATCCCTTTGGACCGAGCATTGATCGACGCCCTCGACAAATACGATGTTCTCGTTGTCCCCGGCGGCCCTTTTGGGCCTGGTTCACCCGTTGAGGCGCAGGCGAACAAGAAGGGACAACCCTTCCTTGACCTGATCCAGGCTTTTTCCCAACTCTCCCCTCAAGCAGGGGGTAATGAGAAGACTCTTCTGTGAGTTGACGCGAGGCCATTAATTCATCATCCAATGCAATCTGACTGGTGACTCAAACCCCTAGATCTATCTGCACCGGGGCTATTTACCTCGGCACTCTGGGTATCCTCAACGGCGGGTACTGCACGACGCATTGGGCTTCGTATGATGTACTAAAGGGGGTCAACGCTGCGGCGGCCGCGGCAGCGGCAAATGGAAAGGAAGCTGGCAAAGTGCTAGCCACAAGATATGTAGATTCGGGGCACAATGAAGCTGGGGTGAGAGTCATCAGCAGCGGAGGCATTAGCTGCGGTATTGATGCCGGGCTCCATATGATCTCGTTGTATTATGATGAAGACGTTGCTAAACGCACAGCAGCTCTCTTGGACTATGCTTGGAGAAAAACTGAAGGTGTTCAGTTTCTCTAATTTGCTGTATTGTATTTGCAATGAGTCAGGAACGTATTATATCATAACTCACTCAAAGAGCTTAAGACTTCTTATAACCTAGGGCAAAACTTACTCTTGTGCTTTCTCTCTGATATTAGATAATCATGCGGCTTCTCGAAATCTAACCCGAGCATGTATTAAAACATCGGCAGCTGTTTTGTAAGGTACGGCCTGGACGTAAGATCAGATTGCCAGCCGGTGTCGCGGGCGCTGTCGCAGATCGGCAAGATCTGCCGCCAACACTTCCCCCAGGGGCTACAATTCATTCCCACAAGTGAAGCTCTTCCATATGTGGATCCCAGGTAGCCCGCTGTCGTCCCTGCTGCCTGTTTCAGCAATCTTCAAGCTATTTCCAGGTTGCTGGACAAACAGGAAAGGGGCGAAAGGTTTCCATGCAGTGCGCTCCTTCATTAGTGGAAAATGCTGGAGACCAGCGCTCAGGGAGGTGCCCGAACCTTCCATCTTGGAGACTTGGCAAACCATGACCACATCAAGTACGATGAGTTTGTCACATGCTAGAATCTCGGCGCCTTGCCACGGGGCCATACAGTGCTTCTTCCTCATGGAACCTCATTTATCCACATGCTTCCAATTGGCCTGTCACGCCCAGCCACTTCCAGTGAACTAGTCCAAGACCAAACAAAAACACGCCCGTCTTCCGGCGACGTGTCAAATGTGCAGGCTAAGTGATAATTAACGCGCGGTGTTATTACATACCGGAGTCGACGTACCCGATATCTTTACGGTTTGTCATTCCTAGCACACTCAAGAGTATGGGTAAACTATAGTCTCACGGCCCGCGTCGATTCATACTTTTTGCCCCCCACTGTACGTCGACATGGCCCTAGCTAGCTGGCTGCGTGGTTCAATTTCAACCCTACGGGACAACACGGGCGGCCTTCAATTTTTAGAACAACTCTGCTAGCGGGGAGCATCGCACGATGTAGCACATGGCTGACTGTTTGGGAACAGCTTTGAGGTTACATTTGATGCTGATTGAACTGTGTCACTTCTACCTACACACTTTTGCCCACCTACTCCAGACACTGCAATTGGTCCAGCAGTCTTGTCTTCTGATGCCCTCGACCTTGCTTACTTTGTCTTGCGAGTCCATTCTCGCACAAGACCTCGGAAGTCGGCGAGCGTGTATGGCTCGGTGATTTCCCGATACCAAGTCGGCTTTCTGTGGTAGCTTAGATCCAGATCAAACAGAAGCATATCCACATAAGGAATACTGTCAAACACCAGGTCAGGGCACCGTTCTCCGGTGCCTCCGGCCTCCTTGGGTCGCCTGATCTTTTGGTATTCGGTGTGGTGGTACGCCTCTCGCTTGATGGCATCCAACTCAAGAGCCTTGGGAGACCCAAGGGCCAGATGGGGAATCTTGTCATCAAAGAGTGCTGTGATCCACAGAGACTGGACCTGTGACAGAATAGCCGTATGCAAGGTGATGTGTGCACCGATGACGGCAAGATTCTTCGTCCGGATGAAGTTAAGGTGGCAGGGGAGTATGAAGCGGTGCAACCGGTAGGGCATCGAAGATGGGGGTTCCTCAGATGTAGTGACGTTGGTCTGTTCTTGGCGGAGGTTGCGCGGCAGATGCTTGACTGGCTTCTCTCGTAGCACAGGTGCGGCCTGGAGGATGTCAGCTCTGACTTGCGCTTCAAGCACTGGTTCCTCCTTTCCAGAGCTAGGAAATCCAAGTTTATAGACGATATCCTCCGGGAAGAACTGCAAACTTGGTTTCGTCTCCCACCCCGTGCAGCAAATGACGGCATCTGCCTCGATGGTGGTGCCGTCTGTTAGGCGGACACCGGACTCTGACAAGGAGGAAACCTCCCCCGCGTGGGCAGTGATCTGTTCACTCCTGACCAAGTCAAACCAGTTGGTCTCATAGTTGTGGACACTCAATGAATTGCCCATCCAGAACGTCGAGGTCCAAGGCTTTAGGACTGCCATCCCCGGGCTCTGGTCATAAGCGTTCAGCTTCGTGACTTTGTTGTCCAGATACCTCCAGAAAAGCTGAGACAGCTTCCTGCCAAGCCATGTGCGGTTGATCAACACCCGAATCGGCCAAGCAGAGCGCCCGTAAGGGTTCGGATCAAACCATGTGAACAGTCGTGTCGCCGAGGCGATCGAGATAGACGGAATGACACCTTTCACCCGTGGCGGCCAGCACCAACTGGGGCCACCACCTGACCTTCTCATGACCATATGCGCTCGGGCACCGAAACGAGCCGCGGAACTGTAGCAGACGTCCCAGGCGGATTTGTTGCCTCCAATAACCACAACTGTCTTCACATCCGACAACTCTCGCGCCCGCTTCTTGAAATCTTTAGCATGGAACACCAGGCCCTTGAAAACGTCTTTCCCAGGAAGCGGAGGCATGAAGGGTTGTGAGGTCAGGCCAGTGGCCAAAACCAGCTTCGTGGCGATTAGCGTGCCGCACGATTCCGTCTCGGTTGTTGACGTCGTGAAGGCAACCTCCCATTCCTCGTTAGGAAGCAAGGTGGCGGATTCCGCCTTGGTCCTGAACCGGATGCATGACATCAACCCGAAGGTTTGGCAGAAATCGGAGAGATACGCATGTACGACTTCACCAGGGATATGCTGCCCCTTCTCGATGCCATACTTCTCGGTTACCAGGGGGAAATCGCTGAACTCGTACGTGCCGACGACGTTGTTCGTCTTCAAGCCGGGATATAGTCGTTCGCTAGCCCAGGTGCCACCGACGGAGTCCGCATAGTCGAGAACTAGGATGCTCGCTTGGTTGTGTACCTCGATGTACGTCTTGGCCATAGCAAGTCCATGCCATCCTGGGAGAGCGTGTCAGAGAAATTTGAAAGATCATAATTGATACTTCTTTTTTTAGAGAGAGAGAGAGAGAGAGGGAGAGACCAAGGAGAGATCTATCGAACGTACCAGCTCCCACAACGATGAGATCAAAATGCTCCATGATGTCGGGGGCGCATGCGATGCTTCAAATGTTAACCGAAAAGAGTTTAACTACGTCCTCGTGAGACCGCGTGAGAGAAGATTGACGATACGGCCAGTACTATATCCATCATGTACATGGGAGATATGGTTGCTTTTGTACATAATGACAAACATGGGATTCCCAGCTCGACCTGCCTGGGTTACACGGGAAGGCTTGGAGAGGGGGTCAAGACGGTTGACTGGTTTGGTATCGCCTGCATTCACCTGGAGAGGATCAGATGGTCATGGCACTTATCCCGGTTTGGTTAGAGTCCAAGATGAAATGGGTCATTCGGATTAATACTTCTCGGATCAGGGTTCGGGGTGATCGGTATTTGGGTCGGCGAAAGCTGTCGAAGCTGACTTCCGAAACCTTGTAACCTACTCAGCTATCCACAAGGAAGTTATATGACTAACAGTCTTGGCAGACAATGGCCAATCTAGAATGCGGCGGATTGCCTAGTGTTGCTCCATTGTGCACGGACCCACAGAACGTAGGCCCTAATTATAACGACAATCGATATACACCGACTCTGTCTGTTATTCTCAGCGGGCTCCTTAGTCCCAATGACCTCCCCACCCACAGCTAGGTGGTTTTCCACTGCCTCTTTACCGTCACGACACTTCTGACTCTCCTCCCTGGATACGGTACGGCTCAGTGTATGAAAGGTCCTGTTGTACTACTTTCAGACTACGGCGTCTTCAGTGGCACAGTCATCAACCAGAATGCCGCGGAATTAGTCCTATCCCAATAGATAGACGCCTAGCTCGGCATTCAATATACCTCGCAGCCCGTTGGGGAGGATACATGAAAGCCAAACACAGCCAAGCGGATGGACAAGGAGGGCAGCTGTACCAGCGGCAAACACATTAGATCAAAAAGTGAAAGGCTGGCATACGTTGCCGGGACATCTGCGCTTTGCTGTGACTTCGCGCTCAACATATACAATTTCATGCGTTGGTACTCAACGTGGAACCTATAGCGGCAGGATAGCGCCAGGGGACTAGGTCGACAAGACAGCTCTACGGTAGTCACTTCATACTGAGTACCAATTCCAGCTTAATTGAGCTCGAGCACGAAGATTGCCATCGTTTGCTAGATCATGCAGAAAACCTGGAAATTGCTATCCCGATTTGACTGGAGACCAGAGAGCAAGTTGAAACATCATTTTATTCGAATTGTTATCTTCGTCCAGCGTTGGGATCAATAAACGTGCATCCTCCCCAGCTTCGTCCATCCCATTCGTAGTCGAGTGATTTTAGACGGACAAGGGTTGCGGTGTCCCGGGCTCCGCATTGTACGAGATTCGACCCGCGGGAAGAAAGAAAAGCGCAACCAAGCTGCCGCCTCGCACTTCCGGATAGTGGTGCGTACCCGGCCCTGGAGCAGTCCACCCGGCTCCCTGCCAACCCTGCATGCCTTTGATCTCCGCCGTCTCATCGATCTGTACAATGCAGTTGATCTCTCCATACGGATGAGCGTGGTATTGGCCTGTGTAGACTTTCTGGCTATCCATGAAGACGGTAGTAATACTAAAGAATTTGGTCTCGGCTGTCGGGATGTTGATCCTTCCCCGTCGGTATTTGGGACCATCGAGTTCGGTTTCGGCTACCCATCCTTCTTTGAGACCCTGCCGAATAAACGAGCAGAAGTCCTCGTAGTAGGGATTTCCAGGCCCATAGTCCTTGTTGAGCCTGGCTTCGAGATCCTTTCCGGGGGTTCTAGAGGGTAAGAGCATGTGCTGTAAGGTCCATTCGGCCATGTAGACAGGAGCCAACCAAACTCACAAGTCTTGGACTTCATTCAAGAACTCACTAGCTCGAGCTACGAGCTTCTGCGCAGTCGGCCACTTCGAAAGCTCTAAAATAGCTGCCGTGTCGACCTTGGCCATGGTTGCGGAAGGGGCTTTAGAAGTCAGAGAGGATGGAAAGGCTGACAATCGCGGCAAGCCGTTAACTCGGGACCGTACCATAAGGAAGAGACAATTAAGGACAGATAACCCTTCGCCGCGATGAAAAACCCTGGTAAACACTAGAGTCGCCAAGCTTGTGTTTTATTTTATTTTATGTGATCTAGCCGACCTAGTCTTGGCCGAAAAGCTATTTGAATATCCGATTTCGCCGATCAAAATTCCGCCAACCTGGGGTCGCTAGTTACTCCGACTTAAATTCCGATCTCATCCCCACCCCCAACCATCATAGTGCCATCCCGCATTCCCCAGGTCCCTGACCCACGGACTCTGCGGGACAGCCTCATCCAGGATTAAGAGTCTACCAGTGACAATCCAGTGGAGAAGAGGCTCGCGTAATGGCTCCGCCGAGGGGACCGAGGATGCCTGCGTGCAACGCATTGCAGACGGTCAAAGCTCTCATGTGACCACGCAAGACCCGCCTGCGGCCGGTGTCAAGACGCCGACAAGGCCGATAGTTGGCCCTATCGACGGCGACCTTTCTCCCGTAAGAGGCAGCGGGATCATCTCGGTGCGCTCGATGCCTCCTCTGTCCAGCGCTGACCACAGATCGAATGCAATCAAACAAATCCAAACCTCTGGATTTGAAATGACATTTGATGTATTTGCAGATACATGATATATGATGAAAGCTTGAATCTGCCAGGCTGTCGGCCGCGTCCTTGCAGCTTACCCGGAACCTGCTGGGCGTCAGGGTCTGGTGAGCGAATCTGGCCAATCAGAGTTGTTACTCAGATCTTTCATTAGTGTGCTACCCCCAGCAGCGCCTTCAAATTGGTTAAAGATAAGGTACAGTGGGCCGGCAAAAGTTCCGACACATGGCCAAAATCAGCCCTATTTTTTTAAATTATATATATTAATATAAAATATAAATATAAATAAAATACTATTATTTATTTTTTAATCTTAAAAAGTTAAATAATATTATTAATACTAATATATTATATTAAGTATTTTTTAAATATTCTTAATAAGCTAATATAATATTAAAAAATATTAATTAACTTCTGTTTATTAATTAAGATAATATAATTATTAAATTATATTATAATAAGCTTTATATTATATATAAATGCTTATTAAGTTAATATACAAGCTTTAAGTAAGTAGTAGTTTTTACTTATATTTAAATCTAATTAATAATATACTTATAATTAAAATAAATTATTTTTAGTATTTTTATTATATAATTTAACTACTTAATTAATATTTTAATATATATCTAATTTTATATCTATTTTATTTAGCTTATTATATGTAAAATAAAACAGAGGGGTTAATTTAACTATGTGTCGGAAATTTTGGCACCCCGCGTCTTGTCTCAGTAAACCTTGACAAGAGTGAGGCCAAAGTCGGGAGTACCTTTGCAATATGAGGAAGATCACGATGCTTGGCAGAGCTCATACAAGTCAGCAGACCATGAGCTAAGCCGAACGAGCCGCAACAGCTACGCGACATAGCAGACCAAATTAATAGCAATCCCTCTTTTCTAATAAGGAGATTCTGAGTCCCCCCCCTCCCCCCCAAAAAGTAGGGAAGTGTTCAAGGCAGCAGGATATCCACAGGCCCATCATAATATTACAGCCAGACTTGTAAATCATATGGTAGAGTCTCTAGCCCTATATGGTTGGTACGTACAGTACAGCCCCGTTCTGGGTGATGTGCGATATCAGGCGCAGACTGTCCCCAGCTCCAGTGCAGGGAGCCGCTGACTACATACGTACCTGTTGCTTACTTCTCCATAAACTCCCCGGACGACTTTGGGTCACCTCAACCTCAACCTCAACACTCTTGCGCTGCAACTTTTTAAACTGCACAACAGCTGTACCAGCCAACCTCTTATAAAGGCTCTGTTTTGCCCAGTCGGACTGCATTCGCAGCCACCAAATCCCTGCCTAACTCAGTCGCTTCGCTCCACCATCGTCACCACACCGGTCTGGTATATTTGTTTTCCATCGCCGGACTCACGGCCGCGGGTGGCCACGTCGTAGCTCTGTCTCTGGCAGAGCCATGTCCAACCGTGCCGTTTTGAGCCCTCAACACGCCCAACAGTCCTTCGATTCCGGTCCCCAACTCTACCGCGACGTTCCTGAATTGCACGCTATGCCTTCTCCCTCTCACAGCGCCTTAATGGATTTCACACACTTTGACTATTTTGCGTTTGCTTACTATGGTCTTCCTGACCACTCTTCTCTCGTTTCCCTAGTAGATCACACCCACACGTTCCAATATCCCCCTGCATTTCCCCAGCACCAGACCATATCTGGCCTTGCACATAGCGGTCTGCCGCTCGGCGCCTTGCCTACCGGCAGCCTCACCCAGAGCATAGAAGGCTCCAAAGCCCCCCCAGATCGGACATCTCCCGCCTCCAACGCCCTCGAAGACCCGACTACCGATGAGTCTGGTTTGGCTTCTCGTAACCGTACGGATAGCACAGACCTAGGCAGTAGAACTAAGGAGGGTAAAGCCGATGCCACACCTGCGTGGAGTGGACTTAAGACAAGGGCTGGCAAGGAAAGAAAACGCCCCCCGCTTGCTTACATTGCATGTCGCCGAAAGAAGATCCGTTGTTCAGGCGAGAAACCCGCCTGCAAGCACTGTATACGCTCACGTATCCCATGTGCCTACAAGGTCACGACACGGAAGGCGGCGCCACAGACAGATTACATGGCTATACTCGATAAGCAATTGAAGCGTATGGAAGAACGCATTATTAAGGTCATCCCGAAGTCAGACCAGGAAGTCGCGTCAGCTGTGAACCGTGCCGTGGTCAAACCAACGATACCAGGGACCGTACCTTCTAATAAATTAACGAAAAGGCGCGGCACTGAGGAAGCATTAGGACCTGATCTAGAAGCGTGGGCCAAGGCGCCTTCGAAGCCCAAGATCGAGGGCGATGATAGGCCCAGCAGCCTGCAAGTCCAAGAAGCGGAGGAGAACAAGCTGCAACATGAAGGCACAGAAGCACTCCCCTCCAAGGAGATACAGGAGCATCTCGCAGAGGTGTTTTTCGACAACCTCTATGGCCAATCTTACCATCTTCTACACAAACTAAGCTATATGCGAAAGCTAAAGTGAGTTCTTTTTGGGTTGGATCTCACGTCCCCTGCTAACCGTCAACAGAAATGGCACACTACCTCCGGTGCTTGTTCTCACAGTGTGCGCTGTAGCTGCTCGTTTTACCCCAAACCCTCTAGTGAGTTCTTCAGGGCCGGAATTCTTACGCGGTGAGGAATGGGCATCATACGCTCGAGATATTTGCACCAGACGATATGAATGGCCAAACCTCACCATCTTAACATGTCTTCTTATTTTGAGCCTTCATGAATTTGGAACGTGCCAGGGCGGCCGTAGCTGGGCCCTGGGTGGACAAGCTATCCGAATGGCTTTCGCTCTCCAGTTACATAAAGACTTAGAATACGATCCCTCGGGCCGTAATGGCACCAAAACGCAGCTCAGCTTCATTGATCGAGAGATTCGGCGACGCATAATGTGGGCCTGCTTTCTCATGGATCGCTTCAACTCTTCTGGGACAGATCGACCCATATTCATCAGGGAGGATACAATGCAGATTCCTCTGCCGGTAAAGGAAAAGTACTTCCAATTCGACATGCCTGCGCCCACCGAAATGTTGGACGGTCAAGTACCTCATCCGGTGTCGCTTAACGGCGGACAAATCGTTGATGCACGAGAGAACATGGGAGTTGCGGCCTTCCTGATTCGAGCCATTGCCATATGGGGACGGATCATCACCTACCTGAGCCAAGGGTGGAAGGATTTGGACCCCAATCCAATCTGGGAAGACGAGTCTCAATACGTGAAGCATCTCAATGATGCTGTAAACCTTGAGGCTAGTCTGCCCTTGTCACTCAAGTACTCTGTAGAGAACCTCGAGGTCCACAAGACAGAGAACACGGCAAGTCAGTTCCTTTTTATGCATATCTGCCTGCAGCATAACATTCTCTTTATAAGTCGAGCTACTATATCAGCACGAAAGCAACATGGTGTACATGATGATTTCTTCTCTGAAGCAAGCAAGAGGGCCTTCAACGCTGCAGACCGAATATCCGAGCTTCTTCGTGAAGCTGAACAGTCGCGATGCTTTGTTTCGGCCCCGTTCGCTGGATACTGCGCCTTTTCCTCGACAACAGTTCACATCTTGGGTATTATCTATCGCAACCCCTCCATGAAGCCAATAGGCGAGGCCAATTTGACTACCAATGTCAAGTATCTTCACAAAATGAAGAAGTATTGGGGCATGTTTCACTGGATGGTGGAGAACGTTTGCACTCAGTATCGAAATGCCTTGGACGCTATGAGAGCTGTTGCGGATGTCCAAGAACGAGCCACACAGTCATCTTTCCTTCAATACGGAGACTGGTTTAACCGTTACCTTCACGGTCTTTCTGATGTTGAGTTCATGGACCCCGCCACTTACAAACGACAGGATTCAAGAGCAGACGGCGTCCTCGAAGCGAAGCCCGAACTGCAATCAGTGGAGGAATACGTTTCCACGCTTCCAACACCACAAAATGTCGAGAATAAGGATACTATCCGCGCAGCAGCACCGAAACGAAAGCAAAACGCTAAGAAACAGACCTGCATGCCAGCAAAACCTGACCGGCATCTCGATTCGTTGCAGAGTACAGACGCAGACGCAGTCTCCCAGGAACGCAAGTTCTCGGGCTGTTTGGGATTGCAAATTACAGGTGCAGCAGACTTCAACCCTCTCGCAGTATCAAACCCACCGAACCCAGCTTTCAGCACAGCCATGCCACCTATGAATCCGGCCAATATGGCCGCTTTCTGTCATCACCCTCACACCCCTACCTTCTTCCCACCTGAGCTGCTTGCTATGAATTTTGGGCAGGGTGCGAATGGAAACATCGACCCGCTTGATCACCAACTTTTCTTTGGAGGAT